TGAATGAGCGGCGATCGCTCCATCTCGCTCGGACGACGTGCGTGGGCCAATCGACGGCGGCACAGGCTGCGCGCGGCCTCTCCTGGACGACGCCAGGAAGCGCTTGTTGTCATGCGGCGGGCACCGAGCCGCTGGCCAGGAATGGGCGAGCAGCAGCAGCAGCAGCAGCAGCAGAAGGCAAAGCATGGCATCAGCGCTCGTCTCATCAGCGCGCGCAGCGAATCGAGGGGCGCCGACGCTTGCCGCTCAAGCCGGGAGCGCGCGCGCGTGTGGTTGGAAGCGGACGGCGGCCACACAAAACCCTGGGACGCATGCAGTGGGCCAACTGACACGCAAGCCGCGCACAGGTCAAGCCGTACCGGGCGACCCATGCACGCGCTGCAGCTGCACCATCCTGAGCCAAGCCAAGCTCACAAGCTCGCCGCCGCCGCTGGGAAAAATAGCAGGCAGCGGCATGACCAGGACGTGCAGCGCGCTAGTCGGGCTAGCCATGCCACCCAGGGATCGTTGCCGCTAGGGCAGATGGGGATGTGTCGCGTTGACAGCACGCCCGCACCCATGGAGACATCCGCCGCGCAGCAAAAAAGGCTGTGTGATGGAATACTTATGCACCTTGCGCCTATCCAGCCCACCTCGCACTCCCATTCGGTCCCTAGCTTAATCCTCCCTAATAACAGCACGTTGTGCCGCCCGGACCAGGGTTCGCAGCCATTATCACCAACGCCTATCGCCCCGCTATTGCCTTCACTACATCACTGGAACGACATCCAAACAACACTTCTACCAACACTCCCTTCAACCAACGACACTCATTGCCCGCAACGGATTGTGATTCACCGATTGATCCATTGGCCTTTGGAACTGTTCTCTCTTCCGGACCTCTCTACCTTTTGATCACTCTTCTGCCGGCTTCCTATGAGTGTTAGACAGCCTGTAAAGTGATCCGGATCCCATTGTGGTGGACGCTTTCGACCATGCTCCCAACTCCCCCAGCTTCTCCCAAGCCATCTGGACTATGCAGCCCAGAGGATCGTACAGGACAGATCTTGGCCGGTAGCATTCAACTCACAGGCATTCTGGGCGTTGGCGCATACGGCACCGTGTACAAGGCACGAGACATCGTTACTGATGCACAGTACGCTGTCAAGGCCTTGAACAAGGTCGGCCTCGATGCACGACAACGCAAATTCCTGGACCGCGAGATTCAATTGCACTACGCCGCGAGCCAGCATCCCAATGTGGTTTCCTTGGTCAAGATCTTGGACTCGCCCGAGTGCACGTATGTTGTGCTAGAGTACTGTCCTGAAGGTGACCTGTTCACCAAGATCACCGAGGAAGGCCACTACGTCGGAGAGGACTTCAAGGCCAAGCAGGTCTTTCTGCAAATTCTGTCTGCTGTCCAGCATTGCCACGCGCGAGGAATCTTTCACCGCGATCTCAAGCCTGAGAACGTGCTCGTGATGGACAATGGTTGGACCGCCAAGCTGGCCGACTTTGGACTTGCAACCCAGGAGCGAGTTACTTCAGATTTCGGATGTGGATCGACTTTCTACATGTCACCAGGTACGTACTTCCAACAGCATCTGCTCGAGAAACCTTGCTAACTGTCTGCAGAGTGCCAAAATCCAAACCCAAAACCATACGCATGCTACGCATCGGCACCCAACGATGTTTGGTCGCTCGGTGTGATTCTCGTCAACCTGACCTGTGGCCGCAACCCGTGGAAGAGGGCCTCCATGGACGACCCAACTTTCCGTGCCTACATGAAGGATCGCAACTTCTTGCAGTCCATTCTTCCCATCACTGATGAGTTCAATGCAATCCTGCAGCGAGTCTTTGAGGTGAACCCTTACCGCCGGATTGGATTGGACGAACTCCGTGAGCTCATGGTCCGATGCCCTCGTCTGACGACCCAGGAGTCTTCCAACGCAATTTCGGCCCCAGCCACCCCACCATACAGCCCAGTGGAGAAGGCCGTCGACACTACCTTTGTCAACGGTGCTTACGAACCTGTTCCTCACTTGGATCTGTCTGCACAGCCGTGCATGGCACCCAACCAGGAGTACCTCCATCACCAATCAGCCCTCTACACACCACCTTCATCCGGGCCTTGCACACCCCAGCCTACCATTTATACGCCGCAGCCGAAGTCCACGGTCCATTCCATGTACACTGGACCTTTCTTTGGCAATCTCCCCACGTTCGGTGGCCGATGTGGGCAGATGTTTGCCAATCTCAACATGCCCAGCCACGCCTGGGCTTCCACCTTTTAATTTCGGAGGCCTCGAACGCTGGACCTTTTTTTGTTTCACTTGTCCATACTGTCCAGCCTTATCTTACTCAGCCTTCCGGATCACGATTTTATGGGAATGGCCTGACCTGGAGCGACTTTGCCGGCGTTGTTTCTTACTCTCCGAAAAGGAAAATGTAAAAGATACCCCAGTCTGTTTGATTTAGCGAAGCGGAGGAAAGTTGTTGATTTGTTTTCTTTGCACTTGGAGTTCGGCACCAAAAGGGAACGTGTGCCACAGGGAAAAGGCCACAGCTCAAGAGGAGCATGATAGAACTTCGTCGTTGTGGGGAGCATTTACTGGCGTTCAGACGAGCATCACGACTAGAGCAACGATGGCATGTATCATGAGGACCAGAGGCTACCTGGAGAGTGGTCGCAGTAGACCAGATTTTGTTGTATACTACTATGACTACGACCCGCAAGGGCAACAATCAATTCATCGATTGTACATTGCACTATCATCACTGATCTCATCGTTCACTGCATGCTTTCTTCACATGCAGCCTTCCTGTTTCAGCCGCATCATCATCTGGGAGAGGCGATTGCCCTCCATTCCGATTCGAGCAACCTTGTCTCAATCTTCATGAAAGTCAGAAAGTCAAAGCAATGGTAAGGGACAGCCTTCTGAACATGGTTTTGGGTTGCAGTCGGAAACTTCACAAACAGACTTCATTGAAGCCAGTCCAGCATGCATGCAGTGCGCTTTGCTATGGATGACATGTCGTTGGCTCGAATTAGCAGTTGGCAATAAGTCCGATGCGCGGGTGTGGCCTGCCGTAGCAACGGGTGCTGCTGCAACGAAATTTCGAGGCGAGCAGATTTGCGGGCGCTGTCTGACTCTCTGATGACGCACTTCCCTGCTGCTCAGGCCAGTCCAGTCCAGGCGACCAACCAACCGCATTCCTGCAAAGAGCCTGCAGCCCGCCCAATCATGCTCTGTCTCGCTTCATCTTGGCTCTTCTCTCTCGACAGCAGCAGCGGCCGTGCACGGATCCACCGGGCGATGGATGGAACGCACGTAGAATATCGAGCAAAGAGGCTGAGCGCCCACTCGCACCCATCCACCCACCCACCACACCCACACGAATCTCGCCAACGACAAAACTGAGTGCCGCAGTGTCCGCTGGTCTGGGAGGGATTGGAATCTTGCGCGTGTTACGTACCACCATCCGACTGGCCACCGACGAGCCACTCCTTGCGTCGCCTTGATGAGGCCGGCCTGAATCAGCGCCAATGCACGTCGCAGATCATGTGACGCAGACAAGAGACAAAGGTGGTGCGGAAGTGCAGAAATTAAGGGCCGATGACGACCAGCCATTCGTGTTCTCACCAACAGCAACCCGCCGGCCAGTCAACCCAATGTAGGTACCTGTACGTCTACACGGCGAGAACCACAGCACACGTTTGCGCGAGTTGACGCCAGAGCGGAGCTTCGCTCAATGGACCGGGGATGGAGCATTGCATTGCGCGTCCTGATTCGCCTTCCGCGTGGTCGCCTTCCTGCGACCGCCCACACTACCACCCTCCCGCCGCAAGGACATGTGTCCTACTAGATGGGCGTCGGTGCTTTGCCAGCAGCGGCGCAGCGTTTCAAGTGACGACGAGAAAGCCTTACCGCGCCCGTCTAGCGTCAGGCTGCTGATGAAAGGCGTAGGATCGTTGGTGCAGCTTGTGTGCGCAGAACGTCGACTGCCGACGCCCGCCAGACATGTCACTGTGCGACGCCGATATGCTGCGACTTAGGCCTCACTTGTGGCGAGTTGCAGACGGCCCCTTCACTCATCGTGATACGAGTGATATCGACGTCAAGACGCAGGCAAGATGATGCGCACTCACACATCCTCTGTTGTGCTCCGAGGGCTTTCCACCAGGCATCGTCCCAGGAAAGAGGACCCCAATCCTCCCAACGACGCTTGTTCCGGCGAGCTACATTTTCAAGAGGCACCTTGCTTCCTACATACATGCTACACCCGTCGTTTGACGTTGTGAGCCATGGATCCGACGCGTTTGCACTTTGGGGTCTGCTTCGCCACGCAACGACGCAACGGCTCACTGCATACTGCGTCAGGAGGCCGACCAATGCCTGTAGCAGTTGCACCTACCACACCTAGCTTTCCGCAAGCGCTTGCAACGCACACAGCCGTCCTAGCTGTCAAGAAGGCAAATTCGGAGGCTGGACGGAGCTGGTACCTTGTATCCAAGCTGCATACCGGAAGCTCTGATATACCACTCCGCGCCTATGGACATCCGCAAAAGCAAATACCGTAGGTCAGATGCAATGCACGAGAACCTCTCGTCTTGCAAACGCTCCCAATTCGGTCTAGGATACACTTTCTCACATCTTGTCACGAGCCACAGCACAAAGCTAAACCTTTGTGCCACCAGCTGCAAAGCTAGCGTTCTTCTCTTGACACCTTAGTCGTCTGCCTGCATTAACCTTACAACTTCGCAGCACAGCTGAATCCTTGCTCGTCTGTCAAACTTGCTCGTTGGAAACTTTTTTTCCCTTTCCGAGATTGGCGATAAGGATAAACCTAACGTTGACGAGATCTATGAGTCTTGCGCAATCGCTCAGGTGACTCGGATACGGAGGGTGAAACCAACGTGGCCGTTGTTTGATTCGACATGAACACTGACTTTTTAACGTCTTCTCGTCTTCAGCGCGAGATCCGCTGGGTCACAAGACCCTTCTTTCCCGTTCACTTGGGAGCTATATCTGGATATTCTGACAATAGAACCATCCGTCTTCGTTTGCGAGCCGTTGTGGAGAGCCATTCGGCTTTGGATGTTGAGGATTCCACACGAGTCAAGAACAGAAAGGTTCCCACGGAGCTATCAACAATGACGACTGCAGCCACGAACAATTGCTCAGCGACAAGACAGCAACCGCGCCGACGAGCCGTGCACAAATGCACTCATCCCAACAATATATGAAGCTTCTCGACGTTTGCCGTGTCTGGTATAGACCCAATATAGACAGGTCTCAGTATACCCCGCGGCGCTGGTAACGCAAGACATGACTGCTTCTCGGGATTGGGAATTGCAGCCTGGACCCTCTATTTCGTTCCCAGCGTGCTTCTGCCTCAAGATCTTGGGACGTCATGGCCTATAGCAGTATGGTTGCTGATTCTTCCCATCATTACGTGAACGGGCATATTGAACCTACCGAAAGATAATGCTGGCCGCGGGCACCCTAATGGTGTTCGTGTCAGTTTGGACTTGGAAGGTCATGTCTTGCTCTATCCGGTGGTGGTGGATGATGCGAACTTCTGGAGCATGTCTCTGTTATTTCTTCCAGTGGATGCGGGACCATTCGTGAGACTGCTCTGGGTTTTCTGGTAGAAAGAAATCGTTATTCGTTTCATGACCTTCTGCAGGCGGGGCCAGGAGCTCTGCTGGCCAGCATCATCACGAGCACTTCACGAAGTCCGTTAAGGTGAGTCAATCTCACGGCTTAGGTCTTGGAAGTCAACGATACATTTCCCGCCGTGAAATTTTAACCAAGGTGGAAGATGTGCCACTTTCCGCTGCATATCGTCTTGATACTTTCTCGACCCGCAGCACGCATAGAACTACTTCGCAATTGCGAAGCTAGTAGCTTTGCAGCCACTAGCAGAGGAAGCTGCATGACTTCCTTCGTGCTGCTATCACATTTGTGATCAGAAATCAAGCAATAGATGCCAAAGCCAAAGCTGCAGCTTCTGCCCTGCATAGTGATCGGCATTACACACCAGGAATCATTATTAATCACATATCACTAAGATACCAAGAACATCAGCCCACTAGACAGACAAGCGGATACGAAGCGAAGTGCATACATACACAATAGACAGAACTTTAAATCGAGAATTGAAGAAACCTCAATGATCCTCTCCCGCAGTCGTCTGATCACGCGAGTGCGAAAAGAATAAACACTAATCCTCTCCAGGCAATCGCGAGAGAAAGTGAGAGCTTCCGTAAAGCTCCCGCAGAGAGGGACAAAGCAACTGTACAGCTTCCCAGTAGTGAGCAAGAAGCTCGCAGCACTCTCAACGAGCTCTCGAATCCTTCTTCCTTCACCCCAAGACTGGAAAGCGCGCGAGCACGAACGAGGGCATGGCAAGCTAGACTCTAATGACAAGCCAAGCCTATCAGACCACCTTCACCACCCAAACTTGGTGGCCTGACCTGACCGCCTTTTGCCCTTTCCATTGTTCGCAGAGTCTCACGGAGTTTTCTCGCCCGGAGCAGATGCACCGTGGTTCCGCGCGCCAACAACCACATATGCAATGCGGAAGGTAAACTAGACAAGGCGTTGATGCGATGCCTGAGGGTCAGTCGAGAAGAAAGGGCAAGACGAGGCGGATCGTGAACAGCGGTCGCGGAAGATCAGTGACAGAAATTCTCGTGAGGAGAGAAGGAAAAAGAGAGGTGCGATGTGAATTTCTGTACCATTGTTTTGCATGTCGTGCGTATGTATCGGACCTCCGACTGCACAAGATCGCACAGCTCTCGACCTCCCATGGTTCACGCACTTGCTGTCGACCTCCCTCCTGCCTGCCTCTGTCCGGATGCATCGTGTTCTGGCCCACTGTTCTATGTATACTGCAACACTTCTGACAAAGGACTATGTTGATCCCCACTCAAACCGTGCTCTCCATCCTACTTTGCAAATCGCTTTCCCGATTTGCGCCACATGTTGTGTCTTGTGCTTCGCGGATGAAATCTCCCATCGAGCCTGTGTCGATGTTACAGCCCAAAATGTGAGGCTAAATCATCTGATCAACAATGAGAAGCCTGCTCGTGAGTGAAGCTTGCCTGTCCTGGAGAGATGCAGGCGTGGCCGCGCACTCAATCGCGAGTACTCACTCCCTACGGCGCCGCGGAATGGGTGCGGTTGTGTATGCAAGTATCGTTGTGTCTCGCATCTCCTCCAATCACCCAGCACGCTGCATGACGGCTGGACGAAACCCTTTGGGTAAAGCTGTCTTCGTCGTGGCCTTGACCGGGGCATTCGTCTCGCGCGTGACAAACGGGTGCTTGAGGGCATCGCTGGGCTTGATTCGCTTCTCAGGATCAAGCTGTAGGCACTTGTCCAGCAGATCGAGAAAGGCATTGTGGAGCTTGAGCTGGGTAGCGTCCATTTTCTTGGTGTTGGCACTCAATCTCGATTTCAGATCTTTGGCAGTGCTGCCCTGATGAAAGTGCATTGGCTTTGCCACAATGTTGTGGGTCATCGGGTCCTTCTGTTCTGCGTGAAAGACAAAATTCTCGTCAAAATATTTACCGGCAAGCTGTGACTTCTTGATCAGCCGATTAGGAAGTTTCCCACGGCACTCTTGGATGACTCGTAGCATGTTGTTGTTGTCTGCACCATTGAACAGGATCCGTCCAGTGTATAGCTCGTACAGCGTGCAGCCAATTGACCACATGTCAATAGCGTAGTCAAAGTCCATGCCCATGATCACTTCTGGAGCGCGATAGAACCGCGACACAAGATATGGGGTGAGCTCGGCATCTTGGTGCAGAGTGGCAGTGCCGAAGTCACAAATCTTGACGAGCTTGTTGTCGCTGCTCACTAGAATGTTGTCTGGCTTCAAATCGGCATGCAGCACTTCCTGGTGCTTCATGTGCTGCAGGGCGAGGAACATCTGTCGCGCGTAAATCTGAATTGCTTCGGGGTTGATGCCCACGTCTCTGCCGAACTTCTTCAGCGTTTCCCGAAGATCCATCTCGAGTCCCTCGAAGACCAGACATAGGTGACCTTTGTGCATGAAATCTGCCAGAAGCCGAATGATGCACCTCCTGTCGTCTTTGTCCGCTTCGTTCAGTCGATTGAGAAACTGCATTTCCTTCTGGCCAGCCTTGAACATGGTATCGTTGCGGCATGCAATCTTGATGGCCACCTTCTTGCCAGTTTGCGCATCTGTCGCCCTGACTACAGTCGCGAACGTACCTTTACCAATTTGCTGCTCAACGGCATACCGCCCATCCAGCAACTCGCCATTGATGATACGATAATGCCCATCAGGGTAATCCCAATTGTCCAGCAAGCTCTCGTCAAGCGCCTTGGCTTTTTGGGGGGCATTATTTACCAATGGTGCATCATCGGCAGCGAACATATCGTCATCATCGTCCGCAAACATGTCGAAATCGCCAGCAGGCTTTTGGGGTGGTGCTGGTGGCTCTGTGGAGGTCTGCTGATTCTGCGTTGCATTTTTGTGATCGGGCCGATCTTCGTTCATGTCGTGATTTGGGTCGTAATCAGCGGCAGATTGTCCGTGTTCTTCACTCGCCTCAAGGTGGATTGGGTTCGCAAGGTCTACATCAGCAATAGCAGGTGACCCAGGCGATGCTGGCGATCCTGGAAAGGAAGGCTCCATCGGAGTACGAGGGGAGTTGAGGGAGCTTGGCGGTGACTGGGGTACTGACCCATGACCGCTACTTTCATTGTAAGGTGTCGTGGCCGCTGACGGCAGGTTCGATTCGAGCGTCGAGCGTAGGAGAGAATCATTCGCCGAGGCTGCCGCGTGCTTCTTCCTGATCGCTTCACGCTTCTTTCGTCGTTCTTCGATCAGCTCCGCTTCCGTTAACTGCTTGACGGGCTCCGCAGCCTCTTCATTCTCCACATTCGCAGCGGCAACAGTGGCTGCAAGTGAAGAGGCACCGGGTTGCGCAAATGAGACGCTGCTTCGCTGCTTACCGTCCACCTTGGACCCAGCACCAGCCTGATCGGCTACTGTAGCACTGCCCTTGGATGCTTCTGCACGATACGGTGAGCGACTGCGATCGCGCGGGGCGGCTCGGACGCGTGCGTCTCGTCTATCTTTCGGAGATGTGGTTTTGTGTCGTCTCGAGTCACTACTGCCTTTGCCATAGTGATCATCGTGGTTCCGTCGCTTCTCACGAGTGCTATCGCGGTCGGCTCTGTATGGCGAGCGCGAGCGCGAGCGCGAACGATCTTTTCTTCTGTAGGGCGACCTAGAACGATCTCTGCCAAAACCATTGAAATGCGCGTTTGAATCATGCATCAACGCCTGGCGTCCGACAAGGTGCGAAGGCCGAGATGAAGACGTCGATTGTCTGGCTGAGCTGTTAACACTGGTGCTTGTGCGGTACGATGTGTTCTTTGTGACCTTCTCCCCGTCCCCGCCTCCGCTGACTTCGCCGTCGGAGAGGGATGGCGAACGTCGACTCATGGCTGCCCCGTTCTCTGGCCGCTTTTCGCGCGCCGTGCCAGTGAGACCCTATGCGCGCCCGTGGATGGAGGTGAAAGGTTAGCAATCTGTTCCAACGTGCAGTCTGAGGTGCTGTGGCCCGCGATGCGCAAGACCAGTGTGGATGGCAATCTCACAGGACTGATGCAGTGCACACGACGTGCTCGCTGGCGTCGCGCAAGTCGTTCGGCCAGTCGCGATGCGGTGTCGGTGGTGATGGCGGTGGGCGGTCTGTTCCTGCTGTCGCGCGCGACGATGCTCGAGTTGAAGTCGCTATCAGTGATGACGATGAAAAACGAGCCGAATGCCAAGCTCGGTTGCCTGACTCGCGCTTGTGCGACTTCACTCTCCATGCCTCTTGCCCTCCCAACATCCAACAGTACTCCAACAGCACCACATGTCATGAGAAGCCACTGCTACTCGAGGCAACGGAACAGCGCAACATCGTGGCCGACATTGCCATGTATCGCACCCCCAGCGTGCTTGCCTGACAGTCTACGCGGGCCACAGACCGCTCCATTCGCGAGGTGTGGCCCGTATTGAATCGGGTCCAGGCCAGTGGCACTGATTTCGTCCGAAAATACAAGACGCCTCCGATTATCTGATCTCGTAATGCAGTCACAATCCAGTCGGCTTTGGCACATCCGGTTGCAAGTTGAGCGACAAGGCCGTATCTCGCGCACGTCAGCTGAGGACGGGCACGTCCAACCTACATCTACCTGAGAGCAACCCAAACGCAGTATCCGGAACAGGTCGCTGCATCACATACAACGGCTCGACTGAAAATGTCAACTCCGGAAGATGCCGCTGCGTCTACTGCATTCGTCCGGAGGATCACAGACGAACGTCTCATGAGGCTTTCCCGATCCACACTTTCGAACGGAGGCTTGTTTCAAGTTCATACAGCTTCATCAAGTACGGACACAGAACCACGCACCCGTACGTGATGAAGCAAACAACCGCGAGTATATCTAGTCCTTCTCGACTGTTCTTCTTCATCAGCAACTTTCCTCATCATCATCTTCTCCTCCCTGTTTCTGCTGCGCAGTCACTCATTGGATCTGGTATCCACTAAACACACTCACCCAGAGCACTCTACAGTCATCCGCAGTCTTGCAACCTTTTCCAGCACCACAATCACAACGTCAACATGAAGTCTGTCGCAATCCTTTCCAGCTTTGCTGCCATCGCAGCTGCCGCTCCGTTTCCACCAACCACGGTCAGCGGCTATGCAGCTCCTACGCTGTCCCCGTCAGGCGCGCTTGGAGGCGGACTCGCATCTGCAGCACCAACCGGTACCACTCCTTACTCTGGAACAGATGATCTTGGAGCCAGCTCTGGCTTTGCTTTGCCAACTGGAGGCTTGGGCGGAGGCTCTAGTCTCGGAGGCCTAAGCGGGGGCGGTTCAGGACTGTCTGGACTAGGTGGTGGCTCCAGCCTTGGTGGGCTGACTGGAGGTAGCTCAGGATTATCTGGCCTGGGTGGTGGCTCTAGTCTTGGTGGCCTGACTGGCGGCAGCTCGGGATTATCTGGTCTGGGAGGAGGCTCTAGTTTTGGCGGCCTGACCGGTGGCAGCTCAGGACTGTCTGGACTGGGTGGTGGATCTAGCCTTGGTGGCCTGAGTGGCGGAAGCTCGGGACTATCTGGATTGGGCGGAGGCTCTGGTCTCTCGGGGCTGGGAGGAGGCTCTAGTCTTGGCGGCTTGGGCGCGGGCAGCTCAGGCCTATCTGGATTGGGCGGGGGTTCTGGTCTCGGAGGATTGAGCGGTGGCGGTCTTGGTGGAAGTCTTGGTGGAGGTCTCGGCGGTTCTGCTACTGGCGATGCCAGCGCTGGCACTAATTTGGACAGCCCAGTCGACACAGGCTCTGAAGACGCTTCTTCTACGCCGACCGGCATCGAAGACGGCAGCGACGCTGCAAGCGAGCCTGCAAGCGATGCCACGCCTTCTGCCTCTGGAGAAGACTATGCCTAAACCTCAAGCACCATACCAGAGCTCGCTTGACGTTGGCTTTCCACGACTGTCCAACAAGCATGAACATGAGCTGCATCGCTCATTGTGGGATCCCCGCACTTACACTCACTTCTTCCAAACATCAAATCATAACCAGACATTTGTATACTATCGTCATTGATAGCTCCTGACTATGCAGAACAGCGTCTGGGACAAGCAAAACCATACTTTCTCGCTTACACAAATTGCTCACCTTCACTCTGTGCATCTGCTGTCAATCGCAGTGGCTTGCCACGTCTACGGCCGGAAACCGCCATGCATATGCACAGCATGCCTTTTGGCGATTGTATTGCATGCTGCCTCTTGCAGACACTACAACAGTCGCCGGAAATCCTTAACGTCGTTGTGCAAGGTATCATTGTCGAGAAGTCCTGCCCATTCGGCCGGCCCTCAGGCAGAAGCCAGCACATGACTCAAGTCAAACTTTGTCCTCAAGACATATATTCTACAACCAAAACATGTTCTCTCGTCCTCTCAGGAGGACAAATGGTCAGTGCAACAATACAGAGAAGATTAGCATTGCCCCTGCACAAGGATGACACATGCTACAAAGAGCGCTAAAGTCATTTTTTGCTAGTAGTGTGATTCGTGACGTTGGGATCGAAGAGCAGACAAAGTTAGAGCAGAATTGTTCCCACTTTTGGCAACAAAGCAACAAGACAAACAGTCGAGGTCTCTCGTTCGAATCTGCAAGTCCTTGATCACAGGCAGCCGAATAATATGGGAGATTCTGGGAAGTTATGTACTGAGATGGCATGACACTTTACAGATGCGCTTGCGTAGCTGCATGCTGAAGCAAATTTATATCATAGTGAATTTCAGGTCCTTTTGAGCTCTGGAGAGGGCTCCGATTTGCAAAAGATTGGAATCGCGAGGACTCTTTTCCTAGGCCAGCGACGCTAGCTCTCACTAGCGCAGTCTTCACATGTCACACCGCGAGTCATGCAAATCATGACTCAAGTCTTCAGGCCATGCCTCGAGCACACCAGCACGGAATTGTTCAAAGAATGTTTGACACTCTTTTTGAGAGCTTGTTTGCACAGGACATGCCGAGAAACAGACACGTTTCACGCGAAGCAATACAGTAAGTACATTATCGTGCTCTTAGAGCCATTCTGCAGCTATACAAATTCAAAATCATGAGCTTTTGTCTCTCGACACAATCAATACTTGACGACTTCAAATCCATCGAAGTTTGGCAAAACAGCTCTGATCGTCTTGGCATACTCGTATTCTCCGCCAGAGTAGCAAGTCTGTTCGAATGCCTTCTTCGGGTCTGAGCCGCCCATGTACCTGTGTGAAAGTCAGCGTCAGAATCGTATGTTCATTGTGGGACGATCAGTGGCTTGACTTACGTGCTCTTGGTTGTTGGGAACAAAGTCTTGTCACTGAGCTCATTGATCTTTGACTTCCACTCACGGCTGGCCCTGTCAGTTGGGTTGATGTACTTGATGCCGTTGCGCTCGCAGAGCTTGATGGTATCGGTGATCCATCTGCCTTGGATTTCGATCGAAGTTGGGCCGTTCGAGAGGAGGGTTGGACCTTGAGGACCATAGAGATGGAACATGTTTGGATATCCAGCGACAGTGGTGCCAAGGTAGGTGTATGCTGCCTTCTTCCATTGATCCTTGAGCTTCTCGCCATTGATTGAAGTAAGGCCCATTGCGGTCATACCGCCAGTGGTGATGTCGAAACCAGTGGCTGAGCTATGTTAGTACAAAGTTATAAGTGATGTTATAACCCAAGACTGTACTCACCAATGACGATGACATCAAAGTCGTAGTGCGTTCCGTCCTGCAGGAAGAAGCCCTTCTTGTCCCAGCGAACAATTGGGTTGTGCTTAATATTGACAACGTCGACGTTCGGTCGGTTGAATTGTTCGAAATACGAGTGCTCGAGACATGGACGTTTGACGCCCCATGGGTGTGGTGGTTCGACGGGAACCAAGATATCGCGCTTGCGTGGGTCCTTGACGCGAACTGCTTGCTTCCTCTGCCAGAAATCATAGACTGCTCGATTGGCCTTGGCGTCAAATAGGTAATCTCTGCGGAAAGGGTCAGCGAGGCCATTTCAGTGATCGCAGTCACTCCGTACCTGTAGTTGGCTACCCAGTATCTGAAGCCACCATCCTGCCACAGCTTCTCCAAGAAAGCTTCTCGTTCCTCAGGAGTATCCTGGAAGGTATCTCTCTCGGCAAAATCGTACAGGAAGCCGCCGAAGCATGTCTCGCGATAAGCGAAGAGCTCTGGGTACCATCGCTTCGCCTCTTCTTGCTCCTTGACTGTAAGGGGGCGTTGACGCATGGGAACAGTCAGGTTTGGTGTGCGTTGGAAGACCTTGAGCTCGCCAGCAACTGGTCCCCAGGCTTGGGTGATCTGCACACCCGTGGCACCAGTACCGATGATTGCGCACTTCTTTCCGCGGACATCCATCTCCTCGTCTGGCCAGAAGGAGCTGTGGTGGACAACACCCTCGTACTTGTCGATGTCTGGCCATTCTGGTACGTATCGCTTGGCAGCGAAACCAGCAGCGAGAACGAGGTATTTGGCAAAGGCAGTTCTGCCATCAGCAGTCTTGACGTGCCAGCGACCTTCCTTCGTGTCGAAATTGGCGCCGACAACGACACTGTGGAATGCAGTCTCATTCTTGACTCCAAGGACTTTGTCGCAGTGGTCGAAGTAAGCTCTCAGATCCTTGTACGTTGGATAATTGTTTGGCCAGTTGTATCTGCCTGGCTTCAGTCAAACTCAGACGAGGAACCTCACTTTATACTCACGTCTTCCAAGTTTCTGGAATCGAAAGTTGATACTCTGGCACTTCAGAGTCGACCATGGCACCGGCTGAAGTGACAAGATATGTCAGAGCACAGCATCAAGGGCAGAGATCGATGAACCTACGATAACAATTCCATCGCCAAGTTCCACCGAGATCGTTACCAGCTTCGTAGATGACGGTGTTCAAGCCTGCTTGTTTGAGAGACCACCAGCAGAAAACGCCGCCGAAACCACCGCCAACGACGAGGGCATCGACTTCCAAATTGTCTTTGTAAGGTCCATCCTGTCTTCGACGCTGCCCATACTCGAAGAGCTGGGTCTTCAGTTTGGGGTTCGTAGCCTCATCGATCGACATGATTGCGGGATACTGGGAGGATGGTCGTGCTCACTTGGATCAGTGTTGCAACCATTCCAGAGTGCATCTCGTCTCTCTAATATAGTGATGTTGCAACATCGCACCTCTCTGCAGGATCCTTGTCCGGTACCCCTCCGTACTCGAATCAGCATCCACAGTGCGGTTCCGCATCGAGAAATATGCGACCAACCTCGAAAGACGCGGAGAAATGTGGAGATTTGGACCCTGCCAGAGCTCTAAGCTCTGCTGAAGATGGCAGACCATCTTCTGGGATCGTGCATGGCGAACGCATTGCAAGGCATGGCTTGGCGACCTCTAGCGTTGCCTCCTCCTTCGCCTAGCTACACATCCGCATCTGTCTTGGACCCGCATCATCTCTTCGACATTTCTGCAATGTGGTGCGGAGCCGTTGTGCGGTAGCATATATGGATTCTGGCAAGGACTGCAAATGCGCTCTACAGTATCAGTTTGTACTGTTGTCCACCTAGCTCAGAGGACCCCGAGCTGCACCCTGAGAAGCCGCATGGAAAGATCACTGCAGGCATGAGCTGGATTTCAGGCGTTTTGATCACGAAGAGCCAGCCTCTTCGTGGTGTCAATCGCATCAAGCAGCAAATTGACCCGGTATCCGGATCTATCCTAGAGGCCGGAGAACTCTTCCGCACACTCTTGTTCGCGCTTCCAAGGAGCTCGGCGACCGCATCACTGTAGAGTGGTGTTCGGAACCTCCTGATGCGCACCCGCGAAAGGCGTTGTCTGGTGGGCCTCCTTCTTCTCCACGCGGCCGTGGGCGGCCCCGATGAGCTTCTCACTCAGCTTATAGACTCTTTCCCTTTCCAATAGCAGTAGACCCCTTGGTCTCTCGAGCAAGGTTCGCTGTCTCCACTTGGCGACTCCCTCTGAGTCCAAATGTCACCTGCGAGAAGGTGCGGCTCAGCAACTGGCCCGCCCTTGAGAACACCATCTCAGAACCTCAAGCCGCAGTCATGGTGTTCGATCGGTTTGCGCAGTAAGAAGACGCGGCGTGACTGCCTTGATACACTCTGGCCCGCTTCATGATCTCTTGTAATAGCTAAATCGAGCGATGCTCGGCTCTGAGTGGTAGTGGCAGTGGAGCTGCTCATTGACGAGCTCAACAGCTTGAAAATGGCGCTGATGTCCTTGAGTTGAGCAGTTTTAATCGGAGCTACGGCGCCGCCGGTGAGGAAAAGGTCGCAAAGGCGTGAAAGCATATCCAAACTCCGCCCTCAGGCCGAAGGAACGTTGCTGTCCCTCATTGCCTAGATGCATGCAGCTGACCGCCGCGACTGAGTACGCCCGTCCTTGAGGACGTTTCTTTGCATTGCTCCGTCATGCTTTCCATTGCTGCCTGTTAATGAAACGATCCTTGAGAGCCTCAGCGGACTTCTAAACAGCTGAAGCTCCGCGAACGGGGCCCTGTCTGCTCAAGCTAGTGAACTCCACTCTCTCTAACTTCGATACCTCGTCATCGAATGCAGTGGTCATCACCTCGATTATAGAGTCGTAGGGGTCGACATCGATGCAGGCCCTCTGGATTGGGGATTTTCGCGAGAAATGTTACGTGATTGATGCGATGTGAGAATAAACGCCACGCCAGGTTGGTGAGGCAAAATAATGTCACCGTCTCGGGTGATGGCGGCATTCCCCGTGGACCTTGTTATTTGGCATGCAGCGTTCTTCTACAAGCAGAGCAGAGCGCACCATTTTAGACCTGGCGAAAGAGGTTTGCTTCACGTATCTTCTGCCGGAAAGACTGACTCTGTTGATTAAAGTCGTATGTTACATCCCACAAGTACAGGTGATGTGGAGGCAAGGTATAGGATACACAACCTGCGGCCTGCGCAGGTGTTATTTGAATCGCTTCCCAGTGTGATACCACGACTACGACAGGTCGCCTCTCAATTGTGATCAATGTCTTCCTGATGAACCGTATAGTATGAAATTCTTCGATCAAGTCCGCTATCGCCATCGAAGCGCTTGCTTCGAGTACGTCTACCGTCTAGGCGAGTAGCGGAAGTCAAGCGCGCACTTTCCATGTCAAGCTCCGAGAAGACGAGAGAAGGTAGCAGCGGTACGCCAGGGCTTTGATCCGGGGTGGAGGAACTCTTGTCACCCATCACATCATCAGGATGCCCGTCCCTACAAGACCACCTGTCAAGATGGCGCAGTACTTCTCGGCTCCAGATCCGAGGCATCACAAGGAGTCTGAAAGGCACGAGGCCTAGAATGACAATCGGGAAGGCAGGGCCAGCGATGGTCAATGTCATGATGAAGACCATTATGGTGACGAATATCTGGAACAGGGTGTAAGAATGCAGGCCCCAGTAGCGCACGCCAGGGTAAGGAGGAGGCAGCTGCGCCTTTGGTGTGAGCATGTTGAGTGTTCTTCGGAGGATGGGATTGCTCGCAAGGCTCTGCTGGCCCATGAAGATGAATAGTCCAGCAAGAACACTCTTCGGCGTAAATCCGAGTACGCGCTGAAGCGGTGGCGCAATACATGCTAATATCCCGCCGGCATGTATAATCTTGCTCCAGCGCTGCTCGTGAACTCGATAAACCGGTCGCGTAATGGTATGCTCGATGCCATTGCTGTCCCTGACGACCTCTTCCACTACCTCATCTGGAGAAGGATACAACAGGCTCTGGGTGTGAAGAGGCGCCTGCGGTAACAGTCCGTTCGCGGGAGGTATTCCAAGAAGACCACAAAGTGCAGTCGTTGCACCGAGTAGCATAATCTCAAGCGCAAAGCCATTCGGCTTCTGTATGCCAAACCATTTTGCTGTGGCGATTATAGTGCTGATCTCGTGATCAAAGAAGAAGAGCATGGCAATGATTGCTCCCGAGAGCATCGATGCGAAGATCGAACCGATGTCCAGTTCCCAAAACTGGACGAAGAAGCCACTGCGTTCCGGCGAAGACGGCGCGAAACGGTCAGTACTGGTCGACAGCCTATTCTTCTGCAGCCGGCCAGCATCACCAATGTACCCGAGAGCAACAAAAGTGATGACAGCAATGGCAGTTCCGTATTGTCGCAGCATACGTCGTATCCATCTGGGAAAGAATGTCCAGCTCTCAGCCGTTGACAGCATAAGTGCTAGAAGGAAAGTTCCCACAGCGTCAATGACTGAGAAGAGAAATGCGTCCAGAGGCAAGGTGCCATGGGATCGTCGAAATTCTTGCAAAGCCTTGCTGAAGTAAATAATGGAATTGAGGAGGCTGAAGACCTCGCAGGTGAACTCGGTTACGTAGAGCATGGACCACTCGTGGGCATTGAAGATAGCCAAGGCCCACAGCATCCAGCAGCTGTGAAACAGAGACCAAGCCATGAACGGAAGGTAGGGCTTTCCCATGGATTCTGTCACTAGATTGTGGAGATGTTCGGCAATGACAGTAAAAGAGCCTGTCACACCTAAGATGGTCAGAGGTTGCAGTCCGAACAGCGAAAACACGGCGTTGCAGATGCCAGTGCTTAGGACGATCTCGATAGTACCCCATTGTTGTCCCGTTAAGTCGTAGAGCTCGCTTGCAAACGTGATCCCGGGTAGAAGATTCGTAAAGAAGACAAAGACGGCACTCGACAACACAACAGTGTTGAATATTGTCCAGTCGCCGAAATATCGCCTCTTTAAGTTGACAACATCCGCGCTGAGCAGTCGGAAGGGCCGAAGTTTCCCTTCCTTGGAGGCAAAGGTTTTGAAAGCGGTTCGCATCTTCAGTGCTCTTCTCTTTGCTAGTGAGCAAATTGTTGATGTGCCAGAAGAATAAATATATAGCATATCACAACTCCTGGTCAAAACCATATCTCTTACATGGGACATTGAGGTGTATCTCTGACAGTGACACGTATGGTATGCATTGCGCTGAGACGTCCGAACGAGCTTGTTGCTCATGGCAAGAGAAGCTGGGCATAACCAGTTTTAGCAGGGCGTACTAGGTACAATCTCAGCATCTTCAGGCTGTGTTGAAGCTTGGCAATGGCATGCAGGAAGTGGCGAATGAGGAGTGAAAAGCTCTCCAAACGAAGATGATGCCAAGGAGTTATATGAGACGGAAGCGCGGATTGCTGTCGTCGGCCGTGGCGGTGAACGTCGTCAACGGTATGGCTGAGCTCATGCCCGGCAAAGCTTCTCAAAGCTGAGCTTTTCAGTCTTGTATTGACGAAGCCTCTTTAGCTTGGGCTTGTCTTCGTAGTCGCGCCAAGCCAGTGGTCTCAATCCAGACTCTGGGAGGCGGACCAAAGCGAGCTGCACCCAAGATCGTTGGCAGAAGGTACATGGATCTATGCCTCAGACAGCGCTGCAGTGTATGTCGTGACGCTTTGCAAAGCTAGGGGCCAGGGAGCTCCGGCGTTTTCCGGAGAACGAGAAGCTTTCCGCGAAATGTAGTCGCGTCTCAGACAAATCTCTACGGCACTATCTGAAGCAGAGACCATCGAGGAGGCTGTCAGAGTCCACTGTGATTGGCAGGGAGATACGCTTCATGGCGACTGCTTGGGCTGTTCGACAGATCGGCAGTGGTTAAAGCTCATGCATCGTGATTGCACTTAGTGCCTTCAGGCGTGAAGAACATCGCTCACTAATCCATGCCCGTAACGGACGCCAGGCCGGCTGATGAGGGCAGAGCTCGCCAAGGGAAAACATCTCAAGTAGTCCTTGTGAGCCTCATCAGCCTGGGCTGGCCAATTGCCGATCTGCGACGGTACTGCACGAGGCGTGCATTTGGACAGCCTGGAAGAGCTTTGCACTGCCTGAGGTCATGGCCGTCTTGTTTCACGTCAATCTGTGTGACATTGAAGATTGCAGGGAACAATCCAGGCAGAGTTTGCTGATGAGCTATGCGAGCGATGTTGGTGCCCAGCGTGGATGATCGTCGGTGGTATAGACCGGCCTCGAAGCCAGGGAGCACGTTCCTTCCCGCGATGATGATAAGTCCTGCGCTCCGGAATGGGGTGCCAAGAGACGACGCGAGGGGTGTGGAGGGCGGAGCGTGTTTGATATGAGGATGAAGCTGGGCGAATTCAGCTGCTCAGGGAGTGCGAGGTCAAAGTAAGAAGTGAGATCGTGCAGAGTGTTGTTGTTGGTCGACCGACGTGGGCGAACCGGAAGAAGTCTTGGCAGCGGGCGATGGCTCGGACCGCTAGTCAAACAAGGTCGTGCTTGCTGACGACGACAACCTTTTGCTGCCCGAGAGCCGACACGTGCGTGATGGAAGCGTTTTGACTGCAGGGAGCACAGCTACTTAACTGTCGCCCTCGTGGCTCTGCTGCGTCGCGTCTGGAGCAGCAGAGTGGGGGTTCTTGTGCTGCTCGACCTCGTCACCATCCATCGTACCATTCCGCAGGACCATGGCAGACACAGCCCAGCTCGACCTGGACACGGACCGCATCAAGCAATGGCGTTCCATTGTCGCTCTGATCATCTTCGTCGTCGCCAGTAAGTGGTCGAGGAAATGCCAAGACATAACCTAGTGCTGATCCGCGCGTTCTTCAGACCTCGTTGTACTTTTCCCCTTCCACATCCCCATCTGGATCCCTCAAAGGCCTGTGAATGCCGCATTCGCAGTCTTGGCTCGCCTGCGAGTGCTGTCGCCCAGGCAGGAGAAAAGGCAACGACAGGTCGCCCAGGTCCAAGCACTCGCCTTCGAACGATGGAACTTCCCCATGGATTTTGTAACAGCACCCCTGATTGCAGACCTGTTCTTGCTTGCCATCGGAGCGATTGGTCGAACTGAAGTGCACGATGGCACTGTCGGGGCGAACCACATTGCCCCGATCGATATCATGGTCTTCTTCTTGTCATTAGCCTACATTGCCTTGTCCATCGATGCCTCAGGATTGATTCGATGGCTAGCCTGCCGCGTCCTGCGGAAAGGAGGTAAGCATGGCTACAGGCTCTACTTCTATCTGTATACGTTCTTCTTCGTCATGGCCTGCTTTGTTGGAAACGATCCAATCGTGCTCTCTGGCACTGCCTTCTTATCGTATATGTCCAAGGTTTGTGCTTCTCCTGCCAGTGCGGCTGAATCGCGATCGCCATTGACAATATACAGGCTTCTCGCAACATCACAAACGCCACGGCCTGGATTTTTGCTCAATTCACGGTAGCAAATATTGGCTCCGCTGTGCTCGTCTCATCGAACCCAACGAATCTGGTGCTAGCCGGTGCGTTCTCTGTTAGGTTCATCGTTTTTACCATTAATGTCATTGTGCCCGTGTTGGGGACGATTATACTTCTTTTTCCTTGCCTACTATGGCTCCTCTTCCGCAAGGATGGGCTTATTCCCCACGAGATTGAGCTTGAGGAGCTTCCAGAGAACATCAAGAACGCAGAGCCGGTTAACCCGAATATACCACAAGAGTACCACAAAAGATTGACACCGGAAGAGCAGAGCGCACTCGCGATATCGACTGTCCTGAATCCATACCTGGACAAGAAGAGTGCCATTGTGGGCGTCATCATAATGAGTGCTACTCTCATCACGATCCTCGTCATGAATGCAACGAGCTCGAATGGGCATGAACATCCTGTATTCTGGGTGACACTGCCTGCAGCAGTCTTGATGCTCTCATGGGATCTTTGCTTTGGGTGGATACACCGGCACGAGACGCGTCAAATCGCGGTCAACTCGTCCAATCTTGGCTCGACGTCAAGAAAGATTGGAGGAAGCGAAGACGAGGCTGACCACGCCAATGACCATGAAAGCGTTTTGGATCTTACTGCAGATGTCGAGAAAAGCGGTCTGTCAGAAGAGAGTATTGATGAACAGGCGGATACTGGGCAGAAGAGCCCAAAAGCGTCACATGACGCAGTAAGCGGGAAGTCACCGAGAAGAGATCATTCACAAACTCCATCGAAGGAAGTCGTGCTCGAAAAGATTGCCGTTCAGATTGAAGATCCCACCGACATCAGTGATCCGAAGCCCGGAATGGCGGCGACAATGAAAAGCTGTGAGCAACGAACCCTGCATTCTGAAACAATTCGTGGCTGGAAATGGCTGCGCAGGACATTCCCGGCGAGCAGTGTGGTCATGACGCATCTGCCTTTTAAGTTGGTTCCCTTTGCTCTCTGTATGTTCGTGCTCGTTCAAGCCCTGGTCACCAAGGGCTGGGTCGCGGTGTTCGCATATGGCTGGGATCACTGGGTGGATCGTACGGGGGTCGTTGGTGCAATTGGCGGGATGGGCTTCTTGTCAATTGTTCTATGCAATGTAGGTTGAGATTCTTCTGCAATGGCCTCTGACCACTACTGACTTGCAGACAGTTTGCGGGAACCAACATCGGCACGGCCATTCTTCTCTGCCGGGTAGTCCAGTCATGGGTCGAAATTCATGAACAAAACGGGCTGCCCATCAGTAACAGAAGGTTTTCGGCTACAGTTTACAGCATGGCGATAGGTCTGAACTACGGCGCTTTCAGTACGGCGTTCTCGGCGTCACTGGCCGGTCTCCTATGGCGCAGCATTCTCGATCGGATGGGCATTCATGTGCGAAGCCGGGACTTCGCCTTGGTGAATATTCCCATCATCGCAATTGCCACAATCATTGCTCTCGTCATTCTGGTTGGGCAGATATACATCACGCGAGATACAGAGGCTTACGTTCCGAGCATGTGAGCATTTGTATGCTTTCTATGGGGAAGCATCGAAGGCACAACAGGCTGAGCCTCAAGATGCGTATACTCAAGTACAAATCGTCTGGGCACTCTGCCACCATAAAACAGGATAGAAACTAGATTATTACCGCGTGCTTTGTCCGAGCGACTCAGCAACTTCTTCGCTCATGTCATCTCTGCCTAGTGCTGCGGATCAAAGGCGACCTGTCTTTCAAACGAAGAAGGCATGCATCTACATTAAAGCGGACAGTGCCTGCCGGCGAACAGCAGAGAAGGAACTTCGAAACTACATCTGTCGCTATCTCGTCACGACCCTATTCATGAGCCTGTCTGGCTTCGAGAGGCAGAGTGCCTTGAATACGCTGCACAGGGCAGAGATACAATACGTGAAAAATATAATCGCAATCCACCCACTGCTGGTGTAATGCGACAGATTTCGACGCACAGTTCAGGTGCGCCGCACCTCCCGAATAGTCGGTATCGAGAGCACGATTCTCATTGTCAAAGACCCACCGGCGAGACTCCCTTTCGCAAGACCCTCTCAACAGGACCCAAATACTTCCAGCGCAGTCGAAGCTCACTACGACCCCTGGTGCATATCCAAGAAAAGAAGATGGCGACCCCCAAGAGCAGTAGGATAATGCGCTGGCTCTTGATCAAGGAGCTGTCAGCAGCGCGAAGAAGAGAACCAAGAAGAACCATGAGTACAAGACCGCCGATGAACCTTCCAGACAGCAGACGCTCGCTGATACTAAAGCCCAAGTTATGGCTGAGCGAGATGCCGCTGGAGAGACCACTCGGAAGCACTATCCTGACTACAAAGATTCCAATGCTTCCTCCACCGAGAAAGACTTTGACGAGGCTATTGAGCAAGAAGAGGATGAAGGCGCCGGAGAAGAGCTCAGTGAAGAAATGAACACAACCGCCACTGACGCCCCCCAAGAGGATGACACCGAGTCCGAAGCATTTGAATCCGAATACGATACCGCCAACGACACCGATTCAGATGACCAGCTTATAGACCCGCGAAGACACGCGAGAGAGTCAAGGGATTCCCGAAGATGCAGGCATCTATTTAACGAAGATGGGTCGCAGACTGCGGAACAAAGCGCAGCAGAAGAACTTGTGGATGAAGACATGGACGAAGACGAGGAGGAAGAACTGGCAGCAGAGCTGCATACTGCGCAGACTTCGCGGAAAGGCCAGCCTGATGCCTTCCTCTGCATGGTGGCCAATATACGCGAGGTCTTGCTGCGCAACATCCGGCAGTGGCAATCGAGACACAACAAGATGTGAGCTGAGGCAGACCCGTAGAATCTTGCAACTGCGAAGCGCGAGCTCGCAAGATACGGCCAGAATCCAGACGGTGTTATGTTCATGGATGGGGATGAGGAGGAGCACTTCGGAGATGAGGGTGATGGTGGAGACAGCGGCAAAGAAGAGACTGACGAAGATGAAGATTGCTTGCCTCCGAAGATCGGATAGAGGCCTCTGCTCTCCGGCATGACGAAGAGACACGAGTGGGCTGCAGAAATCTGTCGGAGATGCGACTATAACTCGGTTCAAAGACGGTCTTCTTCCAGAACCAGTAGTTCTTCGCCGGCCCCTAGCATGACGGAGAACGATATATGTGCCGCGGGCTCTGTGTGAGATACGAAACAAGTACCCTCAAACCGCAATATTGAGAGCGAGACGTATCAAGCTCATGGTTTCTGCCCATATGAGGCTTCTAGTATCGGCGGTAGCTTCTGTGTAAGGTGTTCGACTATAGCATCCGGACCCTGCTCAACTTGTAGCCCGTGTGGGATGGCGTAGGTGATGATATTTGGGTTGACGCCTCGGGCGATGCTCAGAATTTGTTCTGCTTCTTCGGCGCTCCACATTGATGCACAAAACAAAAGGTCAGGCTGATTTTCCCTCACGGCTGCTTGCACTTCGTCGATTCCTGCAAATTCGAGTCAGACTTGGGTAGATATACAGCCGCTTGCTGCTGGCTTCGCTTACTCTCGCAGTTGTGGAGGTGTTGAATCTCGTATGTGTCTTGGAGATTTTGAGCCACACGTCCAACGAGGCGTTTTGCTCGCTCTGGTGCTGTATTCACAGTGACTAGCTTGAATGGTCCTTTAGGCATGTTCGTTGATATCATCGTCAGTAAGAAGAGCTGTAGTGTCAGTAGCGCAGAACGAAGTGCTGCAGGAGGGACGGGTGAGGTGAGATAAAGACGTCAAGACACAATGTGTCGTGGTTAACGCCGAGCAGCATGTGGCGGTCGGTCCAGACCTTGGTCCCGTGCCTTGCCATTCCGCGGAAAGAAGTTCAGTGACCTTCGGCTTCCAGAGTCGGGATTACTCTCGAGCAGCAGAGAGGATCGAGAATGAAAGTCGATGGAATATTGATGGATCCTGGGAGGTTCTTGGACGTCCGAGAGGTTATGTCCGGGCATTCGGAGGCGCCTCTTGACTGATAATTGCAGCTTGCTTCATGTGCACAAGCTGCTCCCTGGACTTTCGCCCGGGTCACAAGAGTTACCTGACCTACTGCAGAGATTCGAGTTGCACAAACAAGTCTCCAAAGGCAGTGGTATTGCTGTGGAAAGGGCGGCGGCGAGCTCGGACGTGGAGGAACTGTTCCACTTATCTCCGACACCTCGGAGAAGTGCTTCACCTTGCCGAGTTGTAAGCCGAACACGCACTTCACTCCATCGCTAGCGAGATGTCGTCAACTATCTCTTTGAGCAAGAGCGATATCGCGACGCGCTGGAATATACAGTAGAGCAGTGCAGTGCGGCTTTGAAGACAGGAATCGAATCAGCTCCTTACCTTTCATCCTGTTGCCAAGATGACGACCACCACCAACGGCATCGACGAAGGACTCGCGTCTGCCTTCAGACAGCACCTGCCAGATCTCACCTCTCCTCGCTTCACAACTTCGGCTCAGCAGAGTCCATATGAATACTCTGAGGCTTTTCAGAAAACCGGACATCCACCTTGGCTTTACAAGCTTACGAAAGCATGGGAAGACCTTCTCGAGGAGCCTTTCCAGGGAGTGACAACAGATGGTATGCATCTCGCTTCTGTCCAAGAAGAAATTCTGACGTCGAGGCAGGCAAGATTCGTAACGATGTATTCCAGGAAGAAGACTTCGCAGGCGCTGAAATGGACAAAATCGTAAACGCAACGAACACACTGCTTGACAAATTAGACTCATCACAAAAGTCGAAGGTTCAGTATTCGCTCAATGCAAAAGAGTGGCGCTGCTGGTCCAACCCCGAGTTCCTACTCCGACCATTTGGCCTCAGATTGGAAGAGCTGCCGGAAGAGACAGCACAATCCATCCTGAGTATCATGGAAGCCACTTTCTCCTCGGCCGGCTATGAAAAGGCACTTGCCGCCATGCGGGTCAACCACTTCTTGGGCGAGGTGTGCAAAGTCCCCAGGATCATGAATCAATACTCGTACAACTTTCTCCTCTTCGGCAAGCCATCGGCAGAACAAGCCTGGGGCTGGTCGATTTATGGTCACCATTTGTGCCTGAATGTCTTCCTTAAAGGCAGCCAGATTGTCGTTGCCCCATACTTCACCGGAGCTGAGCCAAATCTGATCGACAGCGGTCCGTGGAAGGGTACACAGATCTTGCATACGCAAGGTGATCTGGGCCTCAAGCTCATGCAGAGTCTTCCAAAAGAGCAACAGCAAGTCGTACAGACTTACAAGCTATTGAGAGACCCCGCGATGCTACAGACCGGGGACGTTAAGATTGATCGCTGGAACCAGGACGATCAACGGCACCTGTGCGGCGCCTTTCGAGACAACAGAGTAGTGCCTTACGAGGGCGTGAAAGTGTCCGAGATGACCAACGAACAGCAGGACATCGTTCTAGAAATTGCAGAAGAATTTCTCCTTTACTACCCAGACCAGACCAGAGCGAAGCAGAAGCAGCTTATTCAGAAGCATTTTGACGACACTTATTTCAGCTGGATTGGCGGTTACGGAGGCGACGATGCATTCTACTACCGCATTCAAAGTCCGGTCATCATATTCGAGTTTGGTAAGAAGTTTAGATCTACTTTGTGTGGGTTCCTTCCGCTGACTTGGTCTGTACAGACCACCATTCTGGCGTCTTTTTGACCAACACCGAGCCCGCCAAATTCCATACACACACGATTTGCAGACTGCCGAATGCAGGAGACTACGGCCAGGTGTTCCGGTCCGAGCAAGACCGTGTACCGTAAATCAACATTGCAGACGCTCATGCCGGCATCTCAATGGCTCCGTTCGCATCTCCTCCAGACCTCTTCGCCCAAGCGGCGTACCATACCACTTCAAATCCCTGGCTCTCAGCTTCCTCCACTGCTTGCTCGACAATTTCGTCGAAGCGATCTGTATCTGCTTTGCTGCGACTGCCGCTTCTGTCGCCTTTGAGCTGCTTGAGCCAAGCCAGTCCAAGCTCTTTGCCATGTGCTTCAGCGCCTTCACCGATGCGGCTCGCGCTCTTCTTCATTCCGACATCATTCAGCCTGACCCCGGAACTATGGCTCGCGACGTCAAGTATCGCAGGCAGATCGCCTCCCAGAGTGCCTTCCGTTCCGCCTGAAGAAAGCCCGTTGCCGAGCATCTGGAACAGCTGCTTGCTCGGTGTGTCTGTCGTCGCCAGGGCTGATGGCTCGAAACAGCGATCGACAAGCAACAGCGTGCCGCCCGGTTTGAGCAATCGAAGGAGACGTCCCGTGATCTCTACCGCTTTCTCGAAGGAACTTTCACTCGAAGATATCACATGTTGCCAGTGGACAAGATCAAAGTACCCATGGATATCGTTCGGCCAGTCGTCGCGCGGGCTCTGTGCCAGGAAGCGCATGTTTTGTGGAATGGTGAAAGGTCGCTGCTCAGCGGGCATAATCGCCGCATCTGTGCCGACTAGATCTGCATTCTCCGGATCGTGTAGCTGCGAGCGGAGGTCGTAAAGCCAATAGCCATCGCCAGTGCCAACATCAAGGACTCGCATCTCTGGGCTATCGAGCGTTACTGCCTCCGCCACGAGACTGCCAAAGGCCGATTTCGATAATTCATGCTGAGCTCCGCCATGGAAAGAGCCAGCAGAGTCGTGGTCATCCACATTGGTTGACATTGTAAGCAGATTTTTGAAGAGAGATCAGCATTGAGGACAGGACGTCTGCCTCTTTTTGTGCAACAGTGACGCTCGACCCTGAGGTGACGCAGTCAGCCAACTCTATACAGCCTGCGACAAGGTACAAGTGCTTGCAGCCAGGACCTGAAACACGTCGAGCGTAGCCTGCGACAGGCACCAACATGAGCGCCTGTCCGCTCTGTTGAGACATTGGGTAGTGCAATTTGACAATGAAAGTCATACAGCATTTGTTTGCCCGTATGATGCATGCTTCGGCTTTACTTTACCTTCCTCTTCCTATGACATTTTATGATAGAATTTCAGCGTGAAACATCAAAGGCACATGTATTGACAGATGTCAACTAGCGACGTCACTCATCAGTCGTGGAAGTACTTTCGATGCACACCTGCAATACTGAACAGTGCATGCTGTTCCGGTCTTGGCAGGCATCACGTCTCGACAGTCATTTCATTAGACATTAGCTTATTCGGCAACAGCTGTATAGTAGCGCGCCACAGAGCAAGTAAGCTAATAATGTCTCATGCCATTCCTCCCACAAATCTACCAAACCTTGCCTTTCGTCTGCTTGAACTCGTTGACCTTGATATTTCGCCACACAAGAACAGCAGGTACTGCAAGAGCCAAGACTGCGGTGGCAGCGATCGTCTGATACTTCATCGCAACACCATAAGCCTGCTCGATTGCATCTCTTGCCGGCGTTCCTTTCTCGAACACCTGTTGTTCTGTGATCGAGCTCGCGATGATGGTGGCGTTGGGCTGCAATTCCGGTGGGAGGAAATCTGCCAGAGAACGGGGAAAATATTCGTTCCACAATGGAGTGCTGATCGAGTACCCGATTGCCTGTCCCACAGAGAAGAAAAGTGCTTGGATGGCGAGCACAACGGCAATGTACTGATGGGTGACGGCGGCCATGACGGCTGTTTGAGAGCAGATAGTGGTCACACCACCTCCCAGAGCAATGAGAACCTGACATACGATCATAGGCCCGATGCTATAGGAGGGCTGGCGGAATTCGGTGAGCATCCCCACTCCTATGATGACCAGTGGCAGTCCGATGTAGGCCGCCAACCACTTGAACTTGCCAGACCAGCGTATTAAAATACCGCAGATGACGCCTGTGAAGCACGAGCCGATGCTGTAAATATTCTGGACGTAGCCGGCCTCAGTGACAGAGAGCCCATACACGATCTGAGTGAACGGATTCATGAAGCTGGCCCAGATGCCGAAGGACATTGCCGATGAGAGCTGAACGATGTTTGCACCCATCACGGTGCGGTTCGTCAGGATGTGCCAGGGTGCGAACTGAATAGGGGCGAAGAAGCGTTCCCACAGGACAAAGACCACTACGAGCACGATACCGAGAACGAGCATGGCGATGATGAATGGCGTGCCCCAGCCCTGTGCTTGCCGACTGTAGATGTTGAACGGCAGGAGGAAAAGCGCCAGACCTGCGCCGAGGAAGAAGATGCCGACCAAGTCGAATTGGATGGCGTAGTACTTGATCGACTCGAACGTCGTTCGTCCCGAAGAGCCTTTGCGCAAGACTCCCTCGCGTCGAGCTTTTCTGGTGTACCACATGAATAGTGCGACCAAAGGAAGGTTCACAGCAGGCTCAATGATGGTGAAGACGCCGTAGCCCCAGCGCCAGCCAGGTCCATCCAGGAAGGCTTGTGCTAACGGCGAACCAATCCAGGTGGTTGCCAGGAATGGAGAAGTTTCCAGAGCGAACATGAATCCTCTGTTCTTGAGGGATGTGATGTCGGACAAGAAGACACTGATGCAGAGGTCCCGGCCGAGGATACCAAACCAGTAAAACACCTGGGCGCCCATGTACATCTCCACCGAGTTCGTGCCTGCCATCATGGCCAGGCCGATGGTAACGAAGAGAATCATGACTGCAAAGCCTTGAGGCCTCCCCCAGACGTCGAGTAGTTTCGCAACACCCAGACGGCCAACACCAGCAAGCAATTGCGACACGACGCCCGTTGTCGCATACAGCCCGAGTGCGCTGAAGTCACTGACAACGTAGACTTCCAGGCCAAAGCCCATCTGTTGTTGCAGCGATCCGACGAAGGAGAGGAAGACGATGAAGACCAATGCGGCGGCTAGTGTCTTCTTCGTCCATACGGTAGTAACGGCTTCGATGGCCTTCACACCATCTTGCGCGCCTTCTGTGAAACTTTCGACGTCGCTGTCGGTGGGCGATTTGGAGGGGTCGCTGCCGTCATGGGATGTTGTCCCGTCATCGTGCTTGAACTGTTCCACGTCGTCACCAACAGTCGGTTGAGGGTCCGTCTCCACTGGCACACCCACGACATCCGGAGCAGCCGGCTTGCTCCTGTTCAGGAAGGCAGAAGTCAAGCGCGACATTTTGATAATGTGCGTTTGTCTATGGCAGAGAGGAAGTGAAGTGGAAAGTGGAGGACTGATGAGATTGATAAGATTGCCACGCACCCTGGAAAGGTGGGGATTGGGGGAGCGAAAAGTGCTCAACCGGGCACGATGACACCGATGGCATCAGTAGGATGCAGAGGGCGCTTTCTGAGAGGCTCCGACACCGCCGCAATCCTTGAGAAGGCAAGAGGCTTGACGATCGATGGTGGGTGGGCAGACCTCGGCTGGCGGCTTGGCCCTCGTGGCAGCCGCTGGGCATGCGGCGTCAGTAGCGATTGATGAAGCTTTACGAAGGCGGCGTGGGAGCTTGTCTGCCCCTTGGTGGTGTTGGCAATGGGTCATTGTATCGAAGTGGTTCATCGCCCGAGAAGTCGCTGCCGCGCTGCGTTGTCGCTCGCGCCTGGCATCTGACGTTGGATGGGACGAACTTGCCATCGCGATCAGAAGGCACGCGTGCGGCGGCGAGCAACAGTGAGTGGGGAGTCGCTGTGCCGCTTTGACGGCGAGCGCAGATCGACAGCGACATCGTCAAGCGTGGGATACAAGCACGATCCTTCCATCTTTCATGTGCCAGACGATACGCGAGGAAAGGCGTGAGGTCCGAAGTGTAGCGTAGTCAGGCCTGACAAGACATGGGTGTTGGTGTTCCTGCCTGAAGCCAATGCCAAGAATCGTCGCCCGGCTGCTGCCGCTTGCGCAGAGGAAAGTCGCGTCGTTGGTCGGCGCCGCGTCTTCGCATCGCACCCGCGAGAACACCAGCCCAGCTCCAGCTCTTCGTCCCTTCCACCCTCTGCTCAGCGCTTCTCCTCACCCATACCGGCGCAATGCCGTTCAAGAAGGGCGGCGGTCACCACAAGGGCCGCAAATCAAGCACGCGCATCAGTCTCCCTGCGACAAGTATGCGACATCTCCAACCCCATGCAAGGGCACTCCAATGCTGACCTACTGATCGCAATAGGGACTCCTACACCCCGAGTGGATGACGACAACGAAGACGAAGAAATGGCCGATCAGGACGAAATTCAGTACGATGCGCCCGAACCTGATGCCGACGAGGATGAAGCCGAAGACGCTGCTACCCCTGCCGCAGACGAGGACGACGATGACGACGATGACGATGCGCCGCGAATCACTACAATACCACGACGGAGAGCGAAAGCCGCGCGGCGAGCATCGCGCAGAGGCGGCGACGACAATACCCCGGAACCTGGCGACGATGGCAGCGATGTGGGCACTCCGCAAAGGAGGCGGCGCGGACGACCGACAACAGGCAGCTCGAGAAGAACAGGAGGCTTTCGTGGGCGGCGAAAAGGTCAAAAAGACGAAGGCCCAAAGACCATTATGGACAAGAATGGCACGGTACTGGAGGTGATTGACGATGAAGCGCAAGTCGACTGGGATCCCGAAGGAGAAGAGAAGGTTGATGCGCTCGGCTTCCTCAAAGGAGGCAGGGAGTACCGCGTCCGTACCTTCACAATCATGGGCAAAGGCGAGAGGCAATACATGTTGAGCACCGAGCCCGCAAGATGTTGTGGCTTCCGCGACAGCTACCTTTTCTTCACGAAGCATCCGAAGCTGTACAAGGTCGTGATTGGCGAGGACGAAAAGAGGGATCTAATCGAGCGCACCATCCTGCCGAGCAGCTACAAGGGTCGCACCATAGGAGTGGTTGCCGCCCGATCAGTATTCCGAGAGTTTGGCGCAAGGATAATTGTGGGCGGAAAGAGAATCATCGATGACTACCGCGTTGCAGATGCCCGAGCGGAAGGCGCAGTGGAAGGCGAGCTAGCGGATCCTGACGACTATGTTCCGGACAAGCGCGAAGAGTACAATCGCAATCGGTACGTCGCCTGGTTCGGCGCCAGCGATGTGTATAAGCAAGGAGGCTCAACTGTGCCGAACAAACAAGGACCGATTGGAAAGCGCCGAAACAATATTACGCGAGAGAATTGGCAGTTCATGCATGCACGAGACGCAAGTCGCTTCAACTCGACGCTTACAGCACACCGCGCCCTGAACCAGAATGGCGTTTACGACTTCAACACGAACGCGATGTTCTACCCGAAGATTATGCAGCCTACGCATGCGAAATGGGAGTACATACCGCCTGGTGCAGACGAACCTCAAAATGGAGCGCTCACGAATGGCCTCACAAACGGACATGCGAATGGTGACTCGAGCTCCACAGAACACGACACGGAGAGTACGATCTTCACGCCTGTGCCTCCTGTGATTTCCCGGAATTTCAAAGTCATAGATACAGTATACTCCGCACCCCCAATATCTCATGCTGGGTATCCCGGGCCCGACGGCCATGTGGAGGATCCGACGTCTGGACCGAACGGACTGTCGAGTATAGCGCAGGAGCTCGTAGACGAATTGCCGCCTGAGTGCAGAGCAGCGTTCGAGGAAGCACGCGCTAAGGAGATCGGCTGGAAGAAGCAGTGGGGCACCGAGACCGACAGTGCTCATCGCGGGCATCTAAAGATCGGCTTTAATGGGTATCCTGTTTGATGTTATCAGGGCGTTAGGCGAATGAGGCGTTTTGCGAGTATCTGTGGCAAGGAGGTAAGAGCCACCTGGACTGGGTCTGATGTCCTACAAAAGGCTGCGACTACTTTTCTGGGTTCGCTTTTATTTTGAATTTGCGCCATGCGCGCTGAAGAACGTGTATGGGGTTGTAGGAGATGCAAGTAACAGACTTAGAGAGGACATCAGATCTAAGTAGTGGGAATAAGAAGAACTCGAAACGCCGCCGCTTCACGACGAATGGAGCGCAGCCTGAAGCCGGAATTCTTCCCCTCTTCTCGATTCAATGCAGCACTACCACACACTCACACGACCTCATCCATCATGACGAGCGCAGCAGCTTCTGTCGGTGGCACTGAGATGAGCAGGCGGCGAATTCATTGTCAAAGAGAGGACAAAGCCGTTTTCGGCTAAGACTTATTGGCTGCACATTCCAACGCAACCGCTCAGACAACGATCCCTTTTAGGCCACTTGCGCTGTGGCGACGACGCGCAGCGACGATTGAATTGCACTGAACACAATCTCATAGGTGTCGCAAAGGTGCGACAAGCGCCGATACAATCAATATGTCTTCAGGACTGGACTTGAGCGATCTCGGCGGGCTGAATATCACATTCTGCCCCACGCCGTTCGTTGCTGAATCAGATTTTCCCAATACGGGTGGCTGTAAGTGTTCAAGAAATAGTGCAAGACGATTCGCAGCTGACTATGAACATGCAGATCTTGGAGGGCGGTATTGCGGGAAGCTGTCTCCCACATTATCATGTTGTTTGCCATGTCCTCTGGAAAACTTGGTTTACACGGACAACTTCCTCCACTTGATGGATGCTTCGCATTGGCTCAATATCCCGAGTCTGGCGTTGCAATGCCTTCTGCTCATCACTTTCCTCGTCTTGCCGGCGGATGTTGGGCATCGGAATTACCTTGGTCTTGGACTGTGCATATCGATCATCATGGTTCAGGTACGTTGGAACTCGATACTTTCATCGTCGAAGACACACTGATCTAAAGACGAACAGCTCGGCTTCCTCATCCCACTAGGCACTAAACCCGATATGTGTCACGACACAATTACACCGAACGATATGCGCTCTTCCATGTCTTGCGCCTGGACTGGTGCGTTCCTCGTCACAGGAGCCATGGCTTGTGCTGTCTGGGTTATGCTGCGATCACTCTGGACACATCTTCGCATTTGCTGGGACTTCCAACACCAAAAGACGTTCTTCTGGGTCGCTCAGGCTGTTGGCTGGGGTTTGCCACTCTTATTCCTCACCTTGACTTTACCGATCACCGGCGTCAGCTATCGGCTTGGACCAAGTTGCGTGCCTAACCAGAAGAATTCTTTCCTGACGTGGTTCGGCTGGCTGATCGCTTTCGGATGCATCGCTGCTTTGCTCACGACGAGCACTACAATTTTCTGCCTCTGGGTGTACTTAAAAGATCTTGGAAAACATAGTCGGAGCGGGAAGGGACACTCGACGACTGAACAGAGTCGTACCGGCGATGAAAGCGTTGCACCGAACATGGAATCCGGCTGGGAAAGTCGAAACAGCACGAGGAGACTAGCCTGGACACGCGTGAAGAAAGTTCTGCTGATGCAATGGAGAAGCATGCTCCTATCGACACTCGTCATCGTCATGGTCATGTACTACGGCACAGTTTTCGTCAAGCAAACCAACACAAGTCTCGACGCAGAGAGCCCGGCAAAGAGAGAAGGACTGACCAATTGGGCCATCTGCATGGTCTTGAACTCTGGCGACAAGAGCAAATGCGATGCTTTATCGAAGATCTTAGGGCTTGATGAGGACGCTGTAATCGCAGCTTGGTTCATCGCAGGGGTAAGTTCGAATATGTGATCAGCACAATCCTAGATCAATTTTGCAAAAGCTGACAAATTGGCAAAACAGCTCGTGGGAACTTTCACTTTTCTTCTCATGTTCCGCCGGTCGATGATCGGAGGCTGGTGGTTCCTGATCCGGCATCCACGCTCATGGGGTCGTACAGAAAGTGTTGGTCATGAAGACTTCTTTATCATCGATCCTAAATCCCGGAACCAGACGAGCCTTACCGCAGATGGAACTAAACGCATGTCATTTGGCAAACAACTCCAATCAGAGAAAGAATTCGCCAACATCGACGCAATCGACGAGGAAGACGCCGAAAATGAATCTCTCAATGAGATCGAACCTTTCCCACATTCGTCGAACCGAACGCATGCTCCCCATGGCGTACCGTCAATGCTATCCCCCGTCTCACCAATCTCACCTGCTCTAGCAAACTCTTATCCGCGGCATGTAATGCATAGCGGAAATGCGACTCCTGTGTCTGGCATTTTACCCGATATTACAGAAACACCGAGGCGCCATGTGGCAGATAGCAAGACCGACAGTGCGATTTTGGGAGGTCCGCAGGCTCGCTGGTCAGATAGCACGACTTCTGAGGTGGAATATGAAGCTGGGGATGTTAGTAGGAGACACGAAACAACCAATTTGTTCGATGTGAGACATGGAGAGGAGGATCATGATGGGGAGATTGATGATTCGAGTGCTGTGAGGAAGAGAAATGCGAAGTTGGATAATATGTTCTAGATCGTTCCGTATGAATTTCAATTAATGTTGATACAGAATTTCGTGTGGACTTCATTCTAGGTTCAATGCTTGCGTCTTCCAGTCTTTGCGCTTCTTCTGTCATGATGAATGATATATCTGAACGGGTAGTCGTAGCTTCGTAGTCGTGCTGGGGTCTTTATCGAATGTGACAGACAATTCGATCGCGTGTCTTCTGCTCAGCAGAGGTGTCCAGAAGTCCGGGGTGAAACTCGGATCGATGCTGATGGTGAAGGGCGTTGATGCGCTCGCGGTGGTGATCTCTTTGAAAGATTGGCGAGAATCGTCTAGAATATGCTGTTAGCCAACGTATCATTCCAGTTCCGTTGATCATCTTACCATCACTATCCGACGAATCGTGTACTTCCCACTCAGCAAAGACATTTTCATACACCTGCACTTCGTCTTTCCTTTCCCGAACAATGGGCCGATTGAAATGGTTACTTTCCAAGACGTGCAAGGCTCGGGGTGCAGGTCTTTGCATGACGAATGTTGTGGTCTTCAGTTGTGCTTTGATGCAGTAAGATCTTGGAAGCTGCCATATACTGTCTTCCACATCGGTGGACTGATTTCGTACGAGCATGAAGAGTAGGTCGATCTTTGTATGAGCTTGATGCTGCCCTGGATATATGGTCAACGGCGCAGGTTCTTGACCAATAACGCCAATTTGGGCGGTGCCTAATGCTTTTCGAACCATTTTCGTCGTTCGAAGCACGTATTCCTCTGGATAGTCTTCAGTCGGGATTGGCGGAGGCGGCGAATGTAGAGCTGGAACATAGTCGAAAGGCCTCGATGCTGCAGCGATACGGTCTCCTTTTCGAAACGCAGATGCGACGATTTTGTAAGTGATCTTGTAATGGACTGCAGGGTCGGTAGAAAAGTTTTCCGACCAACGCTTCTTTGCCTGTTTGGAGTTGATAGAAGGCGGCATGCCTTGAGTAGAGGATCCACGTGAATACTCATTTCTTGCCCCTGTGTCAGGCTCCCATCTGGCTAAGGTGAAGTCGAAAGGGATCTCGGTTTTCGATTTTCCATTTTCCATTGGGCCGTCGAATAGAACAGACGATACGAACTTTGAAAGTCAGTCAAGATCTTGTGGCACGCCGTGTCCACTTACTGCATATTCTTGGGTATCTGTATTCGACTGTATGGAACCATTGACATCATTGGCGATTCTCGTTTCGATTACGCCTAGAATGCATATCGTCGTCAGCCCAAGACTCATCTGGCCGCTCACGACACTTACCTTTGACAATCACTCTGTAACGAAGTCCATTTTGAGGTTTCTTGGAATGGAAGCATGCTCGGCCGACTATAGGCTGACTGCCTGTGAAGATCTGTGTCTCTGACTGTTGCCACGAGACGCTCGATGTAGCATCAAGATCAATCCGGGCTTCTACTGAACGCGATGGGAGCCAACGAGGCATCGAGGCTGATATGCTCTTACTGTGTATGAACGAGCAGAATTGGTAACTGCAGAAGTTGCCACATTTTCATCGCGTGGCAGGATCGGCGCGACCATAATAAGACGGTTCCATCGTCCAACACAGCCGCACGTCAATGACCCAGTCATCTGGTTCACTGTGGTACAAAGCCATCATACACCTCATCAGACGTAGTGCGATGAAGTGATTTGTGAACATGAAAGCACGGAGGAGACGGAAGCATTGGCTTCCACTTCACTATAGCGTTCTCGGCCGTTGTTGATATCCTTGCGCAGGCGCCATAGGTGATTCGGTCGCGGAGGAATTGCCTAGGCTTGGTGGAAACGGAGGAACGTTCGTCGTCTGACAAAGCGGAGCTGAAAAGACGTCCCGTCAGCAGAGGGCCTCAGCTTGGCAGATGATCCTCGGCATGAAGATTAGTGATAACGAAGACGTCAATGTGCTTCGTGAGACTCCACGCCGGCGATTCCGGCACAATCGCCGACAGTATATAACGTGTGGGCATGATGAACTTGAATGTTAGATGTTGGATGTCGAGCACTTTGGGCCTGTCACGAGATCCGGGTCAGCCCGGGTCAGAACATCAGCTCGCCGTTCCAGTTTCACGCTGACGGAAGGAATGGTCGCAGCATTTTCACCGAGGACCGCGGTATCGTGCGTTTTGGCACTTCGCTGACCAGAACAGCTTTCTGCTTTCAACTTCGGCGTCGTTGTCGAAGACAGACGCTCGTTCTCGAAGCCAGCTGGTTTCTTGGCTCGGGGCTTAAATAAGCATGTTTGTATGCGCAATGCTGAACCGAGGGACAACCGTTAGTGTGAAGGGCGTATCGACCAATGCAATTTCGACATACGTAAGCGTCATCCGTACGACAAATATAGCTTCTACCATGAGCGACTTTGGACAGTGCCATCTGTATGTCTAGGCGCACTTCAGGTATCCTTCTCGAACCATTCGCGGCAAGCTTCATGCAATTCCTGAACCCCTACACAAGAAGCTATCAGGCGATCGTAGAGAGCTTGGTTGATACGGCTCATCGACTCGGCCATAGCAGCAATGATGAAGTCGCCATAGCAGACCTGACTGCCCAAGATGAATGGACCTTGGTCTTTCTTGTTATCCTTTAAGAACTTTTCCATTGCATCGAACCCTGGCTGTGCTGCTTGCCAAGCACCCTCACCCCCTTTGGCAGCCTCAAACTCCTCGATGGTACAGCCAAAAGCAGCTTCTCGCTTTGCGCGCCAATACGGTGCGACGTCGTCGAGTAATACTTCGCGCATGATGAGCGGGTAGAATACACCGAGTAGCGGACGAGCTACCTGCCCAAGTATCGGTCCTGCTTGTTCATGTAGACCATTCTCCAGATGCAAAGAGGGCTCCGGGTGGCTCTTCTCAAGAATGGGTGCAATTCGTGCAGAATCCATGACAGCGGTTCCGTCGGGAAGATGAATTGCTGGAACAGTGTAACGAGACTGAGGGCCTGCTGGTCCCATTGGTGGATTCGGGGTAATGCCAATCGACGACAATGTAGGTTCAATGTCTGGATGCTTGAGAAATGTTGTTTGGTATGGAGTACCTTTGTAATTCAGGACCAAGCGAGCCTTCCAAACATTGGGGGACCAACATGTGGGCGGGTTGGTCTTCTTCGTCGGAAGGTCATACAGCGTGATCTGGGATGCTGCCATCTTGGGCTTTGCTATGTTTCTGGCGACAGGAATATATTTGCGGGTGTCGACCCGGGGAGAGGTGTGTAACATATGAGTGTCACTCGTTCTCCCAGCCACGGGCAGATGTGCCCCACTTTGAAAGCTTGATGGATCCAGAACTCTGTGCAGTTTAGCTTATTCGTACGTGTTCCAGGTCCAGGCCACGTGGTTGCTGCCGTGCATAGGCGTCAAAATCGACTCCATGCTCGGGTTGAAAAGATGTCAAGCAGGAGAGTCGACATTATGTCTTGTGCTTCCAATACTAGTAACTGACCTTGGTTTTGTGAACAAAACTTGGGTCTGGCACAGAACTGTGGTAATGGCCAAGTGAATGCATGTATGGCGTGAGCAGTAGGAAAATTCATCAATTGCTGCGATATGACGACGACAGGATACAGGACACGAAGCTCATATCGCGCTTGTCAAGGAAGTTGAAGTTGTGGAGCACTGCTGTGGCGGATCGAAGGGCCTAGCCTTCGCAGGCCGAGTGTGATGGCAGACGCCGTGAGAGTAGTGTTGGCGCCGGTTGGTACTCACACTGTGTATCCCATAAGGTACGAGGCCACTTGAGGACGACCGTCCCGCCTTCCCTTGACGGGCTCCTCGATTCACCGTACTCGCCAGTGCCGGTCTTCGCGCTTGCATAATTCGCAGTGATGCAAGTGGTGGGCGCATCTGCAGCGCACAACGCAGTTTCGTCCTACGCTCGAGCACCTGCCAACGGTAAGTCTCTCCCGTGCATCATGCCCCACCCTCGCCATTTGTCTCTTTCTCGCGCAGCACCAGCACCAGCACGACGTGACAGGTCAAGCAAAGATGCCGTCGCGCAAGAGTCACCCCACCGAGACTCATCACGAGCCTCGCAGGAGCTCATTGCGGCGGCTGTCGTCCATCGCCTCTCTTCACACGCTGAACCCCTTCAACCGCCGGCGCAGCAACAACATCGAAAACTCGCCATCGACCACCGCCAGCAATGTCTCCTTGTCCAGCATTTGGGCTAACGCCTCTGACCGGCAGAAAGATATGAATACGTCCGACATTTCCAGCGACAGCGACAAATTCGACCAGGTGCCACCTCTTCCTGCCCTTTCCTTGCGCAAGAGCAGCTACATTTGTCTACCGAATGATCCCATCGGTGGAATGCCGAGGAGCAGAACTTTCAGCAATCTTCCCTTGCCGACTCGAGCGAAGAAGTCGACCAGCAAGCTCCAGCAGTCCAAGTCGCACGCTCGCCTGCCGTCGCACACAAGCAGCAATCTGCCGCCATCGCGACTGCCGACGCCGACCTTCTCGACCCGCAAGCACTCGACCACTCGGCTCATCAACGCGAGCAGCAACACGTGGACAGGTAGCAGGAAGCTGATGAGATCTGATACGGAGCCGCTCTTTCCCCAGGCGCTGCAGCGCGAGACCTGTGTACCGCGCTTGACTGCGTTCAAGGAGAACATTTCTTTGAGCCCCATCAAGCCGCTCTCTCCGTACGATGACAACTTGTTTGGCTCTCCGTCGCGGAACTACAGCAGTAGACAGGGCTGGTCTGAAGATGGTGATGAGGGCTTGCCACTTTACGCAGAGCGCTCGTCGGGGTTGACATACCAGAGAATTGTCGAGCCGCGCGGTGTGACTACTCGACGACTTTCGCAAAAGTTCGAGAGCAGCCCAGCATACCGTGGTCTAACGGAGAGGGCACCAACTCCAGGCAAACCAGTGCAGAGATGGAACTCGCAGCCCGTGCTGACCAACGCGACCAATTTCCGCAGCTCTTATGGCTCCGAGATCAAGCAGACGCGTTTGATGTCTGCTCGCCAGGCACCGACGCCGCCTCCTGCAAAGTCGCCCTCGACCGAGCTTCTGCTCAACACCGCACGCGCTAGAGCCTTGAGCAACTCGTCGAGCCATCACCTCCGCTTTGCCTCTTCCCAGACTGCGGGTGTTGTCGAAAGTCGCCCGCAAAAGCCCATCAGTAGGGCCAGGGCAGACTCAATCAAGGCCAAGCCTGGAGCTGTGAGTAAGCCAGTCCCAGTACTAGCGCGCAAGCTGACCATGTTCAGGTTACATCTGCTCAACCTTTGGCGTACTGGACGGGTCGATTTTCCTCCTTGAACGATCGTTATCGCAATGAAGAACTCTCGGCGACCGACTTGTCTTCCCCTTCCATTCTCAAATTTGAGACAGACAAGATGCACACGACAGAGGCCAGCTACCGCCGTATGCGCAAAGCGATTCAGCATCTGTACTCTCTCTGCGCCACTCCTGAAGCTGAGCAGTCTTTCTTCGTCTGGCAGAAGGCAGTGGCTGGTGCTCTTGCCATTCCTGAGCTCGCTCGATCGGTGCCCGTCCCTGAGTCGAGGACTTGCGCGCTCGAGATGAGCTTGAAGAGCGACGAAAGCTTCACTCCGCCGAGCGAGTCCAGAAAGATGAACTTCATGGATCGCCTGCTGGGTCGCAGGCAGAAGATGGGGATGGACCGCCCCTCGATAGCGCCGGCGGTTGGTGGACTCTGAAGTTCGACTTGCTGAGGTCGCATGATCGCTACAATCTGGTCTACTATGATCGCGTTTTTGATGTTAAAGTTCGTGAGGAGGAAGGACTTTAATGCGCGCGAAATGCTGCTGAACTGATATTTCGCAGATTGAAAGCAGATCACGATGTTGGTACACTTTGTCATACTCACGAAAATATTGATGCATTATGCCAAATGCTCCTTCTCAGACTCCAATTTACCCACCCGAATGCCAATCTTTGAAGCAGAGCGTGCCATGCCCGTCGAACCAAATGCTCCAAAAGCGCCCCGCTATGCATTACCTCGTATTGAACTCGTCCCAGAACGCTTCACGATCTGCTCGCAGCGGCAGCTTCTTTCGCCTCTCTCTTCCTCGCGGCCTGACTCTTAAAGTACGTGCTCATCTGCTCCATTCTGGTCACAAAGAATGACTTCTTATGCGGGAACTCCTTGACGAGGATGCCCAAAGCTTCTGCATACTGCACTGCTTTCATGTAGTCGTCATCTGTGCCGACTTCTCGAATCAAGAAACCCTTAGTGCTCTTCATTCTTTCGCCTTCAATTTGCCATAGACGGATTTGATCTACCACAGTGGGTGGAAGAATAGGAGCTGAGTGCATAGCTGCCTGGCGACGCAAGATCGGATGCGCGTGGGTTTGTAGGTAGGAGATGATCTGGTCGCTGGTGATGCCGCTCGCGATGGCGGTCTGGATCGAAGGTTTGGTGATCTTCGCTGTGACGAGGTTCGGGTAGCGGGTGTGGAGGTTGGCAAAGAGGGAGAGGATGGAGATTGGTAAGGGCGAGGAGGTGTAGGCGTAGAGTCTGTAGTTGGTTTCGAGGATTATGTAACCTTTTTCGGAAGCGGACGATGCAGGATCGTTGGGGTCGGAGGTTGTCGTTGTGAAACTGTTGTTGGGTAGTGCTGGCGCGTCAGACGTGAGTGTTGTAGCCAAGCGTGTCGGATAGTAGCGATCGGAGTTGGGAGAACGGCGATAGACTAGACCAAAGTCTGTGAGGTCCTCCAGCATCTGGAGCTGAGTTGGGGTCAGATTCGATGTCGAATAGCTGATGCCCAGCTCCAGAGAGCCGAGCGTGAAGAGGAAGGACAGGACGTCAACAGAGTCCATGTGAAGCTATGATCGCACAGTCAGTTCATACTCCTCCCAGGTTGACATATCGGGACCTACGTCAGCTGAGACTTCCAGATACACGATCAGCAGTGACCAAATTTGGGCATTGACGTCTTGCAGCAGGAATGTGAAGCCGTCCTGCGTTATGGCCCTGCTCCGTCCTTTGACCACGACGAATCTGCCCTTCTCAAGCAGAGTCCTCGTGCCTGTCGAGATCTCAATCCCTGCGCCCAGCCCTGCAGATGCACTTCCAACCACGTAGTAAAGGATGGCCTCCCATTGCTTCCGAGCGAACGTGTCCAGGTACTCGGCGGTCACGGGCGTCTTGTCTGGTTCTGAACAAGGCACACCAAAACTATTGTGCTTGCCGCCACCTGTCAGAGCCATGCGCAGACTCTTGCCAAACGCAGGACTGAGGCGAAACGCCTGTCGGCCATTGTGCTGCTCCTCGTACAGAATCTTCAGTCGTTGCAATATGCTGAGCGCACGTTCCTTGACCTGTGTGCTCTGATGGTCCGGCTTGACCCATGCGTCCAGATCTGATGCAGCGAACGGGTGTGGGAGGTAGAGCATGGCCATGACAATCGTCTTCGCCAGGTGCGGCAGCATGCGGCGGAAGATGGCCAAGGCAGTCGATGGCTGTTGATACAGCTTGGTGAAGGTCGTTCCGGGCAGTTGCTCAAGGTACTCGAGCGCCCGCTGCGCCGAGGACGACATCTTGCGAGAGTCGTCGATGCCGCTGGCGAGCGGTGCGGGAGTTGGAGGTGCGTGCCATCGTTGATGCACGAGGGAAAGTTGCCTATGACACTCGATTCGCGAAGCCGCAGCGCTGGGACGTGCCGCCGTCCGTGCGTCGGACTACGCGTTCCATTCCACCCGACTTGTCCTTCTTCCTTTCTACAACCACATTGATTTGTTGCTGTGATACCAGATTGCACTGTAGTGTAACAAAGAAGAGGCACAAATAATACACAAGACTTTACAAGGCGTCGCCTAAGATTTCAAGATCATACAGGCTGCAAAGAAGGTGAGAGCTAAACTATCAGTGATTATCTCTAGGCATTGGCACCTTCTGCGCGACTCTCTGGAACTGCGTCGCTCGTCGAAAGACCATTCCCTCGCTGAGAGGCCCGACTTCCCTCCTGAAGAAGTCTTGATAGGGCGTATGGCTCTCGACCATCTTGTATCCACCCTTCGCCATCAGCTCCTTCCTCCTTGCAGCAATCTCCTCATCAGGAATCAACATGTTCACTTTGCGTCTAGTCAGGTCCACTCGCAGCATATCTCCGTCTTTCAAAATTGCCAAGTTGCCATTGTCAGCTGCCTCTGGGCTCGCATTCAAAATGGAAGGGCTTCCTGAAGTTCCCGATTGTCTCCCGTCGCCAATGCACGGCAGCGAGTATTTCAAGCCCTTCTTTAGCAGATGCCCAGGCGCGGTCATATTGACCACTTCCGCTGCTCCAGGGTAGCCTAGCGGCCCGGCACCACGCATCACGAGGATAGTCCGCTCGTCTATCGGTGCAGTCTCGATCCTGGCATTATAGTCCTCCGGGCCATCGAAGACAACAGCCTTCGCTTCGAAAGCGTTCGGATCGTCGGGGTTCTCCAGGAACGCCTCTCTAAACTCGGCGCTGATGACCGAAGACTTCATAATGGCGCTGTCAAACAAATTGCCAGTCATGTGCGCGAAGCCGGCGTCAGTTTTCATGGGCTTGTCATATGACAAGATGACCCTTCGATCCCACGTCTGCCTTCCCTCAACATTCTCCTGTATCGTCTTGCCATTAGCCGTGATGGCATTTGCATGCAGCTTGCCTTGCTCGAGGAGCTCCGCCATCACAGCAGGAAGACCTCCAGCACGGAAGTACTCCTCGCAAAGATATTCACCAGCAGGCTGAACGTTCACCATCAAGGGGATTCCAAAACCAATGCAATCCCAGTCATCCAGGTCAAGCGGCACGCCAATATGCTTCGCCACAGCACACAGATGGATTGGAGCATTTGTCGACCCACCAATCGCTGTATTCGCCACGATTGCATTCTCGAAAGCCTCTCTTGTCATGATATCCGACGGCTTCCTGTCCGCGCGCACCATTTCCACAATTTGCACTCCAGTCTTATATGCACATTGTGCACGCTCCTTGTACGGCGCCGGAATGGCAGCAGATCCTGGCAGCGCCATACCAAGAGCTTCGGCAAGAGCATTCATCGTCGATGCCGTACCCATTGTGTTGCAATGCCCAACACTCGGCGTCCCTCGAGTGATCAGGTCCGTGACTTCCTCATCATTCAACTCTCCTGCTGCATGCAATTCCCTAGCCTTCCATACAACTGTCCCAGATCCCACCAAGTCGTTACTTTTCTGCCCATAACCGTTCAACATAGGTCCAACATTAAGACAGATAGCTGGAATATTGACTGTCGCCGCCGCCATGAGACAAGCCGGCGTGGTCTTATCGCATCCAGTCATGAGCACAACTCCATCGAATGGATACCCATATAATAATTCAACCAGAGTCAAATAACTCAAATTCCTGTCCAGCGTTGCCGTCGGCCGTCGAGAAGATTCCTGAATCGGATGCGTAGGGAATTCAATCGCAATACCTCCCGCAGAACGGATTCCCTCTCGCACGCGATGTGCCAAAGTCGTATGGTACTGATTACAAGGCGTGAGATCAGATCCCGAATTCGCGATCCCGATAATCGGCTTGCCGGACATGAGTTCTTCTCTCGTCAGACCATAATTCAGATACCGATCGACATACAGAGCAGACATTGCTCGATCGTCTGCGCGATTGAACCATTTCGCTGAGCGGAGGCTAGAATTGTCGCTCGCTTGAACTGTAAGTTTTGAGAGCTGGGATTCGAGTTCTTTCGTTCTCGCACGGAGAGCTGAGAGTTCAATCTTGTAGTCTTCGATGTCAACGAGTTGAGTCGTTCCGTTGCTGCTGGAGCAGCCGTTCGATTTGTCTTGGCAGCCATTGCAGGCTTCAGTAGATTCACATCCCATTCTTGCTGATTGAAGATGGCATTTCTCTTACTGCTCTCCGAGTGTTAGTCAGTGGTAATCATCTGCAAGATTTGTGGTTCAACATGCACACTAAGTATCTCGCTACAATCAAAGGCCGACCATGCCCCATGTCGGCCCCACGTACGGCAGAAGCAGGCTAAATGTTCAACCTCGCCTCGCTTCGGAGTTTGTGGGGGCATCATTAGTCACTGCTAGGCCGAACCGATCTGGGGTGCCTCTATGTATAAGTACGAGTATGGCAATTTCTAGCGTTCTCAGTGTGCTGCATGCTGGTCTGTGATTATACATAGGCTCGAGCATTGCCAATCGTCGATACTGTGCGCTGGCTCTGTGAGGCCCAAAGCTGACGTTATGTACAGGGTTACTCGCCCTCGCTTCGTTCACTGCCTCAGGTCCTTCGACATAGAAACGCTATGATACAAATTTCGATAACGAAAACGTCTCGAGCTTGCTGGGTAAAACACAGAATCGATTTCGTTTGGCATGCAATGGACAGCTCTGTTGTGCTAATGGGGTATCTTCAGTAAAACTCTCACCAGGAACCAAACGCCTATTCTGTACTCCAATCCATCGAGATCATGTACTGTGTTGCACCTGGCTGCGCCGGCATCTGGGGAAGCGTAGTCGCCTAGGGCAAGCCGTTGCTTCTTAATTAGGATGCTTCGGCTGGGAAGGAACTTCCAATGAGGATAATGCAAGCTCAAGCGTTGCTGTCGGACTCCAGAAATTGAAGACTGACCCCATGTCGAGCGGTCAGTCCTATGGCATCGTCATCGTCGTCGTTGTCAAACGACGATGACCTCCTCGGCGTACGATTCTCTTCGTTGCTGCTACGAGCAGATGAGCTCTGGTCGTCGAGGTCGAGCATATCGAAGCGGTTGTTCAGCGTCACATTCTTGACTGTGGGACCCTTTGGCGCGACTTTTGGCGCAATAGCACGGGTTGGCAGAGGTACGTCGCACTCATCAGGGAAGAATGAGATCTTGCAGCCGCGGTACGTCGTTCGACTCATCATGCAAGTCCTAGCGAAGAGAGCATTGTGCACTGCATTGGTGTACACGTACGCATTGCCATCTCGAAACTTGACGTCAATGACCACCAAGTTGTGAATGTGCTCCAAATCGTCACGAATACGTGCTTCAGTGAGCCCTTTCTCTGTGGCGTTGCGGATGAGGATATTGCGGGTGGCGCCAGTGTCAATCTTGTTCTGGATGTGCGAATTGAGGGTGAACTGACGTTCAGCCCATCTCACCTCGACACGCTTGCCGTGTAGGTAGATGTCGTTGCGCTTGACCCATGCAAGATAATCCGAAGCAGCATCGAGGAAGGTTACAGTTGCGCTCTTTTCGGATCGCATGGTGACAGTGAGCAGCTTGCCACCTTTGACGACAGAGAGCAGGTCGCGATAGGTCGTGCGGCTGCCAAACCCTGTAAAGTAAAGTGTTCGAAGGGGTTGTCCAGGTCCAGCAGGCGTCTCCTCGATGCCGTTCCCCTCGTCCATAAAGCTATCAGCTTCGGTACCATCCACGATCGAAAAATTAGGACCGCCATAGCTGGCATGGCGCTGAGAAGCAGACACGTTGTTGAAAGGTAGCTGCTTCGACGCTGAGAGATGCTGGCGTGCTCCGTTGTGGAGGCCGCCAATGGCAGAATCTGAATGAAAAGGAGCTGACGCACCAGATTTCCACGGCGCAGAGCTGTAGGACGCATGGCGACCCAAAGTTGGTGGCTCCGGATGAAGATGCGTCGGCAGTCCATCGTCGAACTCGTCAGCCCACGCCTCAGGCCCGAAGGTGTCGGTCTTTTGTTCTTCAGGCGGCATGCTGCCAGCAATCAGGAGACACAACGTATCCGGAGTGATGCCGCCCGAGTACAAGGCACTCTTGAGGGCATGATACTCTCGAGACTCGCGGAGCTGCCCACCATGATCGTATTAGCGCGGCCACCAAGTCGCAAGTACGAGGACATACCAGGCCATCATATTCAGCCCTCTTGATAGTGACGCAGGTTGGGTCTTGGCGAGAAGTGTGCTTGAACGACATGTCAGCTGCAGTGTTGTGGACACAGAACATCTATACACCGGGTGGACAGAAAAGATACTCACAAAATCTGCTCTGCGCCACACAAACAGGTCAGCGCCTAATCGCATGCACAGATAGCAGCGCTATCTCATGAGTCGCGGATCGAGAGCGGGAGATCGACAAACCTGCGCAGCAATGCGTCAAAGTAACTCTTGTCGACAGTGACTTGTTGACCATGTGCCGTGGAAGCCATCGGATGCCAAACGCAGCCGTCGTTGTCGGTGTGTTGCGCACAGGAGAAGTGTAGCAGAGCAAGTACTTCTATGGGAGACAAGGCAGGCCCAGATCGCGCCAGCGGCATTAGCGTCGCTCTAGCAGGGGCGATCCCTACGCCGCAAAAGCTTGGCGACTGAAGCGTCCGTCTGGACTTTTTGACGCGTCGAACTTGTGCTGTTTCATGGATCAACATGCACCAGTGAGCGTCGCACAGCCGCCATCAGTGCCATCACCGCCGCCCGACCCGCGAACGACCAAACAGGATGCCATCAAACAGCTGGCGGAGGCCGGCAGTGGCGATGGCTCTGTCTGGTCGCAGCTGCTGAGTAACCCCTTCTTCACTGCAGGATTTGGTCTGGCCGGGCTGGGAGCTGCAATGCGATATGGCGCACAGGGTCTGAGGAGAGCTGGCGATCTGCTGCGGCATCGAATGCTGGTAGATCTGGAGATCACCAGACATGACAAGTCGTATCCGTGGGTCCTGGACTGGATGACCACCCATTATCAGAGTCAACTTGCTCCTCCAGGATCTCGCAAGCAAGTTGGTGCGCTGGAGGCCATCATCCGTCGCTTCACCCCAGGTCTGCATCATCTTCAGATCAACACTGAAGTCGTCAAGACTGCGGGTGGGTCGGTACAGACAGCTTTCGCTTTAGTTCCCGGCCACGGGCGTCATATTCTGCGCTACAAGAATGCCTTCATTGCTGTCAACAGAGAGCGTGTTGGAAGAAGCTTCGACAATACTGGCCAGCCTTTCGAGACTGTCAAGCTCACAACTCTCTACGCCTACCGCCATGTCTTCGAAGACATTTTCCGTGAAGCGCAAGCCATGGCCATGCAAAGGACTGAAGGCAAGACTGTGGTCTATACCACCCGCAACATGGGCTGGGAAGAATCCGGACAGCCAAAGCGTCGGAGACCATTCGATTCCGTTGTGCTGGAAGAAGGTCTATCTGAACGCATACTGCATGATGTACAGGATTTTCTCAACGCTCGAACCTGGTACCTTGATCGTGGCATCCCGTATCGTCGAGGATATCTGCTTTACGGACCACCAGGTACAGGCAAGACATCCTTCGTGCAAGCACTTGCTGGCGAGCTGGATTTCAACATTGCAATGCTCAGCTTGAGTCAGCGCGGTCTGACGGACGACAAACTGAACCACCTTCTTTTGAATCTGCCTGCGCGTACCCTCGTTCTACTAGAAGACGCAGACGCAGCTTTTGCCAATCGCCGCCAGGTAGATGGCGACGGGTATGCCGGCGCCAATGTAACATACTCCGGCTTACTGAATGCACTTGACGGTGTGGCTAGCGCTGAAGAGCGCATCATCTTGATGACCACGAATCACATAGACCGACTGGACGATGCCCTCATTCGGCCAGGCAGAGTTGACATGACGCTGTACCTCGGAAACGCTACAGAATGGCAGATGGCAAAGCTTTGGGATCGCTTCTACGCCGATAAGGATCCCAGTGGCGAAGGCAGAGATCGATTCGTGCAGAAAGCGAAAGAACTGGACTTGGTCGGCAATGTTAGCACTGCTGCATTGCAAGGCCTGTTCTTGTACAACAAAGACGACGTGGAAGGAGCGATTGCCCTTGTTGGTCAGCTTGCAGCACTTCGGCCTAGTCAGCAATCTGCATCTGATGCTGGCTGAATACTACCTTCTTCCTATCACTGATCCCAAAGTTGAGTTGGACCCACAAGACGCTTGTGCTTGGCCCGAAAGGTCGCCTCCGTCACGCCAAGTTTAGGACCCACGCGGCAGTCTTGGTAGGACTTCAACCTGCAAATGTCGCGTGCTATCGCTAGCACGCGGGTGCCATTTGGCTTCCTGCAAAGCTGCGATCGGATGCTGAGGTCTTGATATCAGGCTTCGCCTCCTAGCACGCGACATGAATGGCCACAGTATCTTTGATGCCTCTTAGCAAATATGGCGCCAACCACGAAAGATCTGGAACTCTCGAGCGACGATTCGACTGTATATAAAATGGAGTGAACATACAACAGCAGGCCTATTGCTGGCATAATCTTTACAATTGCCAATATGCTTTCACGAACTTTATTTGCGACATTGCCGGCGCTTCTCGTCGGCGCTCAGCAGTACAGCCTCACGGAAACGGGCGGACGTAATACCGTAGATTACCGCCTGCACCTCAAGGTAGATGGCAAGCCGGCCTCGTTCTGGCATGATGTCGCCTTGTATCCTCAGCAAGGCAACGCGTCGGTTGTGAACTTTGTCGTTGAGATACCTCGCTGGAAAGACGGCAAGATTGAGATTCGTCGCGATGAGCCTTTGAATCCAATCTTCCACGACGACAACGAAGAAGGGCCGCGTTTCGTGGAGAGTATCTGGCCGCACCGCTCCTATCCATTCTTGTATGGCTCGATCCCGCAGACATGGGAAAGTCCTAATTTCAACCACTCTTTCACAAATTTTCCTGGCGACAATGATCCAGTTGATGCCTTTGACATTGGGCAAGATATTGGCTATGTCGGACAGATCAAGCAGGTGAAGATCCTCGGAGCGCTTGCTGTTATCGACGGCGACGAAACGGATTGGAAGATTCTGGTCATTGATGTCAACGATCCTCTGGCACCCTATGTCAACGAGGTTCAGGATCTCGAACAATATCGACCTGGTGTTGCGGAGAGCTATAGACAGTGGTTCCGAGTAAGTGACTCTGCACAGCCTTCACGCGGTCTCTCAACTGACCGGCACGCTTCCAGACGTACAAAGTTCCCCGTGGCGACGGCACACTTACCATCGCCGGCGAGAACTACCAAAATGCGACTTTCACATCTGCCATCATTGCCGAGTCGCATGAGTGGTGGCAAGAACTGGTCGCTGGCGAAGTCGACAGCAATGAGATCAATTACAACCAGACTAGCTCAGCAGAATACAACAGCAGCTACGTTGAGCCAGGGAGCGCATGGGACGAGTTGGAAATCCCCAGATGGTCGACGTATGGTCAAGCTGCGCAGAAGCCTGAACGCTTCAATCGCTGGTATTATCTGGACGATCATGAGGAGCTGATTGTGTTGCCTGGAGACTATTCGCCTCCGAAGGATGATTGAGCCGAGTGTGAAGTGAACAAAAGCAGTTCTACTACCTAGCTGCCTGGCGATGGCATCTTTAAGAAGAGCAGGCCGTGATATTACATATCGTACATCTAGGAGATATCATACAGTTCCGATCCGTGCAAGGCACGATCATGCGGGTACAAGCTCGCCCGACTTGATCACATCTTCCGGGAAATCCTTCAGAGGGTCTTCGTGGTCAAAGTGCCACTTTGCTCTCTCTTGTCGTGTCCACTGACAAATGTTGAAGCTCTTGCCACCCCGGATCGGCCTGCTCATGTGGTAGCCCCAGTATGAGTCCAACTGCAATGAAACTGTTAGCTCATCTTTCACGCTGCGATCCTCTAGTGAACTTACCGAGGATGAGAGTTTCCAATCTTTGTTGTTGTCTTCAATTGGTCTCGGAAGTTCCTTACCCAATGTCCCTTCGACATCCGCGACTCCGACATGATGTAAGTCAATGTCGGCTTTCAGTGCGTACGCCACAATGGCTTCTCGCCAGTTCGTCTCAGATACATCGTCAAGGACGAGTTCGATGTCGGCCCACTCTGCTGAAGGTGCACTGAAGAATGATGCCATCACCACACCAAGGTCTTTAAACACCGAGTCTTTCTTCAATTGACCGACCTGCTGCACGGCATCGAGCGCGGTAAGGATCGTGCGACCGACCAAGTCAGACAGAAGTTGCACTCGGTCGCCATCATCGGCGCAGAGCCACATGTGCTGTTGGCTTCTGTGGTTGAGAAAATGCCCAAGTGCAGCAACAACAGCCCAAGCCTGGTGCAGGTCTGGCTTTCAACGCGGTGTCGGCGGATTTGCACTGAAACCAAAAAAGTCAGTCGGATCGCCTGAAAGTGAACAGTGCTGACAGTACAAGTGTTTCGATGAGGTCAATTATGGCATATGCCCAGTAGTCTGAAAAGACGTGCATTCCGTAATTATCGGGATTGCGTTGCATCGCCTCGTGGCAGTTTTGGACCAGTAAATCGAGGCCTTCACGCATGAGAATCCACTTGTGAGTCGGGTGATCTGCAGCTGGTTCTTTGAAGAAGTCTTCTTCGGAATCGGAGCCGTCTGATTCGATTCCGCTGTCTTCATCTTCGTTGTCCTCATCGTCTTCATCGGCCCACTCAGGCGGGTCTACGCACAGGTATTCGTATGGACCTGTGAACGCCTGCGCGTTGAACTTGGAGATGAAGTCGGAGGGCATGGCTGTGATCGTCTAGCGATGATTTGTGGTGTACGAATTATGGATGGTATTGAAATGAAGAGACAGCCCAGGGGCGAGTCTGTTGCATGTAGGTTCGTGGGCACAAGGGTGCCGATATGACGTGTAGGCGCCAGGACGCGTTGTTTCGAGGGTCCATGAACGCTAGGAACGCGCGAACACGTGCCCATGTCCGTCCCACTGTCTACTAGAAAGCTCAAACCAAATGAATTCTGCAATGGAACAGCGATCAGCTATTTGATCTGCTGCCGAGCTGCCGAGCTGCTGTGTCTGCGAAAGTGATTGCTCGCTGCGAGATTAATTTCCAGCCGAGCTTTGGATCGCCACCAAGAAGGCAAGCACTATAGGTCCAAAGTTGTTGCAGGAGCCGATGGCCAGTAGCGGTGAGCTTCCGAGCGCGCAGAGGAAGTGGAGCAGCGACCTGAACTTCGCCGTCGAGATAATAGCAGTCGTGGTGCCGAATAGCAAACGAGGCGTCGCTCACCAGGGCATTATTTACGAACACGGTCGAAGGTGACAGCAATCGCTTCGGCCACAGCCATTGCCAATGGTCGGTACGCTTGCTCTTGCCCAATCACCCGAGTGATAGCGCATCGTTCATAGTGGGACCGTAGCTTCAGAGGCCCGTCACTACCAGGGGAATCGCTTGTATGCCAGTACTCGCGCTGCGAGCGGCAGCCAGCCGAAAGCGCGAGCATGTCCCTCCAGAGCCCACAGCGGTGTTTGCCTGTGTCTGCTCGCATGTGTCCAGAAACTCCTCTTACCCGTGATGGCTTTGACGCTCTTCAATATCTTGTTTCCCTTGGGGTGACGCGCCGATGCCAGTCACCCAGCACCCGCGGCGACGCTCGTCTTCGGCGCGAAGAACGTATCCCTCTGCCATCTGGCCTCCTCGATACTCTCCAGTATGTCCTCCTTTGCCATATGCTTTCCCGCTTTCCACGGACTCTTCTTCAGCACCTCTTCCGGCGCAAACCTCCTCGCCGCCTCTTTGATCGCGCTGACATCGAATATCCTGTGATGTAGGTGTCTCACAACCGGGTTCCACGGTTCTTGACTGAGGAAGACCTTATCCGCATGTACAGTGTTCCCTGCCAGTAGAGCTTTCTTGCGTTCTGGGCAATACTTTTTGATGTATGCTAGCAGCTCTTCCGAGGCTTGTTCGGCCGTGGTGGTGCTGTCGAGGCACTGTTGTGTGAGTCCTGAGGAGCCGTGATGATCTGTACACCACTCTCCCATTTGGTCCAATTGCTCTTTCGTGTGGTGGATCACAGCTTCGTAGCCGGTGTCGTCGAGGAGGTTGAGCTCGTAGTCGGTGATGTAGCACGCGAGCGACATGATGGTGTCTTTGTCTTTGTTCAGGCCTGTCATCTCACAGTCGATCCACACCAGGTGCTCCTTCGAGCGTGATTCCGGCATGGTGTGTGGATGCTGTGTTGTCGCAGTGAGGAAGATTGTGGATGCGGAGGCGAGACGTGGTGTGGCAGGATGGCTGGAAGGCTTGGCTGAAGCATGAGCTAGTGTGAAGTGAATGACGACGATATACGTTGTGCAAGGTTGGAGCTGTACTGCATGTGGTTCTCAACACTGCCGACATGGTGTTTGCTACATCGCGAATGTGATATTGCTATATTTATCTCCACTACCTACTTCACTTAAATCATGTTTCGCTTCTGGAGAAACATGTTGTACAGAAACCAGGCGCTCTTTCGCTCTACAAAGGTCAATCTACCTACTGCGTGCAGCCACTTTCACCATACGAGATATTTGCATGCAGTATTGTGAGGGCCGAAAGCTTCCTTGGTGCGCATCGAGTTGGGTGCCATCCCGACTTCGTGAAGACCTATCTGCGATCTGCAGCGACATGTGGCGTGCAACTTGTTCGATCGCTGATGCAAAAATACGTGTAATATACGCTGCGTGAGAGGTTGATGATGCACCTGGAACTGCAGCATGACCTGCAGCTTTCGTGGTCGATCGTGCGACTGACAAATGCCGAGTAGAAGTGGCAGAATGTGTTTGTAGCATTTATAATGCGAACGAAAGCCGGCTTAGTCAGGGAAGTAGCTCATTTAGCATAAGACAAAATGCCCGTAGTGGACTCGTCGAGTCTGTCTGTTCAGCAGACCCTTCCCTTTGTCTGGTGGTCGTGGGTTCGAAACCCGGAACACGATCTTTTTCTTTTGCAAGTGTTTGTCAATTTTGCATCAGCTTGCGACTCATTGTCGTTCCTGTGCGACTTCATCTCTTCTGTTCTTGTTCTTTTGTGTCCCACTTATCCGATCAGGCCGATACTTTTGCCCATACAACAGCTTCGTCTCTTCATCCGAGCGAACCCAGAGGATATCATAGTCGCTCGCCGCGGTCATTGCAGCGTCTCGTTGCGTGTGCCTTCCATTGATTACCTGCACATTCAAACCTTGCTGTCGATAATTTTCGAGTGTAGCGTCTCCGGTACGCAGCTCATTGACTTCCCGCATCGTCGCGTTCGAGTTCTTCTGGCGGTGCTCGGGCGGGGTATGGATGTAGATTGTGATCCGGGAAGGCTCTACGGCGTGCTGAAGAAGGTACTGTAATGCCAGGCTGTCTGCGCCTCCGGCATTGGAAAGGATGAACTCATCGTGTGCGGCGATGGCAGTGTCTAGTGCTGTCTGGTAGTGCTCTAGAAATTGTCCTTCAGGCAGGTCAATGTGGCCAGAAATGAAAGCAACTCTATGCGATCTTGCGCTACCCGGTAAGTCCATGTCAAACATGATACCGAAAACTGAACGCCAGCGTGCGGCCGTTGGCTTATATGTCTTCCTGAACACGGCGCCTGAACGTCAACTGGCGGCGTCCTTTTTCGAAGGCAGTTTTTGAGGCATGATTGCGGCGCAGCATCACGATCCTTTGACGACGCTAAACGCTGCGGTAGGCTTGCTCGCGCTCATATTGCAGGATACACGTTGTGGACGAGTGGAAGAAAGGTAGGCTGTGCTCACAGAACGAGAGGTGCAGTGCAGCCACTTGCGACGATCCCAGATCGCGCCAACTTTCGGGCCGGGGCTGAGGGGATTGAAGCAGGAGCGCGTCTTTTCGAAGATGGAGGCAATCACTACACACATCTGACACTAATACGATGTCTCAGGCCGCCCTCTCCGAGGACACGTACAAGATTGGCTATGGTTGGGAACTTCCTCCTCCAGCGTGGTTGAACACCGCACGCGAAAATGTCTCGGCAACAGCTCCAACCTTACTGTCTCCGAACGGTGTTATTTGGGTAGCCAGAAGCCATGCGATACCCAACTCCCTGCTCGCAGCCCACAAAGGTCCTGTATAGCCAGACCATCGCAAAACGCCCGCCGGTGTCCCGGACGTGGCATTGTTGCCTGTGGTGATGATCGCACCGAGGCCGTGGTTCACAAGTGGCTCAGAGTCGGACATATAGAAGCCCCATAGGAGTGGGCCGAATCGCTTCATATCGGCCAGCGATGAGCTTCCATCTGGCAGCTGGGGCGTGAACATCTCTTCCACCATTGAAGAGCTCAGCAGCAATGGCTTCTCTTGAACCAGATCCTGCAACAGACGGAGATAGTCGCGGGCCGACGAATACAACCCCAGACCGCCCAAGTCGTCCACAGCGGGATCGGCCAACTGGAATCCTCCAGCGATGAGGTTGCCTTCGGGAGTGCGAGTGCACATGGGCACCAGTCGGCTGCGAATGCTATCACTGGACTCCAGGTGAAAGATGGTTGCAGTCATGCCCAGAGGGTCAAATATATTCTTTGCGCAGAAAGCCGAGAGTGACATGCCGGAGAGTCGCCCGATGAGAATGCCGACCCAGTCAAGTGATGCCCCGTACATCCAAGACTGACCTCTTTCAAAGATCAGGGGAACGTCCATAGCACCAAAGAACTTGCCGACAAATGCCAGCGAAGGTTGCCCTCGGTGCTCGGTCTGCCACGCTTGTAGTTGTGGACTGAGCATGTCATAAGCAACACCAGAAGTGTGTGTCAGGAGCTCGCGCAGAGTGATGCCCTTCTTGGCTTCATGCAGCACGTAGCCATTCTTGGCCGTCTCGTCCGGAGCGATTAGTTGAAGTGCCGCGAGCTCCGGCAAGTGTTTATCCAGAGGCAGGTCAAGTTCCACCAGACCTTGGTCCACGCATTGAAGCGCGGCAACTGTTGTCACGAGCTTGGTGCAAGATGCCAGCGCGAAAACCGAGTCCAGGCTGATGGAGGCCTGGCCGGGATCTGTCACCGACAGAGGCCCAGATGCGTGCGAGAATACATCGGTACCAGACTTGTCGAGCGCTGCAAGGACGACTCCGGGCAACTGGCCATCTCTAGTAGCCTGATCGATAGAATCAGCGAGGTCTTGGAAGCTCGACGGCATGCTTGTGAGATTGTGATTCTGAGTGCAAGCAGATAAGTCTTTGTTTCCTCGCTGATATGCCCCGCACGCTGGCTGATCAAATACGGCACATCGGATTTCATTTTCCCAGCTTCAAAGCACAGCGTCGTGGTATACGGAGAATGAATTCCCCGCACTGAAGCATAACCTCATGCAGAGCCATTCACTCGACATCGCCATATCTCGCTGGATCTTCACTCTCAATTCTGCGAAAACTGTTTCTGATCGTCCCTCGCTGCCCTCTTGATCACGGAACTTACACAAACATGCACGCCGAAACCAGAAATGCCGAGGTCCTCATCGTCGGTGCTGGACTCTCTGGTATCTATCAGTTGTGTTCCCTTGTTGGTCAAGGATACAATGCTATACTGATCGAAATGGGTACTGATATCGGCGGGACCTGGTACTGGAACCGGTATCCCGGGGCAATGTCTGACTCAGGAGCGCCGTTCTATCGATTCTCTCAGGATGACTTGCAGGAATTCCCTGCAAAGAATCGCTTTGTTAACCGAGATGACATTATGTCGTATCTGCGGTATGTCGTCGACAAGCACAAGGTGCAAGATCGTATCAACCTGAACACCGAGCTACGACGTGCTGTCTTCGATGAAGACTCGGCCACCTGGCGAGTAGAAACATCTCAAGGACATATTGAGGCACGGTACTTGGTATCAGCCATGGGACTATTGAACAAGACAAATTATCCCGACATTAAGGGACTTGATGATTTTGGAGGCGAACTATTTCACTCTGCCAGATTCCCGACGGATTTCGAATTTAGCGACAAGAAGGTTGGTATCATCGGGAACGGGTCGACCGGGGTCCAAATCATTACAGAACTTGGTAAGGCAGGTGCCTGTAATAGTCTCACTTCGTTTCAGCGCCATCCGCAATATACTGTCCCGAATGGTGACGGACCCATCCCACCAGAAGATCTCCGGGAGCTTGTGCAGGATTGGCCTGGCACTTGGAAACGCATATTTGGCAGTCGAATGGGCTTTGGTTTTGAAGAGGCCACGACGTTGACCGGAAGCGTGGACGAAGCGACTCGCCAGAAGGTATTCCAGGACGCCTGGGACAAGGGCGGTGGTCTTCGCTTCATGTTTGGCACCTTCGCCGACATTGTGGCGGACCCTGCCGCTAATGAGGCAGCTGCCGATTTCATTCGCGGCAAGATCAAAGAGATTGTGAAGGACCCAGCCAAAGCAGAAGCTCTTACACCACATGACCTCTTTGCAAGACGCCCGCTCTCTGACGCGGGATACTACGAGACTTTTAACAACCCATGGGTTGACATCGTTGATCTGCGCAAGTCCCCGATCGATCAGATGACCGCTGAGGGAGTACTTACGTCCGATGGCAAGCTACATCAGCTCGACGTGTTGATCCTGGCCACCGGGTTTGATGCTATGGACGGGAGCTACCGCCGCGTGTCAATCGAAGGCCGTGGTGGCGAGACGCTTAACGAAAGTTGGAGCGATGGCACAAGGAGTTACTTGGGCTGCTCGGTCGCGGGATTCCCCAACTTCTTCATGATCTTGGGACCGTACGGCGCATTTGGAAACAATATTCCGATCGCAGAGACAGTAGTCGACTTCGTCACAGCCATGGTACGCGACGCGATGCCACAGCCTGGCGGTCCTGGCAAAACGATTGAGGCCGCCAAAGAAGCGGAGGACCAGTGGATGGCGATGTGTCATTCCATCGCTGACGCTACTTTGTTCACCAAACTGGATGCTCCGACTTGGGTCAACGGCAGCAACATAGCTGGGAAGAAACAAGAGCTGCAATTCTTCGTTGGTGGTATTGGGGCTTATCGCAGCATCTTAGATGATTGCAGATCGAGTGAGCCTCGGTGGAAAGGTTTCAGCGTGTCTTAGTAGTGGAAGCGGCTGCGTAACATGTCTTTTTGGGTGACGCTAGAAGCGGATCATCCTTAACGGCCTTTCGATCATCTCTGCTTTGACACTTGTTTTCACCAAAAGAACGTGTCTTCAAGTTGCCAAGGACGCACATGAGATGTCAGAGATACCGAGAACCCAGCTGTGCCCGGAACACCGTCATAACACAACACGATCATGCCGCCTTCCTGCATTGCTAAGCGTGACCCACCTTCTGTGTCGCCGTGGAAGCTCTACCAAGGCCTTGAACTCGAGTAGTCACGTGCCACGGATATCATTAGCCTGACTATTACCAGAATCAGTCCAGAGTGTAATCTAGCAGCCCGGAAATTGACCGGGCCTCGAACTCCGGGATCTGTCTATATTTTCTAATTCGGTTACGTTCAACGAATGTTGTCAATGGTGCTGGAGCGTTGCTTGGCATTAGGCTTCCCTGTCATATAACAACGAAAAACAAACATGGCCTCAGATTCGCCTGTCGCGGTCATCACCGGTGGTGCTAGTGGCATGGGACTCGCGCTGGCCGAAGACCTCGCTCAAAAGAATTGGAATGTAGCGGTTCTGGATATCAATGACAAGGGAGGCAAGGCCTTAGAGGGAAAATTCACTGGCAAGGTCTCCTACTTTCGGGCCAATGTTGTGGACTATGAAGCTCAAGCTGCTGCATTCGAATCGGTATGGAACTCATGGGGAAGACTTGATTTTGTCTGGGCCAACGCGGGAATCGGCGACAGAATTCCCTACCTGGACCCACCAGCGAAGCTCGATGGTAACTCCCCGCCGAAGCCAGATGTCCTCGTTATTGATGTAGATCTATACGGCGCGGTATATTCATCATACCTTGCGCTCTTCTACTTCAGGAAAAACAAGACTGGAGCAGGCAAGCTGGTCATGACTAGCAGTACTGCGGGTCTCTACCCAAATATTGCTCTTCCACTGTATGGGGCGGCAAAACACGGCGTAGGTCTTTTCAGCGTGCTTTCACAAACTGAGGTTGGTTGAAAGATGCTGACTCCTTCGCTTGGATTAGGTCGTAGGCCTAGCACGCAACATGGCGCTCATCCTTGAAGCCAGAAAGGAGCCCATAGAGATCAACTGCATCTGTCCTGGGCTTGTAAAGACGGGCATTCCAGCGAAAGAGATGTTCGACATATTTCCTGCGGAGCATGTAACTCCAATGGACACTATACTCCATTGCATGAATCAATTCATCGAAGAAGACCTGAATGGCAGAGTTATGGAGTGCAGTGGACCGAACATAAACCGCGTCGATGCGCCGGATTATAGCGATGAACACTCGCGCTTTTTGGTCAGTACTTTTGGTTGTGTGAGTTGGAATATCATTGATCTGACACATGCTCCTGCAATCAGAACCACACATTTCCTATCAACATGACATTTTTGGCAGCCAATGCCATGGACGAGCACACCTAGTTCGATGCCTTTCGACTGGTGCAAGCAGTGCACTGGTTGGAGGGCAACAGCCAGGGAGGCAGATGAACTACATGGTACTACACAAATTTGTCTGGCATCAGTGTTACTCGAAAGCTCGTAGTGTGGTAGGCACCTATTCTGCGGGAATAATATAGCATCGTATAAACGCGGCAATAAGGGGCTTTCTTGGAGCTCATGTTTCCGCCAATCAGGTACTCGGAATTTGCTTCAATCAGCATCGAGTCAAGAATGCAGCAACAGTTGCATATGCCGGCAGGAGTGCTCTGGAAGGGAAGTGGGCCATGCACCTTCGGCTGTGTTGAAGTTACATACTCGTGGAAGGAATGTACGTACAAAGAAGTGGCAAGTCGTATGGCTGGCGCTACCCACTGCTGCACCCTAGCGCCTGCTTCCCCGCATTTCCCCACGCAAGTGAGTCCCCTGTCTCCATAGTTCGCTATCCATGTCTTCATAGATGGTAACGCATTATGGTATCGCCATATGCCTTCCTCTGGCTAGATTTCATCACCTTGCACTACGTATGACACGATGTCCGCAGCGTCTCCGGCGCAGAGCTCGAATGTGAAGTCTCAACATCGACCACACGAAGCGCACCGTCTGCCTCTCAAACGAGCATCTGCGGCATGCGTTTCGTGTCGCGCAGGCCGCATGAGAGTGAGTAGTCCGTCCAAGGCGAACTGTCATAGAGCTCATTTAGTACAAGTGCATCCGGGTCCCGGGTCAAACAAGCTGTAAAAGCTGTTCTCAACGCAGTCGCCCCTGTATATTCACTGGCTCAGACGAAAGAAAGAAGTTGGTTCACGACTTTTAGCTAATGTACTGGTTTTTCCACTTATTGGTACTGACCAGTTGCTACGCAGGCCTCGATCACGACAATATGTCAACCATCTCGCAGACGAGGTGCAAGCACTGCGGCAGCGATTGATGTCCATGCAGCAAGACTCGACGGCAGCCTGTACCCTTACGACAGTGACTACTAATGAAAGCCAAGATTCCCAGCCCACGCCGCCACGCGAAGCTGATGAGCGCGGTCAGTCAGGCGTTGTGCCTGAAACTCTCGATCCACTCAATACGGGAAGCATTACTGATTGCATCGTCGATGATGCACATTTGCCGTCTCGTCAGGAGCACATACCCATCACAGTTCCAGGGTCCGTGGTCAGCCACATCGCTAGCATTCGTGCCCGCAAGAGCGTCAATGCCATGGACCGACGGCTACGTTATTTTTATTTTGGTCCGGTCACGAATTCGGCTGTTCTCCTGTCGCAAGACGAGCTTGACATTGAGTGCCCAAGTACAGATGTGAGTTAGCTAGACATAATGCGGGTATCTGCCAATAGTTGACTCAACGGTGCATTGCAGGGGCCAGATGGCCGCAGGGCACGGGCTCTCATTCGTTCTGTCTCACATGAAACCCACGATTATCTTATGACACTTTACTGGAGCAGCTTCAATCAAGTCCTTCCCGTGATAAACCGCAAAGCTTACGAGGATGACTTCACTTCGAGAAGCGTGGGATACTATTCCAACCTGCTGCATTTGTGCCAACTTGCCATGGGCTTTCGATTCTCAGACAAGACTCGACAGGACATGAAGGCGTTAGCACGCGGTTCGTTTGAGAGCATATTCCACCAAGAGGCAAAATATATGATCGATACGGAGATCGAGCAACCTAGAGGGTTGCCCACCATCTCCGCACTCTTGCTCATGGGAGACCTAGAGTGTGGAGTGGGCCGAGACAATGTTGGCTGGATGATGCATGCAATGGCAATACGAATTGCCTTGGACTTGCGCCTGAACCTCGCGCCATCCCATTGCGAGACCCAGTTGAATCAGGAGGCTTGGCTGGGAAGACAGACGTTGTGGGCCTGCACTGTTTACGATTGCTACTGGGCACTTTTTGGCCAACGTCCAACGACAATCAAAGTGGAGGAAATTGAAGTTGATCTTTGCACACCGAACCAAGACGGCGCCGACGCTTTTGACCCCAGCAAGGGTGAAGCATTTTCAGCGGGTAGAGTTTATGGAGCTTTGCTAGAACTAATGTCTATTGCCGGGCGAATCTACAGCGATCCTGAAACACTGAGAACGCCTCGCATCAGCGAGCTACACAAGACCTCTTTGAAGAGGGAACTCCAGTGCTGGTATGCTCAGCTGGATGGTAGCCTCACCTTGACACCAGAGAACATCAGAGAAGCATCCCCGGACATGTTTCTTCTACACCAACAATATCACTCTATGTTGATCCTCTTGCATTGGCCGTTGGTGGAAAGCCCTGGAGTCGGTGGAATAACGAACTACTTCGACATGACACAGCAGCGGCAACGCGAAGTCATGAATGCGCTGCACATCTGCCGCAAGTCCGCTGTGGCAGTCACGCGCATCTACCAGGAATATATGAAAAGGTTCGATCCTACAAAGCTTTTCATTACTTGCGTACAGCATATTGTAAGTTGGTCATCCGTCCAATTTGGGAAATGACGCACTCTGACCATGCATCTCCTCATAGGTAACTGCTGCATCCGCACTGATCGCATCCTGTCAGATAGGCGGCGTCTCATCAGACACCTGCATCCAGCAGCTCCGCATTCTCTCCACAGTCATCACTGCTGCCGCGACCACGTACAAACCAGCTGGTATCATACGTACTCTACTCGAAGAAGCTCTCACAGAGCTCAGTCTCGACTTGCCATATCGTCTTGGCTCGAGCTCATCCGCACCACTCGACACTCTGGTCAACCTGAACGGTGATACTTTCGAATGGAATCTGGCACACTTCGTCAACGATACATGCACCGAGCCAGAAGAATCCTGGGTATCCTGTCTGTTGCACAACTCGGGACGCGCTGAACAATTCGCATACAGCTGAATAAGTCACATCGACGCCCGACTACTCGTTGAAACTCCTCGAATGGAATATTCACCGGAATGACCCATGCACGCTGGCTGGGGATTGTGCAATGCAGAAAAGTCCGTCAATCGCCTGTCCAGCTTCTAACAGCAGCTGTCACGCCATGGCGAAAATACCTGCACTCATCGGGTTTCGCGCGTCTTCTCAACTTTGCGCTTGTCTTGTATGTCCTTAGGCTTGCCGAGAGTTGCATGTCTCCTTCGTGATTACGGCGAGCTCCTTGGGAAAGCATTGATATGCAAGCAAGGCATTTTGGGCCACTAAGCTTCCACTGAGCCCGTGGGAAGTCTTTCAGCTCGCACCGACTCATTCGCAATTGATGCAGGCGCTACGCTTATCATGTCTCAGATCACAGCGGGGAAAGAGTGATGTGCGAGAACCAGCAACCTGGCTAATGCTCGCCCGATCTCTTCCCGGCTCCTCATTCGCGTGCTTTGCACCAGCTCGCAGGGCAAAAGATATATCTGCAAGTTCTCGACGAGGCGCTAGCAACAGGTCAAGCTTCCGATCCGGCAATCATCAATGGCGGACGCCAAGGCTTTGTGGCGCGGAACTCTAGCTCCCAAAGTATAGTATCCACGCTCACGTGTACGATTGACTTGTTTCCTGCCATGGGTAGCTCAAATCGACCAGGAACCCATTGGCTAACAATCCCAGGTCCTTCCATGCTTCAAATTTTGCTTGATCTTTGCTTCAAAAAACGAACATTCCAGAACGCCTTTTCTCATCACAACAGCGGCCGCTTCGATCCGAGACGCCTTTTCCAAGATGACCGAGCCAACGATCCAGCAACACGCATCGGCACCAACAAGCCTCAATGGTGGCGTCGACCCTTCACAAGCCAGTATAAATAGTCCAGCATCCTTGACTGGCAGCGACCTGGTCAAGCATCTGGAATGGATCGCCTACTCTTTCGTCGACGCTATCAACGATCGTGACCTCACATGGCTCGGAGACAATGGGCCAATGTCACCATACATCTCACAGGACTTTGTCGGCGAACAAGAACGTATTCCAGGGAGCTCGCAGACCGGCTTTGTCGGTCGCGAAGAACATGCGAAATTCTTCCCTATGATTCTCGCGTGGTCTCCGAACTACAAGATCCGCATCTTCGACCTTAGTACCTGCGTTGATGAAAGGAAGGGCAAAGCTGTGATGTTCTTCAACGGGGAGTCGACCGGCATAGGCGACCTTGCTATGCCCAGCACTTGCACAGTCGATTTTCAAAGATATGACGATGGTCATTGGAAGATGTGTCGATTCGCCGGCGTCCGCGGCATGGTCGATGGGTGCGAGCTTGTCAGTCCTGACGTAGATTGAAGGAAAACCATCGGCTGGCCAGTAGCCCTACCACTTACGAATGAGATTCCTTTTTGTTGAATGGGTTTGGTGAAGCAGGTCACAAATGTGCAAATCCACAGGTGTGACGAGGGCATGGAGTGTTTGCTAATGCTCAATTTGCAATGCTTCGATTGATCTATGCTATGCTCGCTGATGCTCCGATTCCCCCCATCTATGCCATTATGCTCATGTTACATTATCATGCTCTATTATATCATCTATGGGTATCATTCATGGCTTCGTAAGCTGTTCCTTCCGGAAGAACTTGTAAAACCCAACGCACAACGCAAGATTTGCAATTAAGCCCACCCAAAACCAAGCCTGCCAAATGGCTTCTGCGCCACCGCTGATGTCTGGAGAGATCGGCCCGGGTCCGAGTCTGTTCGGGCCAACACCGCGGCCCAGCATCGTTGCGAGAGATCCAATGACTTGCATCGCTGTCACGGCGAACGCTACGTGCGTTCTTGTCAACGTGCCGAGCATGATCATGCCCAGACCAACGCCTTGGACGGCATCGAGGACACCGAGCCACAGCCACAGAGATCGGGATAGCAGGGCGCTCGCGACGTAAATCGTGCCAGTGTCGATGCTGCCAGGAGCCCAAGGGAGCCAGAGACCGATGTTGCTGGTGCCCCACCAGATTTGAGCCCAGCGAGGAGCTCCAAGACCAATGGCGAACAGCGGCAGAATCCAAGAGTGCGACTTGGACAAATATGCAAACAACCCGCAGAATGCCGCCCAAACGCCAATGAAGAAGAATGCTACCAGCGCGAACACCTGCCATCCGGAAGCGTGCTGGCTGCTGAAGAGAAAAGACCAGTTGCGACCATATGGCGCACTGAGGAAGAAGTTCTGCACAATGGCAGTGACGAAGAACCAGAGGATGACCTTTCTCCGCGCGATCGAGCGATAGAAGCTTGGCATCTTTCCTGGTGCTTGTCGATAGTAAGCTGGTAGTCCGGTCCACATTACGAGACAAATCAGCCAAAGTGCGAAGCCAATAGGCAGAGTGATCGCTGTGACCTTCCACGTGCCAACGACAGGATCGCTGTTGGCAGTCATGCCTGCAGAGGTGCGGCGGGAGAGAAAGCTGCCCCAGTACCAGAGAGCTACCACGTAGATTTGCTGGGAGCCTTGGATGAGGCAGGCACGCAACACCCACGACTTGATAGGTGCACCACCCTCGTCTCCGAAATTCAATGCGAAAAAGAGGGCACCAGATGCCGAGGCCAGCGCATAAAATCCAGTGCCGACATTCTGCACCCAACCCACGCCGACGTACGTCGGAGCGAATCGAGCTAGGCCGACGATGAAGAATGCCAGTCCGTAAAAGAAGAATGGCAGTGACAGAGCCACCACGGATGCGAAACGTCTGAACAGGTACCACCACATCATAGAAGCCAGAAGGTAGATGGATGCGACGACGTACAGCTTGGTCGCTGTCTGACCAACCTCTCCAGTAAGCAATGTGATCTGGTAACTGTTGGCTGCGATGATTTGACCGAGAGCGAGGAAGTACGCGTAGAGTGGCCATGTGAACACCTTGACTTGCATCCATTTGCCCAGACCTCGAGGTGGCTTGTACTCATCTCCTAGTGCGAAAGCAGAGGTAGTAATGCCTGATTCCTTGATCGAGCTTCCATCGGCAGTCTCAGGTTCAGAGGGCGCGATTGACGCAGGGCGTGACTGCCGGGTGACTAGAGTTGTGGTACTCTCCTGTTTGAGCATACCCAATTTTGCGTTTCTGAACTCATTGAACCATTCTTTCTCTGACTTGACTAGGAAGTCTTCGATGCAGTGGTCGCTTTCGGAGTTTTTGCCATCCAGAGCCTGCAGTTTTCGACTGAAGCGACGATAGAAGTGGCCGTTCGAGTCCGTGAAGAATGGATCGACCTTTTGCAGGTTGAAGTCGTTCTTTTCTCCGACCACGTTTATCAGCGAGAGCCTGGAAGCGGGGAACGAGTTGCGTTTATAGTGATCGGGGATGTCTGGTACAGGTGGAGGGTAGCTGCTTCGGTTACCTGTCGAGGTGCCTCCAGGTGTGGTCGGCGTGGAAGGTCGCAGTGGGGTGATTGCATCTCCATCCGACCCTGTTAGTGATGGCAATGACTCCATAGATGCGCGAGAAGTAAGGCCGCTTCGAAATCCATCGTCGCTATGGCCGGGACCATCGGAGAATCCGTGAGACGCGTGTCTGGCATTAGCCAATGTAGGATGAATGCTTGGATGTGGATGGACTAAGGTCACGGAAGACCAGCCATTTCTTTCCGACACGATCCTGTCGTGAGTTCGAATGGCAGTCGATTGCAATATCTCCAATTCCTCAACCCACTGGGCGACTGGGAAACGCTGCTTTGCTGAGCGCGCTCTCATAAGTGCTCTGGTTTTCTGCGATGAGCTCATGGCGCCACGAATGGCATCCTTAAACTGGTGAAGCAAATGCGATGGTGTTGTAGATTCGACCGTGTACCACCAACCTGGCATCTGACCAAGGCCACCTAGGGAGAGAATGTTAGCTATGGCTTTGTGCGAAATCAGGAAGGCTTCAACGTACCAACTCGTGCGCCTACGCCCAGCGCTCCTTTTCTACCGAATTCGACTGCGACCAAGCCAAAGGGCTCGTCACGTGATGGGATGAGAGCGAACTCAGCGCCGGAGAAGACGAAAGGTGGCAAAGCTGTGAAAACTGGCTTTGAGCATACCCGTTTGGGGTACAAATTCATAAGCCTGTCTAGCTTGAGTGCCGCGAACTTTCCGTGCAAGTCGATGACGGGTCCAATGGCGATCAGCTGAACGTTAGGGTGAGACTCCAGAATGGCAGGGAATGCGTCCGCGATCAGATCGATGCCCTTTTGCCTATCAAGGGTGTCAGTACTCTTCCACGCAGCTCGTTGCGCATTCTCAGGAACTCACATCGACCAGCGTCCCACGAACACGAATAGCTCGGCTTTGGCATTGACCTCAAGTCCAGCCCACTCTTGTGCTTGCACACGCCACTCGAGGCGCTGCTGCTCGAAGTCCTCGTCAATTCGGATGTCTTTGTCGGCGACAGCTTTCTTGTCCCATGCTGCAGTGTCAGAAGGATCTGGGTTCTGTAGTGATTGCACTTCCTTCAATCCCCAAAAGATTGGATAACGGGTGTATGCTCGTGATCCATACTTCCTTGACACACCGACGGCACCGAAACTACGAGGCTTGTTAGCGGTGTCCACACCAGAGGCAATTGCGATGATGCTCACCCTTCCTGGTGGATTCGCAGATACGAGGCACCAGCGTGGAGCAAGTTGAAGATTTCGCCGAATTGGACATATTCGGAAACAATGTCAGGTGGTAGATTGAAGACTGAGCAAACCTCATCGCGCTCTTTCTTCGTGCGCATTGGCCACAGTCCTTGAAATTCCGCATTGCTAGGGGCAAATTAGCCTCGGTGTCCACGTACATGCGTAGTCTTGACTTACTGAAGACTCAGGCACACTGGAACAGTGCGAGGGAGAAGGTATAGAGGTGCGACTGTTCCATGGTAGTCGTTAATATGATACATGTCGACCGGGAAGCGGACTGTGAGGGAGTCAGTAATGTACGAACGAGCTTCCTTGACACGACATACCAAGCGCCTGTGCGATACACTGGTTCCACGCGGAATAGTAGATTGCGGATTCCAGATCGTCCATGCGGGCTGGGTAAGGTTCTTCTTTGCTCTGTTGCCTGAAGATTGGGGCATCCAGGAGGACGTAAGTAATATTTCGCAGTTTGTGATACTGCACGTTCACATTGTAGGTCTGACCGAGAACGGCGACCGTCATCGGTAGAGCGACTTCATCAACTGGATACTCGATACCTCCGACGCAAGGTACGACCCAGATCAAGTCCTGATGCTCGAGATTCTTACCCATGAGCTGCGCCATCACACCAAGACCGCCGATCTTGATTTTAATGGCCCAATCCTCAATGTCGTACTCCATGGTCGCGATGAGAACTTTTCGTCGGGATTCGGACTGAGCCATAATAGCTTCAGTCTTGCGTGAAAAGATGAGTGATTGGCGCTTGAGCTTGGACAAGAGGGTTTCGCGTTCCTCGCCAGGCATGGGCTGAAGTCGCTTTCTTAGTCCGTATGGAAGCAAGCGGATGAGACCAAGCTTCTCAGTGATTCCGACTTGATTGAACTTGATCTTGTAGAAGCTTCGCACGAAGATCCACACCGAGAGGGCGGCAGTGATGAGTGGGGTCACCCACAAAGTGAGATAAAGACCAAGTTGCTGCCACATCGAGCCGGTCGGCTCAAGTCGGAATCTCAGGCTGCCATCATCCACGACATACTTCCATGCGATGAAGGGCTTTGGTGGTGGGGCTGTAATGTTCAGGACGACGGGTGCGAGCGAAGAAGGTGGGAGTCGATCCAGGACGGAATCACGATCGATATCTCCCATGACCATGCTCTGATCGGGCTGTCCGTCGGGATTCATGCCCCAGATGTTGATTTGTGTGACAGACCCGTTGTTGCTCCATTCAGCCATATACGTCTTTGACCATGTGTAGTCTTCTGTGAGACGAAACTTGTTGTCCAGACCTGCGTCGAAGCCATAGGCATTGTACGGGCCGTTCAAATGCATGTGAGGAAACCTGCGTGCCTTGCTCCTTAGATCTGCTTGCTGTACATGGCTACTCGATCCTGCGAAGCGACTGAAGTACTCAACACGGACGTGCTCGCCGTCCCAGGTCTTGCGATTGTCTCCAGTGTTAGTGATGTTATTCAGGCCGCCTTGGTATGGTGCCCATTGCGAGAATGAGCCGCCGAAGTCTGTCGAGTAACGGTACAGATCAGATCCTGGGGCAGAATGGTTCAGCATCAGCTGGTCTTTTTGTTTCACTAGCAGTGTACTGGAGTAGTTAGCAGATCTGGTGAACACGATCGGGTTGTTCGGTTGGCCGACTCGCAGCAGAAAGTGATCGCGGGCCTCTGTGGTGGCGTTGATTGTAAGCTGATCCGAGGTGATAGCCGCTCTCGGGTGGTCGACTGTCATGCGATGGACGCCGTTGGCTACACCCTTGAGCGTCGCAGACCACGACCAAACGGAAGGCACATGGCCTACCAGAGGTGTAGGGCCTTTCTCGAAAGAGCCGCACCTGACGCTGTCCGGGTCCACGTAAGCAAAAACGCTGCTTTCTGTTTTTGACGAAATGCTGATACTGTTCGTAACGCTTTCGCAGTCCATGTCCGAGGAGAACTCGACCGACACGTTTACGTCTTCGGTAGCTGTGGGATCGGCATTCAAGGACAGAAGACGTGCGTCGTGTCCAGGCGTGAACTTTGTGATCATTGGCTTGGGACCAATCCACTTTCTGATTGGAACGTAAGCACGATGGTCATAAGCCGCCATAGTCAGTAATTCTAGACATCCATTGAAGTCTGTCGAATTGTCGAACCCGAAAACTTGTGTGCTGTTCAATAAAGTGTGCTCGTCGTACGGGTGGAAAAGGTTCTTGACTCTCGTCCCTGCAGGATACGGTGCGATCAAAGACGTCGTGTTCAACCCAGTTGTGTTATCTGTGCAATCGAAGTGGTATGTTGTGCTGGTGTTCAAGTTCGAGTACACCAGCCAGACCGGAGTCGCAGGAATTGATCTGCTCGCTCTAGTGCTGTTGCCGCGAAAGATGGTGCTGCTGTTGCGATATCGTCCTCCATTTGCGGTAAAGTTGCTGCCGACCAAAGTTGGTATGTCGGTCTCGTTAACAATGGTCGACAGGTTTTGCATGCCAACAAATTCGGATCGCAAGACGCTCCAAAGTCCAGTTTCAGTTGTGACTCCGCTTGAACCTTGATAAGATACGTCCCAGGTTTGGTTAGAGAGCTGCTGTAAGAAGAATCCATTTGTCAGAACAGGGTACGCCTCCCGGAGGTGGTACATCCGGCGAAGGATATTGCGGACTGGCGCAGAAGGATCGCGGTGATCAGCGCTCACTCCGTCGTCGTTACACCCGTGTCTGGTGGCATTCCAGGGCATCTTGTAATACTGCGTAGAGTCAAGTCCGTAGCATCCATGAGTTTGCCATGCGGTGGCTGTGCTCATTGGCATTCGGCCGAAGATGTAGTTGTCATTCGTCGAATCAAGCACGTAAAACTCTTGCTCTTCGCCCCAGAGAAGTTTTGGCACTCCCGGTAGGAGCAGATTCGTGATAAAATGCCCCAGAAGTTGTCGATGAATGCCATTCTCGATAGCTGGCCAGCGGAAAACATCCTGATTAGTGACTCCAAACATGTGACGAGGGTCAAATTTCCCAGTATTCGCGTTGACCATATCGTTTGTCAACATGAAGGTATTCCATTGATCGACCCACTGCAGTATATCGTCAGAATTTGAAGCAAGAACTGATGTTCAGCTGCGAAGACACTTACATTGCGAGGCGCGTCGTAGCCAGCTTCCAGGTTACCGTCCATGCCCAGGAATCTGGTCAATGTTCGATAGACTGTGTAGTGGAAAGCGCCGCCGTCCAATGCATGTTCCTCTTGCGGCCGGAGATAGTACTGCGATGCGTTGGTCGAGTTATGATTCAACCCGATAGCCACAGTCACATTCTCAGGAATCTGATCAGGTTGTCGTCCGCGGCCGAAATAAATGGATCCCATTGCGTTTCCGCCAGTCACTTCGCCGACGATGAAGAAGTTTTCTTTGCCGTATTTCCTGGCACACCTTCGCATGGCTGCACTCCCAAGAGCCATAGCATCCACCGTTGACTGGATGGCTTTATCGTAGCGGTATCCATCGAAATCGAGCTGAGCGATCGCCAGGCAGTAGAAGTGCTCGATCTTCGCGCGGACAGGAGGGTGCCATTCTCTCAGGCGATCCTGCACGGAGGCAAACTTCGACAATTGGCGACGATAATCTGGATAGACTCCGAATGCTTCGGTATCACCGTATTGATCGAAGTCGCTGTTGTAGCAGCCCTTCATTTGGTCCTTGTATTCCGCTTCGATGGGAAATCCCGTCTCGTTCCAGAAACGAGGATATTGGCATGTTTCGTTGTAGTCGTTACCAATGTCAAAGTCCATATACCTCCGAGACGATTTCCACAAGACCTTGTGCTCTTGCAACGAGAATGGGGTCGACTCGTTCAGATAGCCATCAAAACCAATGAGATCGCCCAGTGTCGCGAAGGTGTTGTCGAGCACCACGTACATGCCACGGGCATGAATCTCGTCAATCGCAAGCCTCCACATCTCGATAGTGCCGAAGTGAGGATCGAGAACGGACAAATCGACAGGGCTGTACGAGTCATATACCCATGGTTGGTTCATGAACGGTGAGCCGGCGATGTAAAGGGCCTGCATTGGTTGTTATTAGCGATTCCCCGTCGTGAAGCCTCACTAAGAAGTAGGTCCATAGCTCACCTTGATTCCCATGCCCTGCAAATAGTCTAGGGTGTCGACCAGACCTTGGAGGTCGCCTCCATGTCGCATCTGATTGGAGTCTGTGACTCGCTCGAATACTGTCCCATTGATGTTGTCATTGTATGGGTCTCCATTGACAAACCGGTCCAGGAACAATGTGTAGAATGGAAACCGCCAGTTTTCAGGCGATGCTGTGTAGTTGTGCCCGGTCCATTCGCCCCCTGGGACAGTCGTCAGCGCATGCCTCAGATGAATACCCGCGGCCGAAGTACTCGAATCGACATATTCATGCTCTTGCTTTGGTTCGATCTTTCGGAATGCAATGGCTGATTTACTTACAGAAATCCAGGGGGTTCACGCCTGTTTGATTCTGGTTCAAGTTGTATTCTGTGAGAGCGGGATCATACTTGTACGCTGTCGTGCGAACGACCAGCAACAAGCATGCGATTATCCATGCCATGAACTCCATAGCAGGACGCTGTAGAGCACAAGGCACAGATTGTCTAGCAGAGAAGACAAGAACACCAACGATCGCCCTACGGATGCTAGAGGAGCATGATGGCGGCCTCTAATTCTTCTGCACAACGCCACAGAAAGGTTGAATAGCATGGCCATCGTGCTCTCGTTGACATGAGCCGGTGCCGAAACAGAGGTCCTGAAGGAGACACTTTTTTTTTGGCGCAGCCTAGAGCGCCGCTGGCCAAAAAGGGTAGGCTGGCTCGGCTGGGCATGCAGGCGTGGTGCTCGAAGCATGTGCTGGGAGGCATGGACCAAGCCTTAGAGACGCCTGACATCGTTGGGACTGCCCACGCGCCGAGAACAGACGATGGGGCTCCTTCATCTCGCCAGCCTGACGCGAGTGACGAAGTGACAAGTCCACAAGCATGCAGGCTCCACGTGGTAGCCAGAAAAGGGAAATTTGACCAATGCGGGCCATCATCAGTGGTGGCATGCCGGTGGTACGGTGTGGTTTACTCTAGCCCAAGCACAGCCGGACAAAGATGCAAGAGCTGCGAACTTTGCCTAGGTAGCCAGATTCGTGACCGTGCCGACGTGTCAACGCAACTGAGTTGCAAGCCCGAACACACGACTGTGCCACCGACGGTTCGAGAATGTCGAAGTACCTTTCGTCAGTACTTCCCAGCAGAGCATTTCACGAAATGGCTGGTGGGCCGGCTGCTGAATCGAGGTGGCGCACGTGGCTCCCGAGCTGCAGAGTCCCAAGTAGGAAACGTCATCTGCAGATGAATTGCCTGTTGCGACTCGATTAGCTCCTGACAGCGAGGGATTCTTATCGCCAACGTAGATATAGGCTCTCAAGCCGCTCCTTGCACGCGACGCCTGCGTTGCATGGCCACTCACCAGGCGGTGGCGCACAGGACGTCGCAGGCTTGCTCGACAAACCTTGCCGCGAGAACATGTGAAAGAACGGTCACGGCACAAGGCTGGCGGCCGCGCATTGTGTCAGTTCGTTATTTCGGCGAGACTCTACATCGCCCAGCCATGACACACCTCTGCACTTCCGGGAAGACATTTGCCTAGTGTTGCACAGGAATACATATTCCCATCATTCTCTCTGCAGCAGCTTCGGTGCCGTCCAGGCACAATGTGGCCAGGAGCAGCGTCAGCGCCAGCAGTGTCTCCACTAGTGACTAAAGCTTCCATTACGCTGGGCTTGCGACAATTCGTGTGCGAGTGCAAGCTGGTGGGGTGTTCAGGCAAGCGGCCTCCGAGTAAAGCCGCTATGGCAGATTCGAGGATGGAGTGATGTTGAGAAGGATGCGGCTCTGCAATTTCGCCGGCTGGAAGGCCCAAAAGCGCCTCGCTGAGCGCGCTAGCCAACGTGGCGGGTCAGTAGCGTCGAACTCTCATCTCGATCACACTCAGATCTTCCCCTTCTGCTGACTCGTCAGTACGGCGAAGCTCAAAGCGGCAAATACAGTAAGTTCCGCCGCGCTAGGGTAGCCCGATCAGGACATTACAACTTGCGATCTTGACAGCTAAATCGCCATGTCTTTGCGCCTCTACGTCGAGGTTCGCGACTCACGAAGAAGTCCAATTTCTGGCCAGAAGGGCTGTTCTGGGCCACACTGGCATGTTGCCGATATTGCAGGCATTTCAGAGGAACCGTGGAGAATGATGCTGAACTGCATCGAAGGTGGGTCAGGTCATCTTCGATGAGGCTCAAGATTGGCCGAGACATGAACCAATTGCAGTGAGCCGGTCCCGCCAACCGGGTAAGAAGACAACACACTCGCACACGCGTGTACGGGTCGGTTTTGACTGCCGAAGTGCCGCCAGCGCGTTCCTGAAACTTAGAGCGGTTGCGCTTCTCACAAACAGCTCGGCGGGACCGACTCAAGACAGTTCCGTCTGGAGGTCATGTCTTGACAGCCTGGTGCATACTTGTGCCAGAACCACCGTCCCAGCCTACGTCGCAGACTTCCAGTCGACTTTGGCTCGATGCCCTGCATCCTTTTGCGAGGGAGCATTCGAAGGGAACAGCATCACGCCATGCAGGGCGGGACACAGGCCGGGATAGACTCCGGTCAGCACACCATCGTAAGTAGCTGTCGCCTGCACGCCAATATCACAGCCACTAGTCCTGAAATGGAGTCAATTTCTCACTTTGCATGCCATGAAGGGACACAGCCGAGACGAGTTGGGCCATGGCGTGATCGCAGGAAGACGCTTCATCTGCCGTTCTGTGCTCCAGTGCGCGAAGGTCGATGTACACGTCGCCGTTGGGATGGCCCAACCTCTGGCGCGGCTGCTCGGGTTTCCGATTTCCAGGAAGCAGAAAATTTCACGCTGTATTTACAGCACTGGAGGATGCGGTGCACTCTCTGCACAGGAGCTGTTTCTGGGCACTTGGGTTCTGTGAATGCTGTCCGAGATACGAGATTGCCACTTTCCCGCCCCAATGGTCTGCAGACTGCACGGCTTATCGCATGATTTGAATTTCAGCGCCCCTGCTTCGCATTCGCGTTTGCTGAGATCCGTGAGGTTGTTTCCTTCCACACGTTACTTCCGGCATGTCTCGCTTCTGTGTGCTTGACAGCCGTCTGCATTCGTCGCTGCCGGGTCTTGAGTGTCTCGGCGCCTGAACGCAAAACCCATCACTGGATTCGAACTTCTGCTGCAACCGGCAGGCACAGTGCATGTCAGAATGCACAGCTCGTAGGTCCAGATCCGAAAATGGAACGCTCGAACCGCCGCTGTAGGTGATTACTCTATTGAGACGGCGGGAAAACCGGCAGAACGGTGACTGTGGTGAGGATCCCAGCGATCGCAGCACGCCATCTACTGAACAACATCGCGTCGTTCGTCAATTGCTCCACGTGTCTGTGCCTCACTCGTCGCCTGGTATCTTCCGTATCTGGCGCATACGCGCAGGTGTCCACGTAGCGATCGCCTTCAGTCGTTCCTCCGGGACAGGAGACGACAGAAAGGCTGAAGGATGCAAAGTCTTATCAGCCTTTCCTCAACCGAATCCTGGTAAAGCAGCGAGGAACGCCGACAGTGCAGCGTGGTCTTCTGCGAGCGACCATGATGGAAGCTGAAGCGCTCTTGCATGCGCGTCGTTAAGGAATGCTCCAGGTGATGAAGGAGGTGAAGTTGGAAATATCCTGGTCTGTTGATAGCAACTTACGTCGCCCATGCCCGAGCCGACCATTGAGAACGCTGCGCGACTGCCAGGTTTAGAGTGCCAAGAAAGGATTTTGTCCCACTTCATTTTTTTGCTCACCGTGTTTTGCATCGATTGCAGTTTCTACACTATGCACGGGTGCTCTACAGATACTGTTAAAAATGCAGCCTTCGAAGTATGAAATGCAGTCGATCTCGAAACATACATATATCAATTCCGTACGCTGACCGGGCGCCCAGAAACTTGTGACAACTGGCCAACCGCCTGTAGAAAAGACAGAAAGGACAATACAATCCACTGCCTGCATACTGTCCGAATATTACAAGGAGAAAGTCCATCACTTCATTTCCACCGGCAGCCGCAGAGATTGGAGCCTTCCACTGCAATCATATCCTGTCCGGCTTGCGTATACAAGACCCCTATAGCAGGTGGCTTATCCCCGCCTGCAAGCCGGCCTGCACAGCATGTCGTGGTCCCATGTAGGGGCTCCGGGATGGCTGCAGCAGTGCGAAGAGCTAGCAGTAAATCAAGGCAGAAAGCAGAATGTGAAGCCCACAGCTCCGCGGAGCCCGAGCTGATATTAATGCCAGCTCGTGCCATCCCAGACACTGCGTTGAGCTTGCTGATGCGCGCTTGCGGCAATCACAATAGATGTCTTCGTCGAATACGCAGCTTCGCAAAGTAGCCAGCATTTCTTGGGTCGAAACTGCCTTTGGCGAATGCCTCGCGAAAGTGCGATGACCCAATCAGCCTTCAAGCCCACACGACCTCAACCTCCAGCTCCGGATCTTCAATTTCGCACCGCACCCGCAGTTTCTTCAACATCTGCTTCATAGCAGCTCGTCCTCCGTCGCCCCGAAGTATCCGACGATCCAGTCTTGGACCATCGCCTCCTGCTTCCAACGCTTGTACCTTAAGCTGAGCAATGCGACCCCCAAACTGGGCCACCTCCTGAGGCACATGAGCTTCAACGAGCTGGAAGAAGGCTTCAACAGTAGGGAGGTCCTGCATTTCGGCATAGTCGTCGACATCGAGCTTCGCGTCCCAGTGAGAAGGTGTATTCCAGTTGATGCGAAAAGTAGCGCGACCAAGATTATCATGTTGTCCGGTGCTGGAGTCGGCATGTGTCATTGCAGAGCCGGTGCTTTGCTGCCTGGAGGTACTCTCCGTCGCGAGATAAGGGGAAGGCCCTGCGGCTGGCCTCTCCCGAGACTTGGAACGCCTTAACGGAGCCTCGATAGATGGCAACGCCGATATTGGTCCGTGTTCAGTATCGCGAGGGGACATTTGGACTTGTGCTTGTCTCGAAAGATCCATCTTTGGCGCACGACTACGCGAAGAAGCGGAAACAGCATGGATGGCATTGAATAAGGTCAGTTGCTCAGCATAAGTGCTGCTCTCGTCCTCATTCCGGAGCATGCTTGCCGTGTCATCCTCACCTCTGGGTCCCAGATGCGGGATTGAGCTCTTATTTATGCTGCTTCCATCTCGCGCATGGAGCACGCTTGCCGTCTCATTCTCCATTCTGGTATCCAAACGCGGAGCCAGGCTTGCATTTCTGCTGCTCTCGTCTTGCTCCTGGGCCATGTCTGTCGCATCATCCTCTCCTCGGGCTTCAGACTGCGGGATTGAGCTTGCCTTTCTGCTGCATACCGGATTGGGCGTTGGCGCGGTCTGCTCATTCCAAGTGTTCTCAACATCAGAGTCCGGGCTTGCGTTTATGTTTCGGATCAGACTGGTGATAACACAGGCCTGGGCACTCGGCTCAGCAGTTCCCTGTCGTGTCGTTGTTGTTGGAGTAGTGGAGACTCCCGCATCGCAGCGCACGGAAGACCTCGTACAGTCCGAAACATCGGAGCTGAGGCTGCTCACATGGTCATCTGATGGACCATAGACTGCTGCGACTGTTGCCAGTCTGTCGGGAGCTATATTTAGTGTGAGCATTAGTGATGGTCCCACACGCTTGTTAATATGCCCACCAGCGATGTCTCCAGGATGCACTGTCGACTCGATTGCACTTGCTGCGTTCTCAAGAACGGAGGTCTTTGGACGCTTGCGTGAACGTCCCGGTGGCTCGTACTCATTGTCATCCCCGAATTGATGATGAACTGCTCTTTTGACCGATTTTCGCTCTACTGCAACGCCTGCGCCAGATTTGGACTTGCACAGTCCATGTTGAAGATTTCGAGCCCGGGTCCGGCACTTTTCGGCGATCCACGCCACGAAGAAGTCTTGGAGACTGATGAAGAATTCAGTGCGTCGCTCCCAAGCACGATTCCAGTCTACTCACATTTCGTGATCTTCTTCCTCGTCATGATACAGGTCCCGCGGGTAGAGGCCATCCCAGTTGTTCGAAGCAGCTTCTACAAGCCAGGCAGTTCTGTCGGTGTCCGCGGAAGGCCATAGAGTCGGTGCGAGCACTTCGAAGGCGCGTTCGATTCTGGACTTCGCATCTGCAGTGATGTCGAGCTCGGTTGATTCTATGGCCTCGGACACTTGATCGATAATGGGATCGACCTCCCAACGTAGAGCCTCAAAAGGTCCATCTTCCCATGTTCGAGTGAAGATGCGGCCAGTGCGAAAGCCCATCTGTCGCTCTAGTCTGCCGGTGCTGGCTCTGCTCTTGCCGGCCTCTGCAGTGAGATTACGCATGCTGGTAGGCTTCGAGGGCGAGTTTTGGCCCGCGCTCCTGTCGTTAAGACGCGCGACTCGCTCTCTGCGACGTGAATGAGGTCGACGCGGCTGATGAAGAAGTGACAAGCAGTATCCCGGTCAATGTGCAGGCAACAAACGCTACCGTATACTTGCAGGCTTGGCAGCGAATGCGCCAACATTAAGACCTGTCATGTTACACGACTTTTGGCGACCCACAGACATCGGATAGCTGCAGTCTGCAAGAGGCTATCGTGTCCATCAAACGCGTCCCAAAGTCCCAGCTTCGCGTCAAGGATTGAGACGAGCTCACCTCCAGGTGACAACTCCTTCAACTTCACCTGCAACATGGTAGAGGCGACAATTGCAAGCCTCGAGCACGCGCTCGGCTTCAAGTGGAAGGTGCACGGAAGCAGGCATAGAGCCACAAACACTCCACTTCCCCTGATCGAACAAGCCATCGAAGAGCTGACAGAAGAGCTCAGCAACGCGCGCGTAAAGAACAAACGCGTTGAGCGTCACGAAGACGAACTGGATAGCATTGACGAGCACTTCGATCGTATTGGCCCCGAGCTGTGGCCCGACGAGGATCCCAATCGAAATACCTGGCTTGTTGATGCCAACGAGGAGAACTTTGACGGGTTGTATCCTCGAAACTTGTACTTCTCCGCACCCGAGGACTATGAATTGTGCGTCGACTGCCCCTATCGAGTCTCGCGTTATACGCAGCTTCGTACTAACAGTCTTAGGCTCAGGGAAGCCTTTCGAGACTTGCTTCTGTACAAAGTGGGCGTCCAACTGTACGAGCGAAGCCGCAAAGAAGCGCCGTGCAAAGACCAAGATAGCTCCGAAATCAACCAGGGCTCAACGACAACGACAGAAGCAACGCAGGAAGACGAAGGCCCCATTGCACCCGAGCAGACTTCGTGCACCAAACCACAGAACAGCTTTTCCCCTGCAATTCGGTCATCCCTACGCAAGCACATCTTAAATGCATTTCTGCAATCCGAGAGCAGCGAATCAGACGAGCTGCCTCCGGAAGTGCTCGTAGCCATCGCGGCCGCCGTAGTTGACGACAAAACCACGTACAAGTGGCGAGGTACCAGTTACAACGTACCGGAGGATATGCTGGCAGAGGGAAAAAAGATCATTGAGCGCTTCTCGAAATCCCCAGAAGACGAGCTTCAGCCCGCGGTGAGCTCTGCAAACGGCCGTTGCGAAGTCATCGACCTCGACCTGTTGTCCAGTGACAATGAGGAGGAAGACGTCCCAGAAGAGAGAACACCGTCCTCGCCAGAGATCCTTCCAAGCCAGCACAATCGAGCAATGCCTCGTAGTCTCGCAGAAATGCGGGCCTTCCTGTCGACCATCAACTTTGAAGTGCAATTTCGCGTTCGACAAGATGACTCTCCCGTCGTGTCTCTCCGTGGTTGTTACAGCTCTGCAAAACTATTCGAGCGGATCCAAGCCAGCATACCCGAAGATGCTCAGGTTCGAGAAGTCCAAGCGTTCATTGTCTACTTCCAAGGAGTGCGCGAAATTCGCGTCCGCAAAGACCATGAGCTGGACTTCCAAAAGCTCGTCCACAGGATGATTTGCGAAGACGTGCACGAGGGCTTCGTGGCAATCGAATGGTAGCCCCAACAGTGAACTACGGGTGGAGGGAAGGAAAGCCTGGGGTTCTGAAGTCGCGACCGGCTCCACACCAGTTTTGATTCACTCCATGGCAGGCCGAAGCTCGACCAACAGCAGGATCCGTAAACGACGAGACGATGCCAATTGGAAGGTGGCCTTGCGGACAACTTTGTCTTGATTCGTGTCAAATGTTACATGCTTTTTGTCATGCGCCGCGACTGACGGCTGCTCTACTGTACAATACGTTCATAGCTCGTAAATGCCTACTTCTTCAACAACTCCTCGGCCTGCTTTGACTTCTTCTCAAGCACCTTGGACAGCTCCTCGATCGTCTCCTTCCCGAGCTTCTGTGCCTCGGGTCCCTTGGTCTCTGCGGCTTCCTTGAGCTTCATGATCTGTGGTAGAATTTGAGAGCCATTGGGGATTGCGTCGAGCCAACCCGACAGAGCGCCGTTGGAATACTGGTCCGCCTTCTTCTTGGCGCTGTCGACATGTTAGTGATACGCTGGACTGATCAAGGAATGATTGTGCTTACTCCTGCACGTATTGCTCGAGGCCACGAGTGCTGCCGCTCTGCACAGCAGTGCGGACCTTGTCCACAATGTCGGAAACATGACCAGATTTGATGGTGTCCATATTCTGCTCGACAAACTTCTTCACGTCTTGGTTCTTCTCCAAAAGTGGCTTGATCTGCTCGTACCCGGCGTCCCAGCTCTTGTCGCCGAGCTGCTTGAGATCTTGTGTCTTTTCCTGCAGCAGCTTGTAGGCACGTGTCACGGCATCTGCGCTTGCACCCGACTTGACTATTTTTGAGACCTCGTTGAAGGTGTCGTCCACTTGCTTCTTGGCCTCGGGGCCCAGTCTGTCTCCAAGCTGCTTGAGCTGATCGAACTGGCCACCAAGCTTCTCCTTCAGTTCTGGGTGGTTGTCGATGATCTGTTGTGAGGCATCTCCAGCGAGATCAGTCAGTTGGCCGAGGCGCTTGGACAGGATTGCCCAAATGTCGTTGATAGTCTCGATGCCTAGAGATGTTAAGTCCATGTCAGTCTAAATCTTCCTTATTCCGTTTGTAGTCTTTGGCTGCCACCAGGGCTACGCATCTGGATAGACGGGAAAGAGAAGTCACACGTACTGGCACCCTTCTTTTGGGCAGCTTCACGGAGCTCCTCGTACGTAGCGCGAGCGATCTCGTTGAACTCCTTCTCATGCTTGTTGCGGATCGCTTCGAGATCCTTGAATGAGCTGTCGACAAGCTGTCGGCCGCCAGGCACGAATGCCGCGTACTTCTCAGCGACCTGGCGTATTGAACCCAGGACATCGTTGCTCTGAGGCTTCAATTCTGCAAGTTGTTGCTTGATTTGCTCGGCCGCAGTGTCGACATAGCTCTTTGCTTGCTGGGTGGTGTTGACAACGGTCTTCGCGCCGCTGAAGTAGTAATATCCGTACCCGAGCGCGAAGACGGTGGCGCCTCCGATAAGGCCACCGGTAAGAGCCTGTCCACCTCCGCTCTGTGGTGCTGGCGAAGGCGCCGAATCTGCAAAGGTGCGTCGTAGAGACTGACGGGGAATGGCGGAGCTGCGAATGGCGCGCGCGGCGCGTGGTGCTGTGCGTGATCCGAACATGGCTGCGGTGGTGGAGATGTGAAGAGGGTGGAGTGGAATTTGGGAGGTAAGACAGTCAATGAAGAGAGTGAACCTACCACGGCAACATTCGAAAGGCCTTATGCTTTCATGGTCTCGCAGCAGCCACAACTTTGCCTTTCCTACGACAGAGTGACGGAAGTGACGACGGATGGGAGCAAGCAGGGCAGGAATGAGCTCACGGGCGCGCTTGCCGGCCTTGGCAGGAACCACTTGCGGCCCACTCCTCTCACGCCGCCGCTCTCCGCATCGTCATCACCGCATATGAAGAAACTACATGTACAACCCATTGGCACCGATTTGCCCGTAGTTCATCCTGCTCGAGATGCCACGCAAAGACAACAGAGAGCATTCTGACAAAGTCCTCTATTCATGCTGCTAAAGGCTATACTTGGCCTGCCATCCTGCTCACGTGTAAACACTGACATTTGACGGGCGATGCACGTCGATATGTTCTCCTCTTGCGCGAGACCGGTGCAAGACGGCCATCTAGATGGTACTCGATACCGCCGACTACGCCCTGGCAGTCTGTGGCCTCTTCCTTAGACAAAGGTGAGTGCCCAAACGCGGCAGTAGAGGTCCAGCCGAATCCGGAAACATTGCATTGTGCCGTCTTCACACAAAGGAGGACGGCATGAGAACTGCGGTGGAAAGATGGCAAACCGTCGTCTCCCAAAAAGTCTCATTTCTGTCCGGTTGTGCTTCACGCGCGACGCCAATCGTTTATCATGCCAGTTACCACACGATCCAAGAAAGCGGCGGAGGGGTCTGCGGCAGTGGAGGTAGCAGATACTTCAGCCCCCGATCCAAAGCTAGCACAGAATACAAGAGGGCGTAAATCGAAAGCAGCTACGAAGGCATCAAAGTCAGCAGCCGATGCACCAACGGCAACAGCAAATGCATCAAAGTTAGAAGCACGTAAACGAAAGAAAGCCGCAGATGCACCAGCAGCTGCCGCCGCCGTTGCGGCTTCGCCTCCACCCCCTGAACAACCACAAGCTTCTGTCTCCCCTCTGACTGCAAGGCCTACGGCACCGATCTCGTCCAGTACACGTAGACTCAAAACACCGACGCCACCTGGTAATCGCCCTCATACTTCAGCAAGCCCCAGTCCTGCTAAAGTACTAAGCACAACCCCAAATGGGACGCTCAAAGATTATCGACAGGTGACTGGCGCTAAGTTTCCCGATCTTGGCCCTGTCAGGAAGGAAGACTACACACGCGATGTCGATGAAGAAGATCATCTCTCAGGCAGAAGAAAGGGACTGTCAACTTCGCCTGACGGATCCCGAACAACACGTGGAGCCCGCTACAGCCCTCCCAGGAGGTCACCGACTCTGATTCCAAGTTCCAGTGACTACGTAGCAAGACCCGGGGCCATTCCCTACGAACCTCCAGAGCCGCGAAGAGAACAGCCTCAAAAGGCCTTCTTCCGATCTTGGCCTAATGTGCTGAGCTCGCTGGCAGCACTCCTCTTAGTTGCTTGGCTGATCGTTGCCGATCCCGGGAACTGGCAAGCGCAAGCAAAGCTGAGGTTCATGAATCAACAGTATCACGATAGCAATGCTAGACGTATTATGATCGACCCTCTTGGTACATCTCACATTGTAGAAGTCAACGACATAAGTCTATCGGTCAGTCAGTTTTGTGTACCAAATGCGGGCGGCTCAAGTACCACGTCGGGGATTGCGAAGGGAGTCAATATCAACGTGGCAAATTTCCGGGAGTGGAACGATCTCGTGAGAAAATCAAGAGAGCCCGAGATAAGGTATGCTCATAGCGGTTTCTGCGCCTGCTACCTGAAACGAGACTGACGTATGCGTAGCGCTCTTTACGGCATGTTTCATGATAAGATCCCAGGCGCTGAGAAGACCGCGCAGCTTTCCACAGATTTAGAGGCTCGCATGTGCGAGTTCGCAGATGAGCTCGTGGGCAAAGGTCTCGCTCACGAGAAGACTCGTTCATTTGCATCAAAGCTCCGAAGCTACCGAGAAAGCGCAACGAGGTTGAACCCGACCCAAACCCCAGATTCAAACAAGGCCTACGACATGGCAAAGCGACTGTGGGCTGCTGCGAGACCAGGCGACTGGGATCACGGTTTGGTCGAGGGCGCTTTCACAGATCTCAAAGAATATCTGGAGAGCCAACAGCAGCTCGCGCTCGCCATGTCCGAGCAATCCAGCGAAGTATTCGCAGACTACGCAAGATTCATCAAGTTCTACCGAGCATACCAAAAGACTCCTGGCGAGGCGGAGTACAAACGGCAAGTTGCTTGCAGAGACCTTTATGTTAGGAAATGGCCCAAGTGGGGGTACAATTGCGACAGAACATCTCACGCCCATCTGCTTGCTCCAGTCAAAGGCGACCGCGATCCTGCCATCATGAGGTCGATGGCATCGCAGTATTATCTCCAAGAGGCCGGAACTATCTGGAACAACTATGCCAAGCACCTCGGAGACGGACTGTCTCTGCTCGCCGACATGCCCAAATTGAAGAAAGACTTGGCTGCAGAAGGTATTCCAGCCAGAATTGAGCATCTCGTATCTCTTCTCGACAACTTGGCTAATCAAGCCGATAACACAGCCGTGCTTTTGCAAGACGCCTACGAGAGGAAATATGCTGTTCCCATTGATTTCGAGGCCAAGCCTGATGATGGGATCATCAGGTACACTCGCCCCGAGTCAGGACGTTGCAACGCTTGTAACGAGCGCACACTATCTTCGTGGTCATCTTCGTCAATCGCAAGGGCTTCGGCGGATGAGCTATGGTCAAGCTTGTATGACAACGATGACGAGCAAGCGACCGAGACGACGAAACCGGCGTGGGCATCACACTTGACCACAGCCTCATCAGATTCGCGACCAACCTCTGAGCGACGTCCAGAGATTACAACTTCGACGCAACTTGTGAAAATTGTTGACATCCAGTGGCATTAGGTAGCTGCCCTCAAAGTTTTGACTTTCATAGCTGGTAATACAAATGTTTCTCTTTTCCTATCAAGCTCCAGCCGCCAGTGATCGTGGCTGCCTCTGAATGCAAATACCTCTGAGGGCGACCGCAGGTCGCTAAGCCAATCAGCAAAGGTTTTCTTGGATCGAGAGCCAATCTCAGATGGTTAGGCGCTTGCACTCAGAGGCAGTTGCGTTCAGAGGTATCCGCGGGTTAGCCCTGGCACTCGGCCGACTTTGACTCCAAGCTGCTTTTTCTTGCTTGGTATGAAATCTGCTGAACTGCTTGTATACACAAAATCTTCGTCTATCCGCGATGCCCAAAAGTGGGTCACCCATACCTACAACTCTCCTACTTCCCAACAACATCGTCAACTCTACATCCGAAATTCGCCCCCTCAGAAACCTAGTCCCTAGGTCACATCTAAGCACAAAAGTACTGGTAAGAGCCACCCTTGGTCGAGTTTCCAGCTCCAGTAGTACCGTTCGCCACTGGCGGAGTAACTGGAGCGGTAGTGTTGCCTCCAGAACCACTGCCAGGAGTAGTCGTAGGGACAGGTGCAGGAGCCGTGGTAGAAACAGGAGCAGGAGCCGGGCTAGTTCCAGAACCACTTCCACCGACAGTGAAATCGATACAGCTCTCGTAGGTCTGGTCGACTGGTGGTGGGGAGTTCCAGTACATTTGGATCACGCAGTCACCGGCAGTGGAGCATTGGCTGCCGAGGTTGTCGGGGATGGTGATTGAGAATTGCTGTGAGGCGCATTAGCATATGTTGGAGTTTTCGATTGGGGTGGAGGTGGATTTACCGATTCGCTTGCGACGCTGGGTCTGGAGGTGAGAGCGTACTCGTCCCACTTCTTCAGGTCGGATGCAATGATCGAGTTGGTTGCGGTTTCGACGATGGAGACGTTGGCGTAGCCGGAGTGAGGGGCGCGAATGGCGAAGTCGAGGTCGACTTCTTGTCCGGCGGTGTAGGTCTGGACGTTGTCGGTGTTGTCGTCGAACTTCATGCCCTGTTTCCATCTGTTAGCAAACGATGTGGTTGGCTTGACGTTCTCGAGTGTTGTGCATACCTTGCAGAGCCACAGACCACAAGCCTCAGCATCGTAGTCTTGCTGGTTGGCGACGAGTTGCAAGAGACCTTGGACGTTGCCGTTGACTGTAGCGAGGAACGTCAGCCCTTGCCCTTGAATGTTGTCATGCTTCACGAAGTTCTCCTGTGGAAATACTCACTGTCACCCTTCATCATGTTGTAGGCTTGCGAACCGCAAGCAGCCTCGTAGGCTGGGCCTGGCTGGCGAGCAATGGGAGTCTCGAAGTAGCCATGAGCAGAGACAAGCTCAAGGAAAGCGGCGACGGCGGCGAGGTACTTCATTTTGGCTGCTGTTGAATGAAGTTGTCGAAAAATTGTGTGAAAGAACAACCAGTGTTCTCAAAAACGAATGTGATTCTAAAAGAACGTGATGCTCACAGAGCTGCGAAAGTGCTGGACGCGAAAGGAAGTGCTGGACTGAATGATGAGCAGTATCCTCTCAAGGCCAGCAGAGTGATTATATACCGAGTAGGTTCGGCATCTCGCATTCTGTGAACTCGGATATCGGCGCCGCTGTGGTCTCGCATAGAAATTGTGGGCGCTTGGCTGCTACAGATAGGGTGACGGTGGAGGAACAATGCATGACAACACGGGAGAATCTGCAGCCAACACGCGAGAGCAATCTGCAATTGATCTGTAGCGAGAAGCTTGAGTGGCCTTGTTTGCCTGGCTGCTTCATATGGGCGCGAAAAAACCAGTGGTCTTGCATGTGGTGCCTGTATCAGATTAGCTGTATCTGAAACCAACATAAGCGAAGAAGGCTTGGCATATCGAAATGGCAATGAAGCACCGGCTCGTGATGTCATGTATAAGCTGTACATTTACATTAAATGAGCCGTTGGCTGTCGAATTGCCATTTTGGTCTTCTTTCGACAAAGCGCTCACCTGAGGGTGATATGCGTTCGGACGTCGGCGACCGCAATGTGCTACTTCCAGCGGATTTGGCCCACGAATTCCAGCGGAGTGGATGACCGTGTTACAGCTTGAGAACATCGATACTCTTAGCCACTGCTTCCAGCTTAGGGAACATCTCATCAATCATGTCCTTCGCATCCTTGAGCAGGATGTCGCTGTTTGCCATCGTTTGCTGGTACATCTTTTCGATCATCCGGCCAAATGGAGAGTCCTTCCCGAATGAGAAGTCCAGCATCTCTCGCGTCTCGATCAAGAACATCATGTACACAACCCGGAGATCCAGTCCACCCTTCAGAGTCTCGGCGAAGAGTTCCCGATGGTGTTGGATGGTTGGATTACAAAGTTGATTCGTTATGGTTGCCATGACAAATCCATCAATCACACGATCCGGATAGAATTTCTCAAGTTGGCCGCAGAGGAATGGTGTGACTTCGAAGTACATCTTGAGGCCAACTCGCCATGCCTGATATGTCCGAGCTTGCGATATGTAGAGGACGAGCAGTTGCCGGAGGAGATGCGGTACAGGCTGGCGCGTGATGTGCCACATCCCGCTATTAATGACGAGTTCCAGAGCATCCTTGATCTCATCCTCGCTGGCGTGTTCGTTGGCTTTGTTGTGATCGAATGTGATGCCGGAAGTCGAAAAAGCCTCCGCCTGGATTGCTGCCAGCCTCTTCTGGGCAATATCGCTATTCGCGGGAACGAAGAACTTGGGCAACTGACTTTGATGCCGTTGTACCAAACCATCTGCCACCTTGAGGAGCTTCTCGTCAACCCGCACCGTCGGACTAGAGTCATCACCCCAAGCATCGGCAGATTTCAGGAATTTATCTTCGACGTGCACGGCTCCTTTCTTGCATTTCCCGCAGCGACATGAGAAGAAGTAAGACTCCTTGAGCTCGGCCTGCCGTACAGAAAATGGATTGGTGATGTCGACATATTTCATGAAGATCTCCTCGCCTTTCTTGATTTTCTTTTGGGCGCGCAGCAGAATTTTGGGCTGATTGAATATGACTGCTGTGTTCGGGAAGTCACAAGAATGGTTCGCACTGCACAGAATCGGATCGAAACCAATGCCGAGCTTCGTGTCATCCATGGCACTGCTGAGCTGCAGAGTATTGCTCATGATGTTGAAGAAGAAAGCTTTAGAGATGGCATTCGTATCCATATCACCGACCTTGGGCTCACCAGAGTATTTGTACGCGCCATATGCAAGCATGCTGAAGTCCTCGAATCGCCCGGGATCTAGGTTCTTGACATCGTCCAGCGCCTTTGTGTCTGACGCTGGCTTGAACTGCAAAATGTCGAGTAGAAGTTCATCTTTGCCTTCTGGGTCTGCCTTCAGTCGACCGAGGAGCTTAATGACCGCCCGCACGCCATGAGGCAGATCAGGTCGCTCCGCAGGGGAAATGATGTTGCATTCGTATTTGTGCTCTCGCTTCCAAGCACGAGATTGGCAAGTTTTGGAGCAGTATCGGGCGCGTTTGCAACCTGTGCATGCCTTCGTCTCGATGTTGGACGCCGGAAGTCCCAGAGCAACGGCTTTCGCGCGCTCTTCTGCAGTGACTCCCTTCAAGAAACACCAGGCACAGGTGTCGGATAAGCGCTCGGTGTCGAGCTCGGCGACATACGGCCGGTCCAGCGAGAGCACGACATCGCCAGGCTCGAAGTCCTTCTTCGCGAACAAGCCACGGCCGGCGTTGTCGATGCCGCTTTTCTTGACTTCGACGTTGGAGGCCATCACGGTTCCGTGGCGTTTCTGCGGGTGGTGGGAGCAGAACGGAAGGACTTTGGCGTTGGCCAATTTCGTCCTCGTTCTTTTGCAGGCCAGGGTGCCCCCGGTCGCTCTCACCTTCTCCCCTCTTCGCTGCTCCGCTTCCCCTCCACCCTCCAAGAAGCTGCTCACCTGTTCTTTCCGCACTGCTCTTCCAGGAAAGAGCTACTTCAACGCTCTCGTATCTAGTCCTTGTAGCCCCGTGGATCATGGTGAACATTCCTCCTCATTCTAGCGCATATACCACTGGAACAGCATGCGCTGCTCCATTTGCAGATCATCGAAGCGACGACCGACGTCGTTGGCAGTGATGGTCACTATGAAACAGAGTCAATGACTGAACAAGACCTCTAGGGCGACGCTTTGATTGACTGACTCTGATGAATGCTGCTCATCGCAGCTGCGAGCTTCTCGAGATCTGGCGGGTTCAGACCGCCAGCACCAAGGACGAGGATCAGCAGATTGCGATCCATCTCGTGAGTCCAAGCGATAGTCTACGCAGTATTAGTAGAGAATTGTTGTCGAGTGCGGCTCGTTACTGACGCTTGAAACGGGAGTGTCGGCCTGCTGCGAAGCCATTTGAAGGAAGCGCGGATGGTGTCTTTCGAGTAGGTTCAGGATGTTGTGTATTGGTCTTTGTAGGGTGGTGTATAGGAGAAGAACGGCAGGAGCTTGTTGGCGAGATGGAGAAGAAATGAAAAGCAAAGGGCTGAACAAGGCCTAAGAAGAAAAACTCTTCAGCAAACAAACATGCAAGCCAAGCATGTGAGACCTGAAGAGTGAACAGCTGGGAAAGTTTAGATCTGGAGTGAAAAATATGCTACGGATGCTCAATGCCTGCGGACCTCCCTTTTCTATCGAAAGCAGCAAACAAGACATCACAGAAAAGTCAGAAGGGCAAAGACACAAGAAGATATCTGGGGCACTCGTGCATATCGAAGAAGATGTTTCATCTTTCCCTGGTCATGTCATGTCTACAGTCGTCGCTCGTTGCTGGAAGTGCAGGACAAGCGCGCTTGAGAGACCACACTCTTTGATTTCGTGACAAGTATGCAGGACACAAGAATACTGCGGGTTAAAGACATGGTTTCGAAATTTTGTTCTTCATTTCGTGCTAGTTCTTTGGTTTCTACTAATGAGAACAACGAGACCAATACTAGGGCCTGCTCATGTCCCTTCTCCACTCAGACTTTCCCATCTCTAAACTCCCAAAGCCTTACGAATAGCCTTGAAATCCGGAGTTCCCCACCCACTAGCAGCATCCCAGCCCTTCGACGAAGGGAATCCATTCGTCCCACAACCAGTAACACTACCCTTGGAGATATCATTATATCCCTTTCCTTGGCTCTGATACAACAACGGGTTCAAGAAACCCAAGGGCTTCTTTCCAGCAGCAAGCAACGCATCGTTGACGTTAGTCAAGACACCCGCAGCGACAGGCGAAGAAACACTAGTACCATCAACAGCAGTCAAAGCACCCTTGTAGAAAATCTGGTAGTTGAATCCTTGGGCTGCGATATCTGGGTAGGCACGTCCCTTGGGGTTGTACAAGCCCTTGTTCGCGGCGCCGAGAGTCTTGAGGTAGCCAGTGACAGCTTGGTTCTGGTATGATGGACGAGGGAAGTACTCCGAGAAACCACCACCGGCGACATAGCCGTTGCGGGTGTCGAAGGCGATTTGCTCGGGGTTGACGTCGCGGGTTCCGCCGACAGTGGTGACATATGGGCAGGAAGCTGGGAAAGAAGGAAGGAATTTGGTTGTGTTCTTGCCGTCGTTGGAGACGCAAGTTCCATCTTTGCCGACGCCGTTGTCGCCAGAGGAGAAGAGCAGAGTGACGCCACGGGCTCCGAGTTGGGCGAGTTCGGCGCAGACACGGTTGGCGTAGTTCTGAGGCACGGTTTGTTCATCGTCTCCGTAAGAGGTGGAGATGACGTACGGGACGTCCTTTTGCTTCAAGACATAGTCGAGCCAGACGAGGTAGGGCTCGTTGGTGTTTGTTGGTGTCAGAAGATCTGGCTTGAATGGTGGAGAGCCTCCGGTGCTGTAGGAGGTGAAGCGTGTTGGGTAAGCGATGCCTCCAACAGCTTGAACATCCAAGTTGGCTTCGACGCCTTGATCGTTCTGATCATCGGCGGCATTTGCAATGATTTGGCGTGAGAACAGGTAGTTGGGGTCAGATCCAGGTCGCTGAGCGGCCATGTACAGCTTGAAGTCACTGTCGGATGGCGTCTCGTTGAGATAGTTCGTGATACCAGCGTAGTTCTTCTGTGGCACCTTTGGCGTGTAGTCTACCGTGTTGTAGAGAGTGCGGACGCACAAGCTTGAGACAGTCTGTCCTGCAACGCAGACGAGACTGACGTTGGCATTTGGATATGCGGCGGCGGCAGGATCAGCAGCTTCAATTGAAGCAAGACGGCTGACATCAGTTGAAGGGAGCTCGCTGTCTGGCAGACCGAAGCTTGCAATCTTGACACTTGTACCGTGATGCTTTGGGTTGCCGAAGTAGTTGGTGGGCTGGATCACATCGATATGGCCATGTAGAGATCGTGGCAGGCTGTACTGAGTTGTTCGAACGACCTCTTTGCCATCTTCATGTCGGTACTCGTGGTACTCGGTATCAAGCAGGCTTTCGACTTTTGAGACTGGTAGGGCGATTGTAATCCAGTCCTTTGGTGGGCTGTAGTGCAAATTGTCTGCTGTAATGCCGTGGCTCTGTCTCAGAGTTAGCCTAGGGCGGTTCTCGACGATTTGTAGTGATGCACTACCTCTAGCCACTGCTCGACAGCCGAAAGGGCCTCCTCATGCGGAGCAGTGAAGCTGTGGATGTCGCTCATAGACAGGTGTTGCCCATAGCGCTCGTGCTCCGGGTCGCTGACTTCATAAAGCTCTTTCTCGAGTTGCTCAAAAGCAGACTGCTTCAGGCCAATGCGTAGACTGACTGAGTGATCCTGATGAATAGTCAGCTATTTTACTTGAACAGAGCGCAGACTCTTCGTACAGGACTTGGCTTGCCAATCTTCTGCCACCCTGGAGGCACGAAATGCGAATTGTGCACAGCATAATCGGAGCGATCCTGTAGAGGTGCAGCCAGCACGGCAGTGAGCCCATAGAGGGCAGCAGCAGAAATCGACCTCATATTTGCGCAGAGTTCTCCAGTATCACAATACGTGGAATGCTCGTGGTCGAAGTGCGAACGAAGCAAGGGAGTTTTGGTACACTATATACCTACCTCGGATTTTGGGACGACGATCTCAAGCTTGACGATTGCAAGTGATGTGCTTGGAGCGTTGCCCGAGTCGACATAAGGTCCGCACGCCGTCCCGTCACGCCCGTTCGAGCTGCCTGTTTCATGTATCGCCGTGACTTCGTTGCTCGTCCTTAGATTAAACTTGTGCTAGCGCTATGCAGGTACGACAGCTTCTGGAATCACACAGCATTGCGCACGCGATCTCAAACGAGTACCACGAGTGCTGCTCAGAGAGACGCATTCAATGACATCTGATCATGACTGGTTCCGGCTCCGCAGCGTTTCCACGGCAGCGGCAGTTTCTATTGAGATGCTCCATCTGTCGTGTGTGCCGAAACCGAAAGTGTACCAGACCCAAAGCTTCGTACCGCAATTAACGGTACATCGTCTGCTGCGCCAGTCATATCGCAGATGTTGCGAGCGCCAGTCCTCTTGGCTACGGAGCCAATACGACTCTAAGATGTCACAAGCCCTGCCGATGTCCGCTTATCACGCTCAAGCTAATGCTGTGTGGATGCTTGGCCCAAAGGTAGCAGAGCTCCTTCCTCTTTGGGCCAAGCTGCGGGGCTGCTAATGGCATGAAGCGAGGGCGAAAGCGACAATCTTTGCCTGTGGCGACGATATCGCCATTGCACGGCGAACACGCTTCATCACTCCCAATGGACTTCACTCATGCGTTCGCTGTGGAGTTCTCGAGTTCCACGTAGTAGTCGGCAGCCACATATTGTTTGCGTTTCGTGGAATTTCTTTCCTGGATCAAGGCAATGCTCAAGTCACGGAAAAATTCCCAAAGCTGACTGGCGTAATGATCAGATGCCAGATCTTCCAGGAAATCCATGTCTGACCCGTCGACCATGAAGGAGTCCACAAACAGCCTTCGAAGTGTCCCGCCGACATCTGGGTCCAGGCCATATATCTTCTTGATGGCTTGTGCGTCGGGCCAAGTCTCCTTGACACGATCCACCAGCTTGTCCATGACCTTGTTCATGGAGTGGCAATCGGTGACGTCCGCGGCCAGAGTATACAGATCAATCAAAGCCATGAGTGAATCCGCGGACTCACTCTCGGCAGACTCAAAATTGACCACAACCTTTTTCGTAAGCAAAAGATGAACGTAAGAATTGAAGACCTTGTTGCTGACGTTCGGGAGATCGTTAACGCAGATGCTGCCTACGAGCTCGAGCGACGCAAATGCATCACTGACGAATCTCGAGCGACCAAGAATGGCGGACTTGGGAACACAGTATGTTCGTTCTGCCCCGTCGGCAAGTCGTCCTACTGAGAACTTGATCGTGTCTGAATAATCCAGCCTGTGATCTGATCAGCTCTGAACAAAATAGCAGGCGGAAGCGAACCTACGTGCGCTTTTGCGCCGTGCCACGGGGGCTGGCCATGATGCTGTTTCGTGGTCGACGAGATCGGACGCCAGGCCAACTTCCTGATTGCGATTTCCTGTTGACCAGTGGATGTTGTGTTGAATGTCAGGCGTCAGACGTTAGGTGTCAGCTGATCCAATGATGTTTGTGGGTTGAACAGTCGTATGTCTTCCAGCACGATCGTCCTTCCAAGTGAAGTGAAAGTGCTCGGCAACTTGACCTCATATGCGTCAACTTGCTAATTCGTCTCCACAAGTGAGGTTAGTATACCACATTCGCCAGCTATTGGCAGTATTATACACTCCAGATCTCGACCTGCGAGACCGTGTTGTCTAATCCGTTTCCACGCTCAATTGCACGCTCACTTCCCATCTCAGCCCCGCCAGCTTCCTCTGAATTAATTTCGTTACATTTTGTCGTATCCTCATAAGATCATCAGTGGCCATGCCATAACCTCCTCTACTCTTGCGGTAACGTAGTTTCAAATTGGCCATGCCGCTTCCGTAATGCACTTGCCAGAAGCATGCCTCGTCCACGTGTGTGATGTTGGGGTCACAGTTCGCCAGGTCGTCGGCAATATTTCGTAGCGCGAGCTTGTCGTCGGAGGGACTTCGCGCAGACATCAAGAGCATCGATGAGAGTGACGATCCGAGGCGAGCGCCGGTCAAGACCATGAAGCAGGCAATGACGACCGAGAGGATGAAGTCGAAGGCCGCATAATATTGTGTTGTGAGGAATGGCAACAGAAGGATGGCCAACGAGCATGAAAGCGTTAAGAAATGCGAGGGATTGCCCAAGATCCTACCCCAACCTGCGATGAGTCCCACGCGCATGGCTTTTCCCATGCGAGCGTGATTTTTGAGGAGAACAGCCGAGACCAGGGTGCTGCCTATCGAAAGAAGACTGGCAAAGTCGACATTCGCAGTCCCGACTCTCTCATGTGCGTGTGGCGAATGAGCGACATGTGTTCCCAGATTCTCCAGCGAGTGTTGAATGCCGTGACTGATAACGTCCAGTCCCATGAAGCCGATGAAGACTGCCATGCCGAATCCTGCTAGCACATCCGCACGCTCCAGACCAAACGGATGTTTGATCGAAGATCGCTTCCAGACTTCGAAATTACCCATTACATCCACCACCACACAGACCGTCGCGCCCGCAGCATCGAAAAGCAGCAATCGACTGAGGGCCGTCATAGCTAGAGAACCTGCTCCAGAGAATTGCACGTAGCCCGCAACAAGGAAATGGCACATGCACCATGTCAACCTCGTGGTCTGCTGTTTCGTCATGCTCCACCACGCCTCTTTGCGCGTCGGCATGGGTAGACTGGCTGGCACAGCAAGCGGTGTCCTGCTCGCCTGTGGTGGCTTGATTATGCCTTCCATATGACTGGCGTGGATGGAGGAGTGCCTGTATTTGTGTCCCCTTCTCCCCACTAGCTTCTCACTTTTGGCTCCCGGAGCTGCGGGGCTCCGCTCATATTGCACAGGCGTGAAGTTGAAAGGATTCGACACAGTCTGGCTGTTTGCATTGCCGTCTATGCTGCCAAACCCGCCATCGGTCGACGCTGTCTGTGGGGTGAAGGGGCTGTATGTCGTGTTCGCGGGACTCAGTCCATTATTGGCGATGCTAAAAGTTGCACTCTCAGGCGACAGCATTGAGGCAGTGGAAGCTGTCGCATTCGTATCGGGCCCTCTGTCGACATATTGCGCCTCCATCTTTCGCCGTTCGGGGCTGTCATTGATGCCTGCTGTCCAGTCGTAATCGTGATGTTCTTCAATGCTCGGCGTGAGACTGCTCGTGCTATCGCTATGGTGATGTAGGCCCAGGCCTATGGGAGATGGACGGGGCTTGAGTGCTCTCGGGGATGGAGGAATAGGCGTCGGAGGCGTGGGAGTTCGAGGAGGAAGCGGGATGGGTAAAGAGTCGGCCGACATGGCGGGCGATTGGCGATCAAGAGTGACAATATCCCATGGGGCGCGGAGCACATCAATATACACGTGCCGCCAACTTGTCCAAGCTCGAGCGTGACGACGGACGAGGTGATTCGATATGCAGGAGAAGACATTGGATTTAGGGGCGCGCAGCGGAGCTCAGGCCGATGCCTGCAAAGTTCCCCAGACATCCCCATCAGTCGCGTCACATCCAACGCGACTGCCATCCAAAACCTGCCATCGGCCAATCGCTCGATTAGCATTTTCCATCTGCCCAATGCGCCTGTGCGAGTCCCGTCATGTCCGAACCCAAACCTGGCAGCGGCGACCGCCGTAGGACCACCGTCTCTGGTCCGCTCCCGAATCTCAGCGATGCCACCGACGACGGCGACATGAGGCCCGCCGGCGTCAAATTGACATGGGCTCCGCCCTCAGCACCATCGTCACCTATAGATGCGCACCCTACCGCTTCCCCGGGCAAGCGATCGGAGCATCGAAGAAGCCTCAGCGGGAACTTGTTATCCAAGTTCAACTTTCTCAATCGGCACGGCGACGATGACAAGGACGGAGAGCTCAAACCGCCAAAGAGCCCTAAGAGTAGCAAGAGTCGCAAGAGCATCGACGACGATGAGCCAACCACATCACCTGTCTCGCCTGTCAAGGGTGATGGCGCCATGGCTGCAGCGTTGAAAGCCACAAAGCAGCGCAAGAGGAAGGGCTCGTTGCGCAAGACAGCACTGCTGGGCACGAGGAAGTTTGTGACCGAGACGAGGGAAAGACGGAATAGTGTTCTGCAGCGGACTCCATCGACCAAGCAAGTTCAACAGGCTCCAGGAGCTCATCTGAGCAATTTTGGCGGCGAGATGCATCTCCAGCCCGCTCCTGCACGCGATAACGTAGATGACACTGTGACCAAAAACCTCAATTACGACGATATCAACGCAGCAGACGAACACAATGCCGAATGGGCCGAGTCTACCACCGCTCCTTCAGCACGGCTTTCTCTGGTGACAGACCACGCGCATCAGCACGAGCAGCGCAAACTGTCGTCTGAACTGAAAAGTCCCCTCGATCTGAAAAGTCCAACCAGTAACGCGAGTTACGCGAGCACCACCGATGACGATGATGTGCTTACCTTCCATCGTCCGACAACAAGTTATCCGAAACCTCACTCATCCTCGACCAGTTATTTTCCCGACCCAGCTATCTCGCGACGACCGAGTCATCGCAAGCACTCCCGCTCACCTCTGTCGCAAAATCTCACATCCACTCTTTCCACTTTTCCCTCGTCGCCCCTCGCTTTGGAGCCACATGATTACACGGAGACGGAGTACTGGGGCTGGGTCATTCTCATTGTGACCTGGCTAATTTTCACCGTGGGAATGGGGAGTTGCCTGGAGATCTGGAGTTGGGCTTGGGATGTCGGCGAGACACCCTACGCTCCACCGGAGCTGGAGGACGATCCCACGCTACCGATTGTGGGCTACTATCCTGCTCTGATCGTCTTGACCGGCGTCGTCGCATGGGTGTGGATCACTGTTGCGTGGATTGGCATGAAGTACTTCAGACATGCCAAAATCGAGGTGTGAACGAAGAAGTTTGAAAGGTTCGTCAATACTTCTTCAAGTGCTCGTAGGGCAGCTCGCCAACCCACCTGCTCCGCTTACAGTAGGCTTTGCACGGTGCAAAGAATCTCCCAACAGCATGGATCCAGGCTCTGTTGAGTTAGGGCCCCCAGCAGCAGAACAACATGGTCATTCAGAAGAACGCTGCCGTCATATGCTTGGCTCTGTCCAATGGCCCATCCTCAACCCTCGAGACGTGTTGAAGGATCAGCTAACGCTCAGGTTACCCGCGAAAATCCCATCCCGTCCTTAACTATCGAGATGCCATCATTTTTACCAGTAGCAAGGGTGGGGGTGTGTTGCACAGCCATGAAATAGCAGAACCGCACCTCCTGCAGGAACGAGCTTGCGCTGATCCTTTCTTGGACCACTCAGCCAGCTTTTTTAGGTTGGCGAAGCTCCAGGATGATCTTCTGTCTTGGCGCACGCAGCCTTTCACTTCGGTTACACAGAATCAAGCAAGTCGACCTCGGCAACAACCACACTCGTGGCTATCTCTGAATGCAACTACCTCTGAGTGCAAATGCAGGTCGCTAAGCCGATCATCAAAGCTTTTCATGGATCGAGAGCCAATCTAGTTAGGCACTCGCACACAGAGGTCGTCGCAGTCAGAGGTCCACGGTTGGGCGACGTGCACTAATCATGCATGCACTGCGCCCTTGTCGGAAGGCTGATGATGGCTGCGATGCTGTTACACGGCTCACGCCCGTTGCCATTCCTCAATGCCGTGGTAGCTGTGGTTATGATGGAGACGCCTCGCACAGCACAGGCACTGGACAGTTGAATCTCCTCGCCAGAACATCTACGCTGAGACGATATAGCTAGCCTCCGAAATGTTCGATCTTACTCTGACGCAGCAGGTTCCAGCTGATACCTTGGCTGCTGAAGAATGGGTGGAGTCTACCCGCAAGCTCGTCCCTATCGTCTTCCAGGCGTTCCAGCTGGAGGAGGCTGGCAGCTACAGTGAAGCAAGATAAGCCTCTTGGAAATCACGGCAAATATTAAGAACATCCGAACATTCAATCGCAGGATGTACGAGCGCCAAGCAGACATTCATCAAGAACGGATCGCATACCTCGAGACAGTCCGACAGCAGGGTGGAAAAGTTATGCTGGTGCCAGCACGAACTACTCCCGACGCTTCCGCTCCCTGCGGCGCTCTATCGGCCAATGGCCCACTCTCATCCCTCTCGAGCCAAGTGGAAGAGTACATAATTGTCAACGATACCGACCTCGTGGACGATGGCGTTCGATCATGTTGGTTCTTCTTGAAGAAATTTGCGCCTTCGCCAAATGATTCGACGGAGCTCACACATTACGTCGTACAATGTATCTACGACAACAACAAACCCATCGTTGAAACTATGTTTCGTCGACCAGATGAAGTCTTCCCTCCGGGCGGCCATTTACACACTGCACTCCTGCTGCAAGGCGACAAGCAGAATTTCAAATTTTGTATGCGGAGACGAGGCGAAGGGAGCATTTTCCAGGAGCCGGAGGATGGGACGTGGGAAATACCGACTAAAGATTCCAAGAAAAAAGAGTGGTCTCCCAGGACTTTTGAGTTTGAAGGAAGATACTTTGTCTGGGAGAATGAGGATGGCAAGGACACTGGGCTATTGAGTAAGAAGTGGGGTTTTGAGACACTTTATGAGACGATGCAGTCCGCAGATGAGGATGGAGAGATTGTGGGGGAGAAATTGGCTTGGGGCAAGATAGGTGGGAGAGGAAAAGGGATATGGACGATCTGGGTCAAGGAGGGATTGGCGCTGAAGCTGAAAGAACAGATCTTGGCTACTCAGGTCAGTAGGCTGATGAGGTGGAGTATGCCACCGAAGAAGGATCTGGCGGGTGTGGAGAAGGGAGCGATTGCTTTGACAGCGGCGACCGGGTTGGTTGCTTTGGGGAGTTTGTTGGGCTGAGGACATTAGAAAGTGAGTGTTGTAGCTGACTGATCAAGCATGCAAATCAAGTGAGTCGGTGTACATGACTTACTCGCTTGATTCATTCTTTGGCTTTCTGTTCCAAAGACTTTCTAATTAACTGACACCCACAGCTCGCATCTCGTCATGGCGAGAACCCAGCAAAACAACAGAACGAAAGCCGTGCCTGAACGAGCAAGTAAGAAACGTCAATCGACCATCATCCCAGGGCTCTCAACAATGAGCAAAACCGTCACAGCAGGACAAGCGCCGCTGCGTGCAAAATCCGCACGTAACACAAGGATCACATCGATTCCGCAGCGGGAGAACCCAATACGTATAGGCTCACCTCCCGACCCAAGTGACGACTTGATCACAATAACGACACCCTCCTTCGAGCGCCACGGCGCATTCGAACTCTCACGACAGCTGCTCCGCGACAGATCGCCTCTCGTCGACGCCAAATGTCTCGAAATCACTTCTCAACACCTTGACAGATTAGCAGCCTCAGCAGCGCCAGTGAGCGGAGCAAGACCCCGGAGAGGCCGTCCTCCAGCCCATCAAATTCAACAAAGCGACATTCCACGTCCTGACTATATTCTGGATTTCCCTGACGTAAAATACTATATTTTCGCAAGCTACGTTCATCTCCTAACGACCGATACCATCGAACTCGATTTTCCGTTTGCTCCATTGAAGAGCGTCGATGAGGCTTGGAAGAGGCTTGTGAAGCTTTATCTGCTTTGCGAGAAGCTTGAGGATGAGGTTTCGATGGGGATGGTAAGTGATGCGGCGAGGGAACATCTCGAGGTTGAGTTCCCGAGTGAGGGTGGAGTGAGGCTCGCATATAACTGGACGACGGGGAATGAAAGTGTTTTGAGGAGATTGTTAGTTGATCAGGTCTTGGAGAACTGGAGCGATGGGGAGGTGACGGAGTTGGTGCTGGAGGAAACTGGCTCCGGGTGGAGACATCTGAAGGAGGATGTGGTGAGGCGGTTGGTGGAGGGGAGGAGTATCAGCCGGAGTGCTCCAAAGAGAGACGAGCGAGCGTGACGTGGAATGATTAGGCCTAGTCGCTGGGCTTCATCAAAGAATTTGGAGATGTAGGAGGTACAGCATACCCTACAGGTACGATCTCTCACTAAAATCTGCAGTGATGTCAAAATGCTTCCCATCTTTTAGCCCGTCTTTGATGAACGTCAAGAGCATCTGTTTGAACTTAGGCGCGAGTCTGTTGACCACCTCCTCTGAGCCCTTGCCCGTCACCAAAGGCGCCGCCGCCCAATTCGCCCAATCACCAAACATGAACGGCATCTCCATACAATGACAAGCACCATAGAGACTTTCTTTCGGATACCACTGGAACTCATAAGTGGTAACCCTACCGCCATTCTTCGACCACTTCCTCGCCAGCTCCCGACTCCCGTTCTTGAAAACGCGATTTGACGCAAGCCTTCCGAGCGTGTGTGCGAGAGCACCGCCAATGAGAGGCAAAGAGATGATCGCTTTTGTCGTCGGAATCATGTGGAGATACGGGATAACCTCATCCGCGGTCCATCCGATGAGTAAATCAACATCCTTCCTCTCCCCAAGTCTTTTATCCAGATCTGCAGGAAAAGGCGCCTTGGTCCTATTGGGCAAGAAAGGTTCCGCCCCGGGTATTTCTTGCGAGCACTTCTCTTGAATGTCAAGCAAGTCTCCAGGAAGTTTCTTCTTCACCACTTCCCCGTACTCAGGCTTCAGCTTGAGGTCCAGCGATGCCGAGATCAAGATCGCTTTCTGGAAGAGTCCATCTGTCTGTGCAAGCAGCATATTGTACACTGCCCAGGCTCCAGCTGATTGCCCACTGATGGTCACATTCGCCGGGTCGCCTCCAAATGCAGCAGCATTCTCCTTCGTCCATTTCAAAGCTTCAATTTGATCATAAACATGTAGATTCGCGGGCGCATGGCCTGGGATCTCCACACAGCCATAAACTCCCAATCGATATTGTACCGCAACAGTAACCAACCCTAACCTTGCCAAGCCGCTCATGTCCATAATGTCGAAATCTGCTCCGCCAGCGATGTTCGCGCCACCATGGTAAGATACAAGCACCGGGAGGTTCTTCGCATTCTCAGGAGCCACGACTGTCACATTGAGGCAATCCTCTGAGAACTCGCGATCTTTCGATGGCATTTCACCAAGGACGTGCTCGAATCGGAATTGGTGTTGAGGACATATTGCTCCCTTTTTGGTGCAGTCGCGGACTTCCGTCCATCTTGATGGAACGGGTTGCTTCCAGCGATCGGCAGTGGCATACTGTATGTTTCTTGCATAGACGAGACCGTTGTCTACTTTGGTGAGGATGGGTCCTCGTGGTGTGCTTATTTGTTTTTCCATGGCGGGGGTCTCGTTAGCTCACAGTGATATTAGATGGATGGCTCCGTCAAATGCTTTGAGAACCAGATTAAGTTATATCTATCCCGTTCATATGTAGTGGGCGTGTATTCGAGGGCCTCGGTGTAGGGCAGAGTACCTACCCGGTCCACGTGCCGGTTCCTTGGATTGTGGCGTTTCTCTCGTCCGTACGAATCCGAGCATGCCACACACATGCGCTGCTGACACCCTGACTGTCAAACCTCGGCTCATGATGAACACGATGCCGGGTTGCATTTTCAGAAGTGATTCTTTGCATCTAAAGTGGTCTTGTGAAAATGAAAATCAGCGTACACATTCCCAACACATGTCATCCTTCAGCGTTTGGCTTTGTCTTTGTCAAAACAAGTTGGTCGGACGCAGCTATAATGTAGTCCATATCGGGAACAACCACTTTTGTAATGTCCAATTGCTGAGGTTCAGTACAAGCTATCCAAATATCGCAAGCAAGTGAAATCGGCAAGTGATACCTTGGGTGCCTGCGCTTTTGAATCTCGGAAGCTCAGATGTCGCTCGGCTGAGGGAGTTCTCTCAGTAACGGCAGACGGCTTCGCATAGTGAGAGGCAAAGCGGCGGACCTACAACTCGTCCGGCCGGCACAACGATTAGCTGAAATGCGCAGCGTGTCTCGTCAAAAGATGACGACAATAGCACGACCCGTTCAACGCTCGATAGATGGGTCCGGAGCTTTCATCGGCTTTAACGTCCTTGCAGCTCATTCGGCATTAGCACTGATTTGGCAATGCTCAAATACGACGTGGGTGCCACTTCTGCTTCGAAGCAGTTACTGTTCCAGCGAGGCAGTCTCTACCATTAACGTGAGCTCGCGAGACGTCAGAGAGGCTGTGCTTTGGTGACTGCGTCTCTGTGCCACAGCGCACGTAGGTTTAAACCCGCCAGTCATCCCAAATCTTGGGCTCTCAAGTGGGCCACGAGCTCAACAGATATGATCGCCATCCTACTGGCCTGGAGCATTTCCAGGCGCAGAGATGAGTTGGCACCTATGAAGATGCTGCTCATTACCGCGGAATGGATTCAACGCTGGTGGTTCCGACCGGTGCGGTGCTTTCCTTGGTCTCTTCTCGAGTCGAGGTCTAGCATCACGACTCAGCGCCGTAGCTGTCAAACGTCCGGGTTGTCTCTCGCCTTGACAGCCGTTGTGGCACCGTCAGTGTTAGAGCGAGATCATTTTTCGTATTGGAAGCGGAAACTTGGATGGTTACGCGGGATGAGGTTGATACTGTGAAGGAAAGAGGAGAGATGAAGAAGACCCGCGTGATATCCACAGCAGGCGTGCCAAGCCGGGACATCTCCGGGATCGATCGGTCTCCTTCCCAGCTTCACTACACGTCGTCTAAGGTCTTACTACATCTTCACGATTCTCTGCTCTTGCCTCTCACGCATCTCTGCTATACTATAGCACCGCTTGCGATACTGTGCCCAAGTATCTCTGCGAGGACCCTGATTGACAGATAGCTCTCGTGTGGCAATCCAACCAAGCGCCTCGTGGACGACACGCACGAGTCGTTCACGAAACGCGGCTGAATCGCAAGGCATCATCCTTGCACCGCATGCGAAATTCCAATGGCACTCGCAGAACGACCCGTCTGTGGTGCAGAAAGAAATGCACTGCAAATTGCGCGTGCCTGTTGATGGACATTGGAGCATTTCTTCCAGATTTTACATTCAGCATCAGCCGTGCCAGCGCAGACCGTCTCGGCCAGAAGCGGCCGTTGCAACGGAACAGTAATTGCCCAAAAGAGAAGTGTTTCGTCTTAACTCGGCCTTGACTGGTGGTGCTATGCGTCGGTCTCTCTTAGCGGAATCATATATGGGATTCAAGACCGGAAGTACGACAAGCATCTTCAGCAAAGCTCTTTCGTTCTTTACTCCGCCTTTCACTTCATGTTCCTAGCACAATGCCTTTAATATCGCGGACAGCAGTAAAACAGGATGACAGCAAACAGCAGCTTATCGTCGCTGTCTCTATCACGCTCCTGGCGATGAGCTTGATAGGCGTCACTCTCCGCATGTACGCAAGATTAGCAGTGCTGCGGAAAGTCTTCACGGACGATGGTGAGCTTTGGCATTTCAAGACGTTCCATTTTCGATGCTAATAGTGCTCAGTGCTCATATTACTTGGGACCATCACAGCCTTTGGCCTCTCAGCTTGCGTCACGACAGCGACTTACAACGGACTCGGCGACCATGCCTCGCAAATAACGCCAACAGACTTGAATGCCCTGCGGAAACTCGCATTCGCTTCATTACTTTTCTACGTGGTCACCTCGCTCCTTGTGAAGACGAGCTTCTTGATCCTATACCTTCGACTTGACCCAAGACCGGCGATGCGCGCATGTGTCTACTTATTGATGTTCTTTGTTGGAGCTCAGAACATTGCGTTTTTCGTCGTGCAAGCTCTTTCTTGCATACCACTGAACTTCATTCCGGTCGACGATGAGTCGGCTGACCGAAAATGCTGGAGCTCGGAGACGATTCAGCAATCTTTTAATATCAATGGCGTTCTTATCGCAATTATCGATACAGCGCTGTTCAGCATTCCTCTGTATATGCTTTATGGGATGCAGCTTCCAACACGTCAGAAAATTGCTGTCGGAGCTCTCTTCGCGCTGGGCTTCCTCCCAATCGTCGGTAAGTGGACGCCAAACCCTCAGTCACAACTCCAGCTGACCCTGACCTACCACAGCTGGTGCTCTTCGATGCTTCTACACCTGGAACGCTATTCAGTCAGAGGACATCTACTACGACCTTTCCGAAAGTAGCATATTCGTCCAAGTCGAGCTACATCTCGCTATTCTCTGCGGCTCGGCTTCGACTTTCAAAGTCCTGCTCAAAGGCCTGTCGCCCAGCTGTTGTCGCAACAACGATAGCGACCGACACTCGTGTGCCGAGATGCATCAGGGAGCAGTGGAACTCCCAGCACCATGGCCTCTGGATCAGCACAAGTTTGCACAAACGTCAGAAACGGAATCGCCAGTTGACACCGAGGGCAGCTTCAGGACCTGGACGCCGCCCGTACCAGCAATTTCTGAAGACGAGAAGAAATCATCTGATCTTACGCCATTTCGTCGACTATCGAAAATCATGAACCGGAAAAGCGCAGATGTTGCAAGATTGCCAGCAGAGCTGCAACTCCGGTTTCCAAGTATTGAGAGCAGACTTGGTGGGCGGCACGCATGGCTGGAGGAAGCCACTGGAGTAAAGAAACCCCAAGCGGAGAGGTGGTCATTAATACACACGAGAACGATGTAGTAGATGAAGTCGTTCAACGATTTGCTTTTGTTTTTGATTTGACGCAAGGCGAGATACCCAGAGGCGAGAGGAAGGCGAATAATGCACAATGGAACTCTCATAATGACTGCGATGGAGGCACGAGACAGAATCTGTGGGGCGTGACCAGAGCAATCCAGCAGCAGCAAACATCAATGACGACCGTAATGATAATACATAGACTCGAATTGCAGAACTCAACCTTCTCAGTTGCCTTATCCATGCTCATCAGCACGCACCACCGCCACCACCTAGAGAAAGAGCAAGAACGCCCATCCTTCCAGCTCCCCCCGGATGCAACGCCAACTCGGACTTTTCTTTCCTTCGAAATCTACTAGTGATACCCCAGACTGCATCTTCCATTCGGGAACTCTGTCTCCCGCCCAATACACTCGTCAAGCACAACACCTCCAGCTCAGAAGGCATATCGACCAAGAAATCCAATCTTGCGATTTGGTTCCTACTCACGGCTTTGCGATTTGGGAGGTAGGTCGCCAGTATAGTATCAGAATCTTGTGCGGTGACGAGTTCGAGGTCTGTTTGGTGAATGGATTTGGGGTCGATGTTGATTCTTCTGTATGAAAGTTTTTGTGTTAGTCTACTGTCGGCCAACGGAAACTGTGACCGAAGTTCATTGGAATGCTCGTGTACCTTCGCCATATGTACTGCTTCGCATCGTGTTCGAAGATAAACACCCGATTAAGATCGGAAGTATGCTGGACTTGTGTCCAGTCTGGTTTTACTTCGGTCTTGCTTGGGTCTCCGAGCATGATTTTGCATTTGCCGCTGTTAGGATGGAGTTTGGCTGTCGCTATCGTGGATTCGCCATCGACTTTGGGCGTTGTGATGTGTAGTGTCGGGCTTCCAATAGTTGACTTGGTAGTCTTGGCTAGCAGTGCTGTTCGGCCTTTTTGCTGGATTTCTAGCGTCGAGAGATCATTTTTGGAATTGGCTAAGATGTGGTATGTTGTTATAGTCTCGCCGATGCCAACAGAGGATCTTCTGCGAGCTTTGTCTGAAGGTGTTGTTGACACACTTAGTTGCGAAGAGCGCGGGGAGTCTGGCTTGAGCGACATTTTTGTTGTGCAAGAAGTAACGATGGAGATAGCCGTGGAGGATGGGGCTTCAATGATCAAGTACATATACAGAATCTAGGGAACGCATGTACATACCACTTACCCGCGCATGTCCCAATGCTGGTCACGAGATGCAGACATCGCGCAGGCTGTAGCACAAGGCGCAGCGGATTGGCCATGGCAGTGAAGATGGAGACTTCCAATCAGCATCCTCGTGGCAGAAGGACATGAAGATCTCGCGCATCCTTTTGCTCCTCCATGCTGCAAGTTCGTCATTGTATGCAGGCGACCCGGAGGAAAGCGAGGCGAAGTCACTTGCGGAACGAACCAGACCGGGGCGCTAGCCAGTCTTGGCCTCAGGCATCCGCGCTGGTCTCGGCAAAGAACGCCGAACTTCCGAGCGAGATCTTTGGAGATATCGAGGGCAAGAAAGTCGTTGACATCTTCGCATCGCCGCTGTCGTTCTTTTCCCGTTATGGCGCATCGTATAGTAACGCAGGTGCTCGTGAGTATCACCGCCTGCTGCTGACGAGGCTATGCTGATAGTATCAGGTCACCGGCGCCAGAGTCTTCGGGAGAGCATTCGCTGAGGCGTAAGTCCTCGAACCATGCCTGAGTTATCGAGGACTACCATACTAATAGAAACCAGTTATAAGCAAGCCTCAGCATCACAAGTACGACGGCCTTCATCTCGGAATGTAACACCGACCTAACGAGCATCCAGAAATATCAACAATCGATGCAAGGCGGCGCAACAGCCTCCAACACCCTCTCATCCGCCGGCCTAACCCTCGACGAGGCCTGCCGAATCCTCAACGTCCCTCCTCCCAAACAAGGCCAAGCCGACCTCAGCAAAGTCCACGATAACTTCAAACGATTATTTGACCAGAACGATCCCAAAAAGGGTGGCTCCTTTTATCTGCAGAGTAAAGTGCTCCGAGCAAGAGAGCGGTTGGAGTTGGAGGTACGTGAAGCCCAAGCGGCAGCTGAGCACGAGGAAGAGCTGCGAAGAGGTTGGAGGCCAAAGCTATATCGAGATTGAGTCAAGAAAGAAACATGGTACGTTGAAGTGCGCAAGCTGACAGGACATCTATGATTGTAGGCGCAGAGGCTGAGAGCGCAAAGTGCAGAGAAGCCGCCTTCGGATCCGCCCGCGAGTAGCAGCTAATGCGACTGGGCAAATAAGGGCAAAACAAGAGGGAAGGATATACCCCATGTATGAGATTTTGAGGGCATAGCGCGGCGTTTTCAGGATACTAGGGGTCATGTTTTGCATTAGCGAAAAAGCAAGAGCACAGCATGGTGTGGAGGGGAGCAGAGGAGGCGGAAACTACACTTTTTCTCCGCTCTCAAGGCGGATGCAATGCATAAAATGAGCTTTCTGAAGGCATTCAGATTTCGACAGCGCTGTTAGAAAGGAGACGTGTAAGATATCTTCAAAATGTACAGAAGTCGATACTGCTGGCCAGACGAAGCGATCACGCAATGCGGTCTTGCGTGGCACTCCAGAACCAGGCCAAGATGTGAGCGGTACGGAGGTCTACGAGTGATCAACGACCAAGTTGCGAAGGGCACGATCGACGACGAGTTCGGATAGTGCAAACCTGAAAGTTGATACTGATCCGAAAGTCGACGAGCGTGGACCATAACTCGTCCACCGAGGACGCTATCGGAACGAACAATCACTGCAATATTACAAAACTACTGTGGGGACGTAATCTAGCCGCGAAGCAAAGTGAATGTATCAATTGAAGTTGGCAAATCACGGATCCAAATCAATTGCCAGTCTCACTAGTGTTATCTCATTCTACGACAGGAGGCCGCAGTGTTGATCCTAGTTTGTGTTTTGCTTTCCAACGAAAGCAAGTCTCTCAGCGTATTGATGGAGGTCGAGTTTGGTACTGGCATAACACCAGCCTTGCGAAAGCCGGAAGTTGGACAGCACTGTGAGTAAGAAATGGGACTTTCAATATGTCTCTGAAATATACAGTGTCTATATCCTGATGCTGCTTCCGAGAGCCAGCAATACAGACATCTCGTCAGCATCAACATTGAGTCCCGAGGAAGGAGCGACCCCTCGTTCGCTCATTTCTCTTCTCACTTCTGCTACTTGTGTTTTAGTCCCCATTTAGAAGATCATTGCACCAACCAAACCTACCATAGCGGCAGCGAACAGTCGCGAGCCCACTAGACTCGAAGCCGCATTCTCTGCCTCTGGCGTCGAAGAGGGAGAACCTCCAGAGCTACCACCTTCAGATCCACCAGAGCCACTAGTAGCATTGCCAGTCTCTGACGCCGCGACCGTGAAGTCGTTGACTGGAGAACCATCCTCTCGATACACGATGTAAATCTCGCCGGAAGCATCCGCAGTCATGAAGAGCTGGGTGCCATCAGCGTTCCACTCCAAACCCACAGCTGTTGCACTGTTAGCATCGCCCAATTTGTTGAATTCATTCAGACTTACGCCTGACACATTCGTCCGGGCATCTACTCTCATCTTCGTTCGCAAGGATGTCGACATAGCCGTTTGTGGAGTTCGGTGGTGCGCTTGGTAGACCAGTCTCGGTATTGAAGGGGATGACGGAGAGTTTGTAACCCGCTGGGTTTTCACGGTTCCAACTTCCTCGGAAAGTGATAAAAGCCGTCGATGCTTCGGTGTTGAAGGCTAGGTCCATTGGTGCCATGCTGCGAAGATATCATCGTTAGCATGTATCTCAGATTTTGGTAACGGAACGACACTTACTGGGCAGTGAAGCTCAGAACAGGATCAATGCTATTCTCTCGGCACCATTCATCATTAATAGAGTTGTTGAAGTTCGCTGCAAACTGTTGTCCGGTCTGGAGACCATCGTAGTTGGGCACAACAGAGGGGTCCCAAGCAGGGTAACAATCTGGGTAACCATAGTATCCTCCCAGATTGGGGGTCTCGGTGCCATTAAGGAAGCCGTGGAAGTTCTAAAGAGAAGGCATCAGTTAGTACTGGCCTCATCGAAAGCCGGAAATGGGTAGAACTTCTTACCAACTCCTCAGCAGGGTTGTCCTCTACGATCCTCTCCCCATCTCTCTCCAATTGATCAACATTGTTCTCATTGCTGAAGATGCCTCCTGTGACTGGATTCTGTCCCAATCCGACGGAGTTTCTCAATCCCCAACCCACCGACAGTCCGTCAGCGTATTCGTACACTCTGCTGGTGTCACTGATGTTAAAAGCTCGCACAGTGCTGTAACCAGACGTCGGCTCGCGCGCGGCGGCATCGACGTTGCCGTCTGATCCCCAGGAAACGAGCAAGTAATCCGGGTTAAGAGGTGGCAACAGAAGTGTCCTAGTAGCGTGCGATCCATCTCCACCAAGATTGATGACCCGACGAGCCTCGCCAGAGACTGTACCAGTTTCCGGATTGTAGTCCCAAGCATAGACGGCTTCCTGGCTGGAAGCATACAGGATGTCATTCGAAGGGGAGAGTTCGAGGCCGTGATTGAGCTACAAACATCGACAAAGTGTCAACATCTCATCCCAATTTTATCATAGTTCAGCAGCTTACCGAAGTATTCGCAATAATCTGCTGCCTATCCGCAACAGTCAAGCACGGAGCTTCGCCTTCAAGTGTCAATCTCGTAATCCCAACGCCCTGATCCGCAACAAGCAAATGTCCATTATTATCGCGCTTCAGAGATCGCGGCTTCTCCAGATCATTGACAACAATATGAGCTCTCCAGCCACTTGCAAGCGAGGGAGCGGGATAGCCTGATGCGGAGATGGTACTGCTACATTCTTGTTGCTGCGCCGATGCGAGTGTTGCGCACAGAGTGGCGAATGCCGCCGTGCGGGAAGTGAGGGGTGTCTTCATCCTGTTGAGACTTCTTTTCAGGTGCTAGTTGAAAATCAGATCGAACAGGGATCCTTGTAAATCAATCAGGTTCACAATCCGTGAGATGAAGTGAAGTGCAATAGAACAAAGAAAGTGCAACCGGTCACACCCCTAACGCCAGGCCAAGCATTCCATGTCTCTAGTGGCGATCTTTCCCCACGGCAGAGCAGAGGATTAGAAACCACCAGCACGCCTTCCTCTTTCTCGCGGCAAATGCTCACTGTAGACCCGCGGGGCTGTCAACCAAGAAGTCGAGACGCGTAGACACTAAACCGAGATCAGATACTTGATGGTGCTTGGCTTGTGCCGCTCGCTGTGCAACTGAACTCTGTGCAACGTGTGTTGCGATCTTGTAGGACGAGCTCCTCTTGAGGTGGCGGGCGGGCAGCATTGGCATGACATATGTGGACTTGGCTGTGTGAAGCTGTCCAGCCAAAGGCTCTTTGCTCTTGACTCGGAATAATTGCCGTTCTGCAGACTATGCATAAGGTATACAAATGTGATTTGCAAGCTGCACAATGTCAGCCGAGGTTGGATATGGAATAAAATGTGTTCGCGAAGCTGCTGCCAAGCTGCGCCTAGACTTCCAGTTGCGCAGGCACAGATATGTTCATATATGCTAGATCTTGTGCACACATCCGCCAGAGAACGATATCGACGCGCAATCCTCAGCGCGTCATTCAGAAAAGAAATCCCCAGCGCCATGTCACCGACATTCAATGCAACTAGTACGCTCACGATGCTTGCAAACTCTCGTTGATCATCAGCGGCCTCACCTCCAATTATGACGGCCTTTTGAAAACCTCTACTCCCAACGTGGGAGTCTCTACCCATTTGCGCTCGGGAACACCCTCCTTCAATCTTCTATCAAAGAAGCTACCGTATTCTCCAACAACGATAGTCCACTCCGCCAACGCCCTACCAGCATACTTTGCCCTCGCAATACTCGCACCACGAGGCTTTACAGGAAGACCCACTTGCGAAACCACATCTGAGCGCTCCTGAAGTAGCCGATGTGCTGGTCCAGGAAGCCTCGGAGGAAATAAGCGCATCGGCGGGAGAGGCTTGTTACTCGGATGGAATTCGAGCGAGAATTTGAAGCTCAAACTTCGATGCTTCGGCTTCTCTGCGCATGCTTTTGGACTGGATTCTGTGCTGTCCACAACGGATGAAACATCCTTTCCAGTGCGCTCAGGACTAGTATGGTGAGGCGAGTCTCGCAACGTAGTCGTCACTGACTTGGTTTTCGAAGCATTCTTCTTCGCACCGCCCCCGATCATCTTCTTCAAAGTACCCAGGAAACCCTTGCCATTTGATTCCTGGTCAGAATCCATGTTCGATGAAGAGGAGTCAGGCCTTAAGTCGAGATTTTCGAGCATTCCCGGTGCAGCTGCCGTACGCTTGGCCATCTTTATGTTGGCATCCTTGATGAGCCCGTCGAATGTGATAAGAGACCCTGCGGGGCTGATGATATTGTCAGTACGCATGATGAGCAGCCTTCGACCTGGAGCCGGGTGGCAAGGATAGCATTCTGGGCGCGAGCTGTTTTCCTGTTCGGCCTTGTCCCGTAGGTACGTGTAGTGCGACCAAGTATGCGTAAGGCGTTGCTGCAGCGTTTCGAGGATATCGAGCTCCAATGACGCTTCTTCGTCGTAACGGCCAAGACGCCAGCAAAGTAGACGCATGTAATATGCTCGTACCATTGGGCACCAGTGATTGAACCTGCTCTCGAAGACATCCGGCTCTAGCAGGAGATCCATGCAAAGGTCTCGCTTGCGGTCCGGATGGCCAATGAGAACATGCCAAATGGTGAAGAGGAAAGCATACAGGCGAATCTCAGTCATCGTATTCTCGCTTTCAATCATCTTCTTGAACACAGCCTGCCAAAATTTGGAGTTGACCAGTGAGTCGGACGAGGATCGAAGGCTGTCGTAGCGCACTAAAAGCACGAGTGCTTCCTCGAGGAAGTCTAGCATGGTATAGCAAGCAGAGTGATCGAACATGGACGTTCCGCGAGCCGCTGCTTGCAGCAGATCATTGAATGACTGCGCGAATAGTTCTCTCGCAAGCGGGTGATCGGCAGTCCGCTCGGAAAGGAAATCTCGGATTAGCATTATAAGCCGATTCTCGGCCATTAGTCTTACAGCATTAGTTGGTGGTACAGGTAATGATGAAGCGTGGATATTGGGGTCTCCAAGAACGTCATCAAACGTTGGCGTTGGTGCGGCGTTGAGATCTTGCTGCGCGTGGTTTGCATCGCGATGAATGGTCAACTCGAGGTTGGCTAAGATTTGCGCATGGACTGGGACCATGCAAGGTGCGCAAATGCGTTCCAGCTTGGTAGTGTTTGAAGGCAGAAAGTCGACGGCAAGAATGTGGTAGTGTTTGGTGAAGACGTAGAAAAGGTCACTTTCGCGTCCGCTCCAGCGTTCAACCCAGTGGCCCCACCACTGTATATGTGCCGTGCCGACCGGCAGCGGCGGAGGGGTACGCATCTTTCTCGAAAACTTCGCGAGCGAGTCGAAGCCCAGCTGCTGCAGAGCAGGGGGGAAGTTCGGCACAATCGTCGCAGAAACGTGCTCTGGAATGTGGTCGAATTTGCTGATGCCATTCTCCTGTAAAACGCGGCGCACATCGTCGATGGGCAGTTCCCAAAGTCGCACTAGAACATCAGCCATGCCAGGGACGAAGACGAATGCGTATGCGCAGGCTTTGCCACAGAACGTGACCAGGCTCGCAGAAGCGTTCCGCAGTGACATCTTGTCGACAACGAAAGCCATCTGCGAAGTCAGGTTCGCAATGAAGTTGTTGCGAACGTTGTGATGTACCGAATCGGCCAGGAAGTCTGACGAGCTTGACGTTAGCGAAGTGTTGGAGCGGCTACCATTGCCCATAGAGGCCTTGACGCGTTCGTTGAGGGGACAGAATGGCGAAGGGGTGAGCCTCCACTCTGGTCTCTCCATGATGCCAGAGATGCCATCGAGAACGACAGGCCTGTCAGTTCCAGAGATTGACTGGTTGTTCTTGCCGGCGAGCATTTCAAGCAGGCCGGTCCACCATTTGTTGAAGATGCTAGCGCGGCGATCGAGATCTTCTGGGCGTAGCATTTTGTTGGAAGGATGGCAAGAGTATGTTCGCAGGAAGGGAATCAGAGTGTTGCGAACAACATTCGCCTTGAGTGCGCTCGATTTGGATTCGAACTTGGAGAAGTCTGCGTCGAGGGCCCGGAACTGCGTCCATAGCTCATCTTTCTTCTTATTGCTCGATAAGGGACTCATGTGATGCTTTTCAGAGGATACTGTTTTCGGTAAAGGCGATGTTCGTTCACCCTTCATGGATGCCGTGAAGGCGCTGGGCAATCGGTCCGTCGAGAACGACTTTGGTAGTTGTGGCACAGCTGGAGCTTTTGCCAGTGAAGGAGGCAAGTTTTCTTGCTGACGGCCATCATTGGTCGCTTGCGTCAATCCAGAGGTACGCGCAGCTTTCTTCCGCAGAAGCGTTCCTCTCCTCGCCACTGTCTCTCCAGGCTTCGTCTCACCCTTCTCATCACCTGAACTCAGCGAGTCTTGCCTCTCCTTCTTCGCTCTGCTTTCCTTCGTTGATTTCGACGTTTTCTTCCGGAGCTGGAATGACTTTCTCCGTCCCGTATCTGCCACCCGTGGCGTGACGTCGCCAGTCTCTTCCTTTTCCGATTCGGCAATGGGCTGCTCAACAATGCTGTCCACCTTTGTCGGCGAAGGAGATCGGGATGAAGGTGTGGAAGATGAGGAGGGATACCACGACTTCCCAGAGAAACGGCGAGAGAACGATTTGTTGAAGGAAGGACGTTGACTGGAAGAGGGGGTGGTCGCGGCAGTGGATGCGGTCTTCGTGGATTCTACACTCGCCCTAGACTCGCGAGCAGCTGAGTGTATAGTCGATATACTGCTGCGGACGCTTGGCGTATCGCATGGCTCCCTTTGTCCCGTGCTCTTCCGTAGCTGCGCTGCGATGTCGTTTGCACGCGGGAGAGCTGTGTGCCGTTCGCTGTCTTCAGGCGTATTCCAGCCTGAATTGTCTTCTGGTGGGGAGGCTTCTGAAGGAGAAATGTCGACTGTGTCGTTGTCGGACTCGGCTGCGAGATCCTCTTTTGCCACGCCTCTGATCTCGAGGACGGCATGGCTGCTGTACTCGCCAGTTTTGGTATCTGGCAGATAGGTGTATGAGGCTGCTCGCGGCAGGGCCGGCGCATTGTTCGAATCCGGTGTCACATTCCCCATGTTCACATTCCTGCCTGTCAAGGACGCACCGCGTGGCCGCCCATTGCCTCTTTCACGACCTGTCGCACCATGCTGTCCAACATCAGCGTTTGGCCTGCTGAAATTGACACGATCTGCTGCGGCCAAAGCCATGCTCGACTCCCAAATGTCGTGCCCACTCGGAGATGGCGCCGCGAGGTCGAGGGGTATTCGTTGCGGAAGAGAATGTGTTGTACGCTACGAGTCCATCTTGTACAGTATCAAGCGAGTGGCAGAGCTCCGACAGAGCTACAGAGTGGCAGGACAGAGAGTCGTCGGCGTGAAGCTGAAGCAGAGCGATGCTCAGTGTGTCTCGTGGCTAGCACCCCTCGCCCTGTGAGCCGCGCTGCTGGGATCCTGTCGCAGCCGTTGGAGGCAAGTCGGCGCTGGGCAGTCGTGATGGTCTGACGCGTGGAGTCGCTGGGAGAAGCACAGCGGACCAGCCCTGTGCGACGTCGTCTGCTTCGGATGCGCGAGTGTGTCGATGAGGTGAGAGCGAATGGGGTCGGTTGAGCAGCGCGTGCGGTCGAGGAGAGGCAGGCGTGCGTGAAACATTGTCGGAACCATGGCCGGCTCCAGTGGCAGGGAAGACGAGGAGCAGTGTCGAAAAGAGGGACCGAGCGCCGAAAATAGAATAGCACAGGCATTGCATCAGAGCGCGAGGCCTGGGTGTTGCTTCCATCCGTCAGTACTGTACACCATTGCAGCACGAGGCAGCGCGGCGAGTGGTACGGCAGAAAGGGAAGAGTCTCGCGCGGCTCTCCTCAATCGTGCCCGTGTTGCGCAGTTCGACGTCCACCTGCACTCGTCCATCGACCTGCAAGCCCGCCCGCCTGCTCAACACTTGCACTGAAAAATGCTGCGCGGCGAAGCCCTGCACCAATCCTGCCGTCACACACGCTCAATCAATCCCTCTGGATCATCGCCCAAATTGCACGAGCGCCTATCCACGCATTTTCGCCCGTCCAAGCAGCAGGTCACGCTCAGGCCACGCCATCTATCGCTCCATCTATAACGGCGAACTTTCGATGAGAATGACTGGCGAGGACAGTCGCAAGATGCAGTCCGGTTGAGAAGACGCACGCGAGCATGGCCGCGTGTTTGGGTCAGATGCAATGCAGGACTGCAGAGATGCAGCTCATCCGACCAAGTTCCACCTGCAGACGATCAGGAGCAGACGCACACAGACACAGAGATAGTGGCGGGCCGATTTCTGCAAATGCTGTGCACCTCATTTGCCTGCGTCTCCCAGCGACTCACCACAGGAGAGTGCAATCTTCACAGCTCCACCACGACGACCATCACCATGGGAAGCCGGATCGGCAGACTATACCGTCTCCGTGTCAGCTCCTCTCTTGCCTCGCATCTCCCTCTGCCTCCAAGCAGCAGGTCGTGAGGTGCAAGCGAGCTCGCATTGCCTTTCATTAGCAGCCTCCTGGTCTCGAGATGCAGCAATTCTTTGCAGAATCCATATCACCCTTGTAGCATATTTGAAGCGTGATGCAGCTGCGGACTCTGTGGATAATTACTGTCGTGGATCGCTGCCTGGAAGACGCCCACAAGCTGTGCTGTCTCGCTGCTGCTTTCGTCGGCACCACAAGCCATCCTCCGGGAGAGGAACGAGCATCTACAACTTCTAGCGTGCAGCTTCTCGTATATGCTAACCTTTGCAGGTCACGCGGGGCAGTTCGAAAATCCGCTACACATGTATGTGGACGCACTACCTGATGGCGGCGGTGATTGCCAAGACACCTCGACCACACTCCGACCTCACTAGACGAACCCTATACCACCGCAACGCTCGAACGATGACCGACTCTTTTGGCTAACAACTTTGACAAGACCATAGGAAAGTGTGCGATATACTGTGTTCAATTGTGCACGGAGCGGTAGTTCGCACACCATCCCGACATCATATTTACACGTCCATCGTGTCTGTAGCAAAAGACTGCAACTGCGTTCGCGAGCGACCGGAGCATCAGCTGAGATTTCCTCTTTCGGATGGCGCACAGGCTCTTTTGGCTGCTTTTAGACGAAGCCTGAACTGAACGCCCGTCTCCCATTGGCTTGCGACGGCTCTGCCGACTTCTAGTCTTCAACATGGCTTGCATGGAAAAACGCTATACAGAGACTACCACAACGATGGAAGCACGTGGCGGCCACGCGACACGACACAATTCTCCAGACCAGTAGTTTTCCTCCTCCAAGGACCTCGCAATTCTTATGGGAGACGAAATCAGATCCACGCTAGATGAGCCTACAATCAATGCTGATCTGGAAATCCATTTTGCCAGTGTAGCATCAAACATGCAACTTTTCGACCAGCTCCGTCAAGGGTCCAGGCGTTCGTGGCTTGCAGCCACAGTTATGGACGCCATGCGCTCGCTGCATAGTCCTCCACACGTGGTGGTTCTAGGAAAGGTGAGCCACGCTAGACCGTCAACGTTCATCGCACCACCGGGGTCGCCGCCGAATGCGCCATGGCCAGACCGATCGTGAGGCTCATAAGAAGTTCACACAGTCTGTTCCATTTTTTTGTGAACCTCTGCGAAGATTTCGATCCCGCTGATCACTATGCGGATACTCTCATTGTCTCTGCTCGCGGGAGCGGCTCTTGCGAACCCTGTAGCCGAACTCCAAGCTCGTCAGCTCGATCCGGCTCAATCATCATCATGTTCTACGAGCCACACCGCTAGGTGTACAAGCACTTTGTTGGCATCGGCCAGAAATTTCTGCGCGGCACTCGGCTATGGAACTACTGTTGTCAGGACATCCACCAGCAGGACCACTACTTACAGGTGAGTTACACAAGTTCCCTAGTCGCTACAGAGCTGACATATTTGGCAGCACCATTCTGCGAACAACGACCGTCACTCCGAGGATTGTTACTGTTACCGCTCCGACTCCTACCACTACTTCTACGGGCGTAGCAACTCGAATGACCACAGTGATAAGTACTGCTAGTTCGACTACCACCTTTTCCACAACTATCACGGATCTCGTCACTGAAGCTATAGCGGGCTGCCCTGTATACGTTCCATCTCAGACGCAACAGGATACTGAGACATCGACCACTACTTCAAGCACAACATCGACCTCATCAACAGTGCCCCCAGCTCGGGCCCTAAGCTGTCGATTGAGGTCCGATCTGCCGCAATCAGGTCTTACTTGCGGCGTGAAAGGAGCTTTTGCCGGCAGTACCAGACTCGTGTGGCAGGGCGATGTGAACGACGGCCAAACCCTTACCTCCATCGAGGCATGCGCATTGCGATGTCGCACTTGGGAAGACCAAAGGCTGGTCGGAGAGTCAGGACAAGCTGGTTGCAAATCGTTCTATTGGGGTCAAGGCCGCATGTGTCAGCTGAACGTAGTCGGCACCAGTGATAGTGGCTTTGGATCGGATGCAAATTCCTGGTACAGCGGTAACGATCTGGGCTGTTATGAGTGTGCTAGAGAAGGCGGCTCAACAACAACTACTACAACTACAGCCAGAACCACAACATCGAGCTCGCCCACACGCACAACGACGATTGCAGTTTCCACAACGACCTCGAAAACACGCGCGGTCACAACTTCAAGCACAACATTGAGCTCATCGTCACGCACAACGACAACTGCAAGCACGACGACTACAACTGCAAGGGGGGCAAGCTGCTCATCCGGCAGTTCTTGTGGCCTTCCTGGAACAGTCACTGTCGGCCCCTCCAATAGTGCCTGGCAAATCGAACTGAGTGATGAAAGTTCACTTTCTGACCCTAATGGATGTGCCCTTGCATGTAAAGCATGGGAGAGGGATCAGAGGAGGGATAGTTCGGATCGACCTGGCTGTAAATCATTCTACTGGCGGCGAGACGTGAGCTGTCACCTTTTCGCCTACGTGCTTGCCGAGACAGGCTTTACACCTAATACAGGTTCGCAGTTCCGTGGGGACGATTTGTCTTGCTATGGCTGTCCTGAGGTCGTCAGCCCATCAACCACAACTACAATCAGAACCACTACGACGAGCTCAACAACTCGCGCGTCGACAACAACGACCTCGCCCCTGCCATGGGCAACGAGCTGTGCATCGAGATCCGACCTCCCCCAGCCGGGCCTTTCTTGCGGCATAGCTGGAACTGTTACTGTCGGCCAAACCAACAGCGCATGGCAAGCTGAACACAGTGATGACAACACAGTCTTTGACGCCAAGTATTGCGCTTTGACTTGTCGCCAATGGGAAGACCGTCAAATTGTCGGAAGATCAGGTCGACCTGGCTGTAAATCGTTCTATTGGCGGAAGGACCAGCAATGTCATCTTTTTGCCTCCGTGCTTACTGGAACCGGCTTCACATCTAATGCAGGCTCCCCATCCAGTGGTTACGATTTGGCCTGCTACGATTGCGCCAGAGAAGGTAGCTCGACAACAACTACAGCCAGAACCACCACAACGAGCTCAACAACTCGTACGACTACAATTGCGACCGCGGTCGCGGCCAACAAGGCTCGTCAAGCGGCCCCGAACAAGCCGGCCTGTCTTATTGCCAACAATGCAGCACAGACGACTTCAGCATGCAGATGCGTCATTCCGAGCTCGACTGTCTCTGTGACGGCAACGACTGTATCGACCATCTCGGTTTCCAGGACCATTTGGAATACTATTAGTGTAAGTGCTTCTTTCTCCTCGGCTTTACGTTTTCAAAGTGATGATCGAATGCTGACGTGCGATAGGTCACCCCTACAACGACAGTCACTCCAGCCGCCTTCGTTTCGAGAACTACCCGTACAACAACACTCACACGGACTCGGAGCATGGTCAGCTGGTCAAGCGTGACTGAGACCATGAGGACCGCATCGGTTGTAGCATACAGCCTTGCAGCAACACCCAGTGCTTTCTACATCGTCGACCAGGACATGGCAATCGCTGAGTGGCCAGCTGATGCAGATGAGATCTTCTACCACGTGCAATACGATTGGAATCCGGAAGATGACGAGTATGCTCCAACAGTCTTCACCATCACGGGCGAGGATGAATTGCGAGTCGCGAACATGGCCAATGAGGACGGAGTAGCCGAAGGGTACCGTCTCGCTGGTGTTGGCGATGATGCTTCGGGTTACCAGATTGTTGCCAACGACGTTGTGGAGGGAGGAGTGTTTCCTTCTTGCAAGATTGAAGTCACTGCCGATGGGCAATGTCCTCTGCGGTGCAATATCGGTGGTAATAACGTTAACACCAGAAACAACGATGGTCTCTGGGCTCTGATGCCCGCAGGCACAGAAGACGGGTTCCAGAACTTTGTCATGGCGGCTGAAAATGTGCAGCTGGATGGCGGAGATGGAGGGGGACAAATCGACACAGAGTAATTTGCATAGCGTATAGCGTATAGCGTTTCAAATTTTTGCTCCAAGAAGAGCATCCAATCGAAATCTGTGTTCGTAATCGAAAGCTTTCAGCAGTCCTGTCAAGTGTGCTGCTGCCGCTAGCAACACCAGTACGTGGAAGATTTGATGCGAGCTACCAAACAAATCGAATTGGCCTGGCTTCCATCGTTCGGGCACTCGCCCCTGTGTATCGTGTCAGTGAATGGAGATGAGACAGGACAGTGGGAGCGACTTACAGCATATATCACAGCACCAGTGATGTACAATGCGCCTTGCAGGACGAGCCAGCTCAAACCAATCTGCCTCTGCATCTGCTCCAGGCCATAAAGCTTCAAGCCATGCAAAACGGGCACAATAGCAGAAAGACCCATCATGATAAACATGGTCGCTCGAAACGGCCTCCACTCCGAACTTCGGAATTTGGGATGCATAATCACAATGAAAGTTCCTGCTCCTATCGTCGTAATCTACTCCCAGCATGATCAGCAAATACATCAGACATTAATGTTTCGGCAATAATTGCACTACTCACCATCGACCAATAAACCCTCCTCAACGCCTCCTCCCTCGCAAACCCATAATAAATACTCGGAATAAAACTCCCCCAAATCAAAAAAATTATCCCCATATAATCCAAGCGATTCCCGAATTTCTGTACAGGAGCTGAATGGTTGGAAATGGTGTGGAAGGTGGCACTCATGCCTAAGCAGACTGTCGCTCCGAGGAAGAAACAGGCGAAGACGAGGACATCTTGTTGAGTGGCTTGTTGGAATCGTGGTTTGAGAGAGTGGTAGAGGAAGGTGCTGGAGAGGATTGCGAAGAGGGAGCCGAGGAGGTGGGTCCAGATGTTTATTGTTTCGTTGTGGAGGGAGATGATGCTGTGGAAGGATTTTGAGTAGGAGTTTGAGGCCGGGCGGTAGTGGGAGGTTATGTAGTGGTTGTCTTGTTGCCAGGGTTCAAGTTGGGTCCAGGTGAGGGTTTTGGAGAGGGTGTGTTCTGTTTTTTGGAGGAGTGTCTCAGGTTCTTTGGAGGGGGAGGGGTCTGCTGAATTGGTCGCGGAATTTGGAGGCATCTTGTTTTGGAGTCGAAGCAGAACGATGGGGGAGTTCAAGAGTGAGTCCAAGTTAGTGACAATGGAGCGAGACCCATCTATATCTATTGTATGCGCCTGCCGAGTTGGTTGACATGTGAAAGTGTCATGTTGAGATGGAAAGTGAGAGGGACGAGTCTTGGCAGTGACGAAAGCGAGAACGACGAGTTCCGACTTCCCTTCCCTTTCTCCAGTCAACAGACAACAATGCGACAGCAGAGATCGTGATCCACCGCTTATCCCGCTGCTTGGAAGCTCTACACGGCCGTATGAGACGTTTGTAGAGTCGTATTTCAGCACAATCTGGAACCCGCCGCGATCAGATACACCAACAGCCGCATGTCCAACTACGCACGACCGCCTCCCAGACGAGGCGCGTCCGGAGCATGGAATCGGCTCAAGCATGGCGGACCTACCGACCCGTTGGACGTGTATGGACTTCCCTCTAAGGGAGAGATGAGGTGCTCATCCTTGACTTAAAGGCACTAGACTCCAATTGCTGACAAGTCATGGAGATTGCACGATTTCAAGGCACAAGAGAGCTACTATGCCAAGATTGTCGAGCGTTACATGAAGTTCTGTGCATTATCTGGCGGCGGTGACGGGCTTGAGGCTGCCTTCGCATCCTTGTCCGTGCGGGAGAATAATCCGTTGGCCAACACTGGCAATGGGGCCAGCAATAAAAGGCCGCCACTCACACAGCGACCCTCAGATACAGCTCGTCCCAACGACTTGCCAAATATACTACTCGCCATGCGAAGGCTTCGAGAGGGAATTCTTGGGTCACGCCGGACTGACCACTTTGCTCAGCGCGCATACATGTTCATCATCCACGCTAGTATTCTGACCAAGTCGTGGGAGTCTTACCTCCCGGCTCTACAGTACCTGCTTGGCACAATACACAAACACACCCCTCTTTCTCTGCCCGAAATGCAAGAGTTCTCTGGATACCACATCCTCGACCTGGCATGTCGTCAGGATGAGCTACTGGAAGCATTCGCGGCACGACTCAGATTCAAGAATCGAGATCGAAGGATCGCCACTATCATCCATGCACTCGTACACGACGACTGGGTAAGATACTGGAGGACGAAAAGAGCCGTTGATGGGTATCAGCGAGCTATTATGGAGTACGCGGTCGAACGCATGCGCTTGCACGCCTTGAAGTGCTTGGGTAGAGGGTACCTGAACGCCGATCGCGCCTTTGTCGAGCGTAGTGGCGACGAAGTATGGGAGGAGCTCGTCAAAAGTGGTGTGGGCTGGCAGCTGCAAGACAGCGGCAACGTGGTGATTCGGAAGCCTAAGCCGAAGTGAGGTCGATTCCAGCATTACTGTACAGAAGCGTGCACCCCGAGACACTCCGATTTATCACACCCTATCATTGGAAATATGGCCACCTCCAGCATCCACCTCGCTTAGCAGCAGCATCTGGATTTTTCGCCTCTTGGTTCACGACTTGACGCTGCTCCTCAGATGGCACCACCATCGAGCGCAGCAGCAACTTTGGTACTTCAAGAAAAACTGCCTTCCGACCATACATCTTCTCCAGTCTTCGCACAGCGTGCTCGACAGATTCCCGACCAAGCTTCGTGTCACGATTTTCCGGCCTTGTCAGAGCCGTGATTTTTCTGTAATCGGTTCTATCGTCAAACGCCCGCCCCTTGATCGCCTTCTGCAAGATTTTACCAAGCGTCAGCCCCGAAGCATCTTCAATCTCTACATCCGAAGAGATCTCAACTTTGCCAGGAATGGCAATCTTGAAGGCTACTTCAACAAAGGTGGCCTTCGGACTGCAAATGTGCATAGTTTCCCAGGATTGAGGTTCGCCGTGTAAGTACTGATTCAGGGAGTCGAGCAGATATGTCCGGACATTGACTCTTTCTCCTCCTCTGCCTAACACGCATCCGGCATGATATTCGTGATGCTTGTGGTTATGGGCTTCTTTGACGAGTGTCTTGTTGAGTTCGACGACTGTGAGTGGTAGGATTGAGGGCTGACCTGTGTGCAATTCGGGCAGCTGGAATCGATGATAGGGACCGATCATTCGAGTCACCCAAATTTGAGGGGGTACATCTGGGATTCGCAAATATAGGATTTCTTGGAGTTGCTTGGAGGTCTTGACGATGTCTCTGAATTGCTGGCTGACAATTTGTGCTTGCAGAAGCTGGTGTGGGGATAGGTAGGTGAAGATCAATTCGAGGAGCTCGGCGGTGTTGAATACAGCTTGCCGTGTTGCATCGGTGACCATGAGACGCGTGATACGCGTGGAGGTCGCGTTCCGCTGAGAGGAGGCTGGTCTTGCCTGCTTGTTCTTTGGCTGGTAGCCAAGGTCGCCGTCATCAGTCTGATATCTACGCTTGCGGCCACTCATGCTGCAGGCGTCTTCAAGAGAACATCCGCTGACCAGTGGCAGAGGCAGAATTTCGAAGATGAGGGAAGAAGAGAGAAGACTATCCGCGACGCGAGGTTTCATTAGATGTCGGGTTCTGCCCATGTCCCTGGAACATGTGGTTCGCAGGCTCTAGCGAAAGGCTAAGTTCGGTCAGGAGAACAAGAGTATTGGAACAACGGAAAATGAAGGTACGATATGGTGAAGGCCGAATCTGCTAATAATACACGTGGTTTGCGTTGCACTCATCCGCAGCTAATGTGTCCGCATCTATTGTGTATCTCGTACTTCACGCTTCGGTGGCCTTCGTCGAAACAGCTCGACTCGGTATACGGCAGCTGCTTGCCTCACTGGAGAGCTCCGTGCGCGCTCGTTGCTGCGAAGAGTTCTCAAAGCGTAACTCAAATCATACAATCATGGTCCTCTCGTCTACTCATCATCGATGATTTGCAACACAAGTCCGTCCTTCAGCTCTTCCCACGGCAGCATGATTCGCGAGAGGCCAAAGGAGACCTCCTTAGCCTGGACGTGAGCTTCTGGCCCCCAACGCCTCAAGATCTCTCTGTTCAGATCTCCGAATAGTCCATACCTGACATCCTTTGTGACTTCGACCCCATCTCTGCTAGACGTGAAGATATGAGTGCAGAAGAATGCAGTAGCGAAAGGGTTCCGCGTAACAGCTTTGAAGATGTGCCCGATCGTCCATCCCTCGCGTCTGTAGGGTGCTGTGATCCACGTACGGCAGGTGTACTCAGATCGTTCAGGGAAGGCCCACTCGATATCGATTGTCACACCTGGCGTAGGTCCGTCCGTGAAATGCATCTTTTCAAGCAGTGGGGCGGCAACTCCAGCTAGAATCTGTTGCAATCCCTTCAGCAGCTTCGGACCGGCGTGAACTTCGGCACTAGTGAGCAAGATGTCGAGAATGTCGTCGGGGCGGTTGGGTTGGACCAATAGGGCGTTGACTGCGTTGGGCATCCAGCGATTCTCGTCGTCTTCCGTGTACCCCCTGATGCCTTCGGGCAAATCATATGTCTCCGAGACGAGTGTCAGGCGATGCGGACCTATGAGGTGTGGACCTGGATTTCCATGCTCCTGAACTCGCCAGATCTGGCCTTTATGGCGGAGTCGAACGAGGAACTTCTCTTGAATTGCAACTATTCCATGTTAGCTAATGTTCCTAGTACGCTGACTGGATTAGGAAACATACCGGACGAAGCGATCACATTGCGGAAAAATTTGCAAATGCGCTGCGCTTTGACGATGTCGCAGACATCGAGATAGACGAGCACATTCTCCACGAGTTCTGCTGTATCGAAAGCCGCGTCTTTAGCAGGTGTTCCAGCTGTAAGCGCGACATCTTGCTGATCCTGTTCCTCGGCCACGCTGTGAGTCTGTGAGTTGTTAGCTTGAAGGCGCCGTCGAGACTAGAATTCTTGACATACCACAGCGCTAGGTTTGGCGCCGGCATTGTCGAAGGGAGAGACCTCGGCTTCGAGTGGTGACATCTTAAGACAATGCCAACTTGTTAACGTTGAAGGTATTCGGTTCATTTCTTTGAGCGCGAGTCGAATGTTAAGCAGCGGGTATTAGCATATGTGGTGAATGTTGGGTGCGCCAGCACGTGCTTCCTGATCCACTATGGTGAATGCTAGAGACATGTCAGCTGCGTCTCCCTTCACCGGCTCTATTTCCTTTTGCTTGTCCTGTGTAGCTCAATGTCTGTCCGTCGCTCGACCTCGCAGACATGAAGCGCAAATACACTGGAGGCGGCCGTAATGGCACAGCAAAGGTACGTTCCGGTCGGCTGCAATGCAGCGCGCGATCCATTGTATGAGACAGTGGACTCGAGGACCTCGATGCTGATCCATTGTCGCAGCCCAAGTGGGAGAAACGCGCGCTCCAGCGTGTGGACATGCAAAGGGCGACACCGCTGAGCAACCAGGAGGATGATTCGAGCGATACGGACTCGAATGCTGCGGCCGTCGATCTTTCGCGCCTATCCGATGCCGACTACGACGCTTTCAAGCTCAAACAAGCCAAGCGCGACAGAACGAATGCCGCCATTCAAGCCGTCATATCTACGGTGGAGTTGCTTGAAAATGTCCTTCTACACCTCAGACCACTCGATATCATGAACGCAACTCGAGTCTGCCGGCACTGGAACAAAGTTGTCGAAAGCTCGATTTCACTCAGACCGAAGCTTTTCCGTATCGTGAATACCTCTGGCGAAATCTGGCACACCGATAAGATGCCCAACCCGCTATTCAGACCAACAGTACCAGAAGGCTCGCGTTTCAAGCCAAGAGGTCCCGCTATGAAGGCAGCTATCGAAATGTACCTCAACGGGCAACGTAGCGCCATCCTAGACGACATGCACATTACGGTTGAGCCCGCTCAGAAGATGAAAATTTGCCTTCACTGGAAAGCTTTTGAGGTGATAATAGGATGTGCGTTGGTGTCTCTTCCTTTCAAGGAAGAGGGATGGACAGTCGGTGAGGCATTGCTTATGGCCATGTCAGAGGATCACTTGACGTCCTGGTACGACCACTCTCGGCAGTACGGTGGGGGCGAGCAGGACAATCTGGTAGACTTGTTCGCGAGGCTTCAGCTAGGCGGTCGTGGGTGCGAGATCGAGTGCGAGGAGATCGAGTTCAGGCTGTAGACGCAAGACGGCGTAGAGGCAGCATTGAGATATGCGATGCGTGGAGAATCGTCCTGGGGCTGGGAGCAAGAGGACGCTGGAAGTATTGATGCATGCTTGACTCAGATGCCGCTGCCAGCTGGAAGATGTTCTGCATTGGCATTCGACGGTATCGTGGGATCACTTTGGGCATTAGCAAAGATATCCCGATGCGGCAAGACCTTCTGGCTGCTTTAAAGCGCTTAGCATGAAGCGAAGTAATGGGGTCCTTCTGAATTCCATGTTGTGCCGAGACGAATCTCTCATCTTTGGTGCTCGAGCATACGCTGCGTCATCTCTTGCTCTGCGATGGCACGGAGAAGCCTCTCGTCATAAAGTCGGCGTTCTTTCCATTTCTGTTATTTTGGTCCTTCGTCGAGAACAAACTCTTCACATTGTCGTTTTCCATCTTCCTTTTCTTCGACTGCTCCTGCTCCCTCACGACCTTTGCGGCGATTGAAGCGGCAGATGAGTTGTTGATCCCATTGCTGCCGTTCATTTCGTTCTTGGACCTCTTTTCTCCTCTGCCTTCCGCGTTGCCGTCCCCGTTCTCGGTCTCATCCTTTCCTTTCTTCCTCTTCTTCCCTCCGCTCGCCTTCTTCAGGGAATGTGCCAGGCCCTTCTCTTGCAACGTCTTCACCCTCAGCGCTAACCTTGCAATATCTGTTGCAGCAGTGGGCAGAATTGGGATAATATCGTTACTCGCGTACTCGGTCTCGCAGGTCAAGCACTTCTCGCCCGAGACTTCCTTGATCGCGCTGCCCGAGAAAGCATGTCCACAGGGAACCAGATAGGCGGCCTTCGACCCGGGGCCCAACTTATCGCCAGTCACTGGACACTTCCAGACTTCCTTTCTCACGCCATCATTCGTGGCGTCCGCGTCCACCTCAAACTTGACCTCTACAATGTCTTTCAGCGATTTGATCGCGCCTTGCGTAACGACGTCCGCGTCTTCCTTCCGCACTCCCTCGACAAGATACTCCAGTATCGTTGATTTGTTGTACAGCTTTCCCGAGGAGTCCGACACAACGGGCTGCGCAAGAGGTTCGCGGGATATTGGATCCGTGGACCAGTGATACTCCTGCTGTTCGTGCTGTGCCTCTTTGACCTGCGCAGTGGTCTTATCCTTTGCCGCTTCTTTCACGAGTTCGCGACGCGTCGGAATGCTGCCGCCATCGTTGCCCATGCTTGCAACACGCCTGTTGAGTGTGCGTGTTAAGGTCAAGCTCAAAGTTGATCGCCATCACGGCGACGCGGAAGAAAGTTGAAGCGCCTTGGCATTCCGTCTCTCCATCATCAGCCCACTTGCTCATCCTACGCACACCCATCTCCACAGCCCGCCTTGTTACTCGACCCGTTCCTTACTGTGTCAAGACTCAGAGAATGTGCCTCAGGAAGATCTACCTGACCGCAAATGGCAAAGAATGCGAACCTGGAGGATCCTGCATGCGCCTTCGGTTCGGCACCGAGCTGCTCTTGCAACTTCGCCCTGAACAACCTCTTGGCATCCTCCAGCAACAAGCCATGTTCACACCGCCAATCTGTCCAATGTGACACAGCATGGTTACGGTTATGTTCAGACATCTCTACGGTTTCTTCACGAGTAGTCAGAAAGACTGCTCAGACTTTCAGGCGACTCAAATGGTTCAGAACTCCAGCAATGCCCTCGAACTAAAGCAAGTTTAGATTGTCCTCGAACGCTATCGCTAAGCCTCGGGGGCGATGCGCTGCACAGCAGATCAGTGACAAACAAGAAAGGCAGGTGAAGCTTCTCTATACACGCACGCGTACCCTGTGTTATTGACCGTGTTCACTTCGCCACTCTATCTGATCCAAAGACGAGCTAAAGATCTTTTATAAACGCTCACCAGTATTGCAATGTTGAGTTATGGAGTCCTCACCCCTGATGCCGCAAGGCGCTGAACACGATTGCCTTTCGCCAGCTACTAGACAGCAAGGTGTACCTGATAACCAGAAAGAAGCACGCCTTTCGTCGAAACACATGGCAACTGGATCAATTCGAAGCACATCCGATGCCTTGTCTACTCGAGAAGGCGATAGGAAAGATCGCACAGAGGACGCCCGCAAGCTCCAGCGGCTCCCACTTACATTATGGTTGACAGTGACATACGCCATCCTGTCAATTTTCGCCTGGACGATCAACTGCACCCTTGTTCGCAAACCTCTCAACGCGTCCCATTATGGTATGTCTACCATCCTCAGCTATCGCGCAGCCACTGATAATCCACAGGATTGTACCTTAGAGATGGCGACGTGTACGGCTATCGCTACCCCACTCACTCTATTTACACGTTCAATGAGCGAATTCTACAGGTTGCACGGGTCGTTCAAGCTATCGTTGCGGTTTCCACTGTCCCTCTGACGTCTGCGGTCTGCTCTACTGCCGCCGTAACATTCATGCAACGAGAGCATCGGAATCACAATTTATCGTTGCGCAAGACAATGGTCCTCGCTGACAAGGGTTGGGCCGATTTCGAGGTTTATCTGCACCTCTTACGCGGTAGGCTAAGTTCCTATGGCTCGAGTCTGCTATACCTCGCGATCCTACTCATCGCCTTGGGTAAGCTTGAACAGCATACGGCCTTTACTTCGTGCTAAGGTGTTGCGATAGGTGCCTCGCTCTCGCCTCTACAGTCCGTCTTCTTGACTTCCAAGACTGTGCAAACTCCGGTCAGCCTTGCTTCTCTTGGGAAAATTACCGATCTCATCGACCTTTTCGATGAGGGATCATTTTACAACCAACTTACCCCCGCTGAGTTACGGTCCGCTCTCACGTCTACAACAAGTACGGATCCCCAAACGAGGCTGTGGACTGCTGACGGAGCGCTGAATTGCACTGGTAGCGTCGGGAACAACAACACGGCATGTGCATTTGGCCAAGTCTCTCTGGCCAACATGTCGCAACTCCATGATTCCTTCATCGCTCAGTTGCCCGCAGGTTTCAGCACTGGTCTCGTGCGACAATTTATCCCTCGCATCAACTCCTCAATCTCAAGAGAACGAATTCCTGCGGCAGCGTTTCCGGCTCATTGCGAGCGTTCAGGCAACTCATTCTTCGCCAGTTACGCTGGAACATGGGAGTCTGGTTACGTGAATGGCTCTCTAGCCGCCAGCTCTTGGGGAGTGGTCGCCTGTATGCCCACCGACCAGAGCAAATCTTTGTGGAACAAGACACGAAATAGACAAACTATCTCTGAACAGCTGTACCTCAATCTTACTGCTCTAAGTTCAAACCCATACAAACAGTGGTGGTCGGAGGATCAGTGGAGTGGCCTTTTCAGGATCACACTTAACACGACTTCTGGATACTTTGAACTGCCAAATATAATGAACGGCGGGCTACCGGGTCCCCTTTTAAAAAATGGTCCCGAAGCTCACTGTGGTCGTGACTGTGTCATACAGAGCGACTTGAGAGGTCAAGAGATCTAGTACGTTTTCTCTTGAAATGGCACAAGTCGCACGCTGACGTTTTAAGTGATCGGAACAATACTCTACGCATAAGAGAAGAGAGTCAAGAAAGCAACGGAACCTCCATAGTTGACGACGGCGCTTTCGCTCTATTTAACGGAATGAACAAAGGGCCACTCCTCACAATCGCTCTGGCCCTATTTGGCACAGGCTCTTGGATAGCGGACCGGACGCAGCATCCTGACTTCTACGTGAACCAGAATGTCACATCCCGAACCTATGCATGCACCGAACGAGTACCATTCGCTGGGCTTTTGGCCTCCATGGATGCTGACTCTGCGACCATCGCCAGTGACTACGACAACATGGTCGGCTGTGTGTCCAACAATAACATGCATTCCGATTACTTACAGGAGAACATATTTGACTATGTCCAGATGCATATTGGTCCGATAACCGGCAGAGACGGTCGCGGTCCGACATACGAGGCAAAACTGAACAACGCATGGGAAGCGGCTGCTTTCTTGGCAAACGAGCGCTGGTTGAAGTCTGGACAACGTGCTACATTGACTGTCAACTACGATCCCGGAGCCCCAATCCAGATTCCACATATCTCGACAGCAGGCATGATTCTCATCTCTGTGCTCTTAAGCATATACCTGGTGTCTCTACTTGCCATGGCGGTGTACGGCAACTGGAATCCACATTGGACAAGTCGCCTTGATGCATTCACCATGATGCAGCTGGGTGCTGCTATCTCGGAGCATCTACCACTACAGCTGGCGAATAATACTCACATAATACGGATACTCGATGAGGTTCCTGGCTGGGTCGGTGATAGCTCAGAGCAACCAGAGGATGACACAGCCGTGGGCAAGATCGGACTGGGTGCGAGCGGCGCTCTGCGGGCGGGAAAACGATACAAATGCTACACCAGTAATGATAGACGGACACAAAAGTAAGCGTACACATGACTTGATGATGGCAAAGTAGAATAAACAATAATACGTCTCTATTCGCATCCGGCATGCCGATAGCAAGAGTGTATCCACCGGACCGAGAACTCGACAAGTATCATGTCCGACGGATCATTACATTAATGTCTTGTAACTTCCCCACGTACAGTCTCTCTGCCGCTCCGGCCAACGCCACGGCTACGCATAAGAATATGACCACGGCGGATCTCATCGCGGAGAAGAAGAAGGAGTGGGAAAAGGCGCGAAGTGACGCAGAGTCGCTAATCGATGAGATTGCTGAGAGTGACGACAAGGAGCTGGACGAGCTGTTGGGCGATCTGGGAGAGATTGAGGGGGGTAGGGGAAAGGAGCGGGACGAGCTCTGAAGGACCTGGCGGAGCACGAGCATCAGTTTAAGAAGGATCAGGATGACCTGGAAGCCATGGCGTTGCAGTGGGCGCGGGAGAGGCAGGAGGATGATGACCATATCCAGGAATTCAAAGCAATAATTAAGGAGAGTGATGAGGCGTGGCATAACCTGGAGAAGATCAACGAAAAGTATGAGCGGGAGATCAAGAAGCTGGAGGAGCAGACATAGACGGGAAGCTGAAGGATTAAAGCTCGCTCGTGGCCATACGGCGCCGAGCTCAACCTCATAAGGGAGTTGGCGTTTAGTTTTCGTGTGGCTTTTATTGTTGGGTAGTCGCTCAATGTCTTGAACGCTGAAGTTTGGAGATCCTTCTGCGCCGTCGTCAATATCTCCGAAAGGATCGACGACTGCCAGTCCACTGAGACCTCGCCAGTGCTCGTTCCTGATCAATGAGCCACAAGCGCTGGCAGCGAGCTATCGGGCAAACTGTGCCTTTCAAGTGCCCGTGCGCCGCGTACGGCAAGGCGTCCGTCTTATCACCGGGACTATTCGTTGCGACGGCTCTAGACGTACAGATCTGATTTGTAGCACCCTTGTGCGCGAGCATGTTGCTCGCTCCGTTTTTGTATTCTCCTTTTTCAACGCCATAACACCTTCGCTGGAATACTATAACACATTTTCCTCCTTTCGCTAGTCTCATATCGTGCCTTTATCGTCGATCCTTGACAACGTCGCGCTCCGCCGGATTGTATCTGCGCGGTACGCATTCAGTTATTGTCCTATGCCGCTCGTTCTTTGTCTGTACATACCGCAACAGCTTCTCGATCAGATCGACGTGTGTGAGCATCATACGTCTGCAGCAGTATCTGTTGAGGCCGAGTTGGTCCATCGCGTCGCCGTCAGAGACCGTGTCGCCGTTCTCTTGTACTGTGCCGATGAGCTCGACGTAGCGCTCGTAGAGGTCTGCAATGACCTGGGGACAATAACACGTTAGCGCTGCACGTTCTAGATTGAGGATCGGATGCGTCGCACCTTGCCGCAGGAAAAGCAGCGAATTGGGATAATCATGTCGACGGTGGTGGAAGCGATGCAAAGGGCGGCGTGGTTGCTGTCGCGAAGATTGAAGTCATGTCGCGAGAAGTTCAAAGCCGATAAGACCGGCTGAGTGCACGGACCCTCGAACTTTTTCGAGGTTCAGAAAGCTAGTTCGGGCACACGAGCAAATGCATCGACCTGCCTCTGATTTTCGTCATTCACTTCGCTCTCCACGTGCTCCCGTCGCGTCGGAACAATGGCCAGAGATACCGAGAGGAAGAGGAAGCTGGAGCAGCAGCAGGCGGACAATGCGACGGCGAAGCGGGTCAAGTCGTCCGCGAAGACCGACGTGAAGGCAAATGGCACCTCGAACGGCAGTCCTCAAGTGGTCGTACCAAGGCAGAACGGTCTTTCGACTCCATCCCAGCACTTAGACTCGCCAAAGTCAGGCAAGAAAGAGAATATCGGTGTTGCAAATGGAGGCAACGTTGGACAGCCTTCGATCAAAACCGAAATACAAGCAACACCGACGTCGAAAAAGGCCAAGAAGACAAGAACTTCTCAGAATGGCACTGCGGCCGCTGCATCGCCATTTACAGCACCACCTACAACTAAAGATGGGCACGTAGATGTGTCTATGGGAAAGATCGAGGCAGCTACGGTGAAACCTCAAAAGAGCAAGAAGCAGAAACAGCAGATCAAGGACGTGGTTGTGCAGGATGTAGAGGCAGGCGCGGAACAGCGAAGCGAAAATGGCACTGTGCTATCGATCAAGGACAAGCGACAGCGCGCCATTGAGAAAAAGGCGAGACGGAACGCCGATCGCGAGATCAAGGCAGGCTTCAGAGAGGATGAGGAGCTCACAGCACCGAACGAACATGGTTGGTGGATGTCTCAACCGAGCGCCGGACGGTACCTGGCTCATGACCCAATCTTTGTTGTGGACGAGAACGGCGACGAATGTTTGATCGCGGCCACGATCCGTGAAGTCCAGCTACTGCACCTCGATAGCTCGCTCATTTCGCGGACACATGCAGTGCCCGATGGCAGGTCTATCCTTGCGTATACTTTGAGCGCCGACTACCCGGATCACATAGAGATTGCATATGACAACGGTACCAAAGTGCAGTGGAACTGGACGACAGGGTCGATCATCAAAGGAAGCTTTCCAGGCAATGAGACCACCATTGCCGCAACTACTGCTGCTCGTGGAGATGGACGCCTAGAGGTATACTGCATCGCCCAGACTCAAGGCATGTACACTATTGTTGGAGAACGAAAGTCGTTGTACTCAACATACCGACGTCTGACGAGCATACACGTTCTTGAAGGTGGCGCCTACATCATCTGTCTGGGTACGACTGCAATGCTGCTGGGAAAGAGGAAAGACGGCACTCAAACTGCCGAATACATCTGGATCGAGATGCCGACGACTGTGCCTTTCCAGTGTCTTGATGCGAGACTTGTGACACCAGCTACAGGCAAGGCTAACTCACCTGCCAAAGATCAGAAGAAGCCTATCCCTGATCTCGCACTTGCAGTGGGCAATGCGGATGGCCAAATACACTTCTACTCCAGCCTCCTATCTCTATTTGCAAAGCCCTCGCAGGCGATTCTCCCCACGCCTCGGATCCTGCACTGGCACCGCGAGGCTGTTTCAACAGTCAAATTTTCGAGAGATGGCAACTATCTCATCTCAGGTGGCAGGGAGTCCGTGCTTGTGATCTGGCAGCTGGAGACTGGACACAAGCAATTCTTGCCCCATCTCACAGCAGAGATTGAGCGTGTTGTCGTCTCGCCGAGTGGTACACAATATGCTCTGCAGATGGGCGATAACTCCATCATGGTCTTGAGCACCACTGAGTTGAAGCCCGTCGCCAACTTTGCTGGTCTTCAATTACCGGTACTGACAGAACAACTCGACCGAGAAGACATGGCGCTGCCAGCTGCGACGGTCGTACTGCATCCCAGCGATCCGAAGCAACTGCTCTTGACAGTGCCAGCAACACAGCCGAAGCACACCCGAGATGTCACAACTCGACCTTTCCTGCAAAGTTTTGACATTCAGAATTCCCGACACATTAGCCGACGAGCACTTTCGCGCAACAACGTGACCGACTTCAATCGTGGACCTGAAAACACTCCTATCATCCCACCAGATGTCAATCTGCTCGCTGTAAGTGCAGATGGAGAATGGCTGGCAACAGTTGACGAGTGGTTTCCGCCAGCCACGGACCTGGAGCATGCGGTCGCACGCACGGCTGGCCTGGACGCCATCGATCTTGAGAACATCCAGGAGGAGCAGCTGAAACGACGAGAAATCTACCTCAAATTCTGGAAGTGGGACGAGGGGCAATCCATGTGGACACTGAGCACCAGAGCCGATGCTCCGCACGCCCGATCCTCTGATGCCGACCTTGGCTCTGGTGCAGGCCGTGTCTTGCAGCTCAAGTCCGATCCGGCCTCGAACGGTTTCGCAACTATTGGAGAGGACGGCGAGGTAATGATCTGGAAGCCAAAGACCAAGTTCCGCCACGGCGTTCCTCTGAAAGAGCCGAACGGCAACGATCTAGTCGAATGGGCATGCCGAAGAACGATCAAGCTTCCAATTGCAACTGACGGTGAAGAACGTGCCGACTCGCCAATGGACGGTGACCACGATAAGTCGTTGGCTGCAATTGACGCCAGCCTCGCATTCTCCCCTGATGGCTCGATGCTTGCATGCTCTACGACCACCTTAAGTGAGACTGTGCAGCCCCTGGTACATTTTGTCAACCCGGACACTGGCACTGTCACCTCTACAAATGCCGGCATCATCCCTGCCGATGAAGATGTTTTGGACTTCGGCTTCTTGGATCGGTACCTCATCGTACTCAGTCTAGGACACATTCGTGTATGGAACCTTGTCGACGACAACGTCCACTACACGATTACGCTCCCTGGCGCACTTGGAGAGCAAGAGACCGCGAAGCTGGCTGTCAACGAAACCGATCAAACATTTGCGGTAGCTTCGATCAACATCACGTCTATGGAGTTGGATGAGTCCATTCCCCAGATCGCAGTTTACACGCCCAAGAATCCAGACGCTTTGTTCGAAGCCGACCTCGAATCAACTCCAGTGGCAATTCTGGCCGGCAAAGACACCAGAGGCTACACGGTCATTTTCGAAGACGGCACAATCCGCTCCCTCACCAGCACTCAACAAGCTACCCGCAACCGAAGTTCTTCTTCCGCTGCGCCTGAAGCTCTCGAAATGGTTGAGGAAGTAAGACCAAGCGAGGATGCCGAGACTGCATCGTCTGCTGCACTTGCACTTCTCAGCACAAATCCTGCAGAACAAGATCAAGAGATGTCTGATAGTCTAGCTCCGCTCCTGTTGACCGAAGCTGGCGAGGATGATCGCCCAGTTGTCAGACCTGAGCAGCTGTCTAGTATATTTGATGTAGGCGGTGGGAAAGGTGGCGTTGTAGCTATGCCACCGGTGAGAGACATGTTCAGAGACGTCGTGGGACTGTTTGCAAGGAAGCCGAGAGCGAGGGTAACGGAGGATGTAGAAATGGCCATGTAAATTCCTCCGAATGTAGAAAGGATTCATAACATGTGGATATGCACACTTCTGTGCCATTTGCAATCACTTCTCTGTGGGCGCATTCAGCCTCGTTAATCTATACGCTTCAACGCGACTCTTCCTCCTGACTTGATTGGACGATTGTGTTTAGCAGAAGTGACAGGATAAATATATGCTCATGGACATCGCTATATATACCAGAACAGTCATAAAATGCACATCAATTTCTCCTTCCAAATCTTACAACTTCGCCCCCTGCTTCCACACCGGTCCCACCAACGCATCATACGCATTCAAGCTCAGCGTATCGCCCGGCACGCCCGTAACGTGCATCCCCAACCCCCTCGTATCAATCATATCAGGGGTCAACTCATCCACGGATGTCGCACCAATCAACCTCATGTTCATCTCCATCTCATCCTTCAACAACTGCATCGCACGATCCACACCAGGTAATCCATAAGCCGACATAGCAAACAAGAATGGCCTTCCGATTCCCACGCCTGAAGCTCCCAAGCATAGCGCTTTGATGATGTCCGTTGCGCGACGAATTCCGCCATCGATGAAAATTTCGATTTTGTTTTCTAGACCTAGACGGCGGAGTTCGGGCATGACTTCTGCTAGGACTTCGATTCCTGAACGGGCAAAATCTAGTTGACGACCGCCGTGGTTGGAGAGAACGACACCTTGAACTCCCACGCTGATGGCGCGGATGACGTCTTCGACGCGTTGGACACCCTTGAGGATGATGGGCATTTTGGTCACGGAGAGGAACCAGGGGATGTCTTCCCAGCAGAGGGCCGGATCGATGAATGAGGAGATTGCTCGTGCGGCGCCTTGTGAGCGATCGACGTTGTCGCCAGATGTGTTTTGTACGTTGGAGCCAGTATCGGAGAATTTGGATCGCATGTCCTTTTCTCTGCGGCCAAGTTGTGGAGCGTCGACTGTGATGAAGAGGCCTTTGCAGCCGCGCTTTTCGGCGTGTTGGATGATGCGTTTTGTGATTTCGCGGTCCTTGTTGACGTAGAGTTGGAGCCATTGCACTTGGTCGTCTTGTCGGGCGTCGACGATTTCGTCGAAAGAGCAGGAGGCTAGAGTGGGGATCATTTGGATGACGTTGTGTTTGTGGGCGCCTCGTGTGAGGACGACTTCGCCTTCGGGGTTGCCCAGTTTGCCTAGGGCGGTGGCGGTCACGTAGAAGGGAATGGAAACTTTGGTGCCGAGCATAGTGGTGGAGAGATCGATTTTCTCGACGTTGCGGAGGATTCGAGGTCGGAACCAGATCTTGTGGAAGGCTGAGTGGTTTTCTCGCATAGTCTGGGAGACATCCTATTAGCTTTGTCGCATACGTAGCACAGCTGGATTGTACTCACAATCTCGTCGTCTGCACCGCTAGAGTAATATGCCCATGCTGTCTTCTTCATTACTCTCCTCGCCACCGCTTCGAAGTCCATCAAGTTGTAACATTGCTCCAGGATTGGCATGTGCTTGATACGTTCTTGTCGCTCAATCTCTTCTGGATCTTCCTCTTTCTCTTCTTGTTCTACTGTTGACATATCCACCTCTCCCAAATGCTTGCTCTTGTCGAGGAACTTGTCGAGGGTGTCGGGAGGGTGGATAGGCTCGTACTCTTCGGTGGCATCCTTGCCAGCATACTTGAGAATGATCTTTGGCCCACCAGGATGTTCAGGCAGGACTGTGGGAGACGTTAGTATGGCTGTAATTAATACCTTCCTTATGGTACGCACATTCTGTGACATCGTATGCCTTGCCGTGTACGATGACCCAACATGACTCTCGGCTGTTGTGCTTTGCGATCTCTGCGCCTGAGAGCTGCTTGCTCTGTGTGTTGTTGCTATCGCGATTCATCTTGTCTATGCTCTGATCCAGTTATGCAAAGTGTAATGTACAGGAATGGTGCTCAGAGGATGGGAAGAAAGCAGACCAGTAGAAGAAAGCACAGCTCGATACAATTAACCCGATCCTGGACCGGCGATCACTGGACTCTTGAGCGGCTCTCGTCAATGGCGTAGATGCACAGTCCAGCCTCATGTCTTGTTGCCGACGGCGGCAGGTCTGCCTTTCCACTGCACCGAGAGTGTGGAGAAATGAGGCAGGTTCAGCGAATAGCAAAGCACGGATTACCCTCCTCGTCTCGGTATCTCCGCAATACCCGCCGAGCATCGGTATGCCAAGGGTCAACCACATGGCCTTGCCACACGCTGAGCGCGCAGAGGGCTCCGCGATACCCGTTTTGTCGTTGCGGCAGTGGGCAGCGAGGGCTGTAGAATTGAAGCTTGGATACCATCCCAGTGACGGCTTGTACGGAACGGCATTTGAGATTGAAGAATGCTTCCGAATATTTGCAATCCACGTCGTGGCTTGGCAGTGTGATACGACCGCGAGACGATGTAGTTGTAAACGAATCGTGCTGCTCGCTACTGCTACGACAACTGGGAAAGAAGGGAAGGTGCCTGGCGACAGCAAAGCGCAGTGCTCTCCAGCCGAATTTATTTCAAATGCTCGCCCTGGATGTCAGACAATACTGCTTGCAATATCTGAGCTCGGTTGCATACTCATTCAATCCTGAAACAACTTCCAGGACCATGGCATGATAAGATAGGTGGCAGCGTGTTCAAGGTCACTTTCTGCTCCGCGGGGTTGTTCTCGCTGCATACACGGCCTTCTTCGCCCCTCTGTCCTGGACAACTTCGTGTCGCTGGCTGTTCACCTTGGACATGCCTCGGTCCAAGGTTCTGATAGTCCCCCGTGCCGAGTGCAGGTAATGGAGAACTCAGACAGTCGCACTAGTTCAGTACGAGCCGCTTAGAAGCACGCTTGCCGTGCAGAGCCAGAATTCTGCGACGTCTACATCGTCCGATGTCCAGAAATGCAGTATCCTCATGCTGCAGCCCACAGAAAAAACACTCTTTCTAGTTGGTCCACGCCAACTCTTGCCATTCCTCAACCCGTCCTCTTTTTGCCAGATACTTTGGTGAAGCCATCATCGTCAACTTCAGGAATAGGCTTCTCCTTTGGCACCTTTGGCGCGCTGACCAGAGACGGTGCTTCGTCCATATCTTCATCGTCGTCAAACCCTTCGAATTCCTCTTCATCTGCATCCTGGTTCACCTCTTGTACGACGACCTTGTCCGTCTTCATGTTTCCCCGACTCTTCCACCTCTGTTCAACCTCTACTGCAGCCTGCAAACTCCTTGTCTCCATCATGCGACTCCGCACCTTGAGAATGTCCCCGGCGACTACAACCTCACTCTCGTCTTCGACATTGCACTCAAACTCATCGCCCATGATTTGAAGGAGGAAGAGCTCCAAATCCTCTTGGTCGGTCTCGGGACGAGTAGTCAGGAGGTCAGAGACAGCTCCTGCGAACCAGTCGCGCTTGTCTGCTGAGTCGGGTCCGCCCCATGCATTCTGCACGGCGATATGGAGGGGTTGCCAGAGGGAGAGAAGGTACCAGATCGAGTTATCGAAGGCCGTCTGGAGCTGTTCGACAGTGGCCGGGTCTGATGCGACCGCTTGGGTTCCAGACGAAGCAGGTAGCGAGGTCATGTTGGCAGAGTGTGTGTGCGGTGTATGAAGTCGACTTGCTCGTTCATGATGGCATATTTTTTGGTCGGAGATCTCGCAGCCAGACGCCGACATCTCTTGGCATGGGCGGGCAGGCCTGCTCGGAAGGGCGGGAGCAACAGCAAGGATGAGAGGAGAAAGCTGGGGAAGGCGGAATCGTCAGCCGGGTTTGCATTGTTCGCCGGCCTCGATGACGAAGTTGGTGAAACGCAGTACAATGTTTTGCGACGTCTCTGTATCGCAGTCGGGCGTGGGCGCGCGCAGCTGGAACATTTGTTCTCGAAGCACCAAATGACGCAGGGGCACCGTCGACGCGAAACCCTCTCTCCTTTTGCCGCGACACCACCGCGCCGGCCAGAGCTCTGATGAGCGTTGACCCGTCGCTCACTCGCACCACCCCTCCGCTGGTCATGTCCGCGACTAATCTGTTCCTGTTCCTCACCCGATAATCCTGCCTTCTACACACCGTCCTTACCTGGTACTTGCACTGCTTCCGGATCTCCACAGTTCGTCTCGTCGAATGCACTGCTAGGGCCCTCGCGAGCGGCCTGGTTGGATCCCCGGATACGAGGCTGATCGTCATCAACGGGACAAAATAACATGTGCTGAGGCCTGCTATCAGTTTCCTCACCTCCCTGCTAGCTCTGCCGACTGAGGCGACCAAGAGAGACGGGTGGTGGATGCAGAAGGTTCACATCAACGTGGAGGAGCTCATCCAACATGCCTTTTAGCACATTCGGCGTCGCCACGGCAGTGACTCCGTCCGTCATTGAGACCTACTTCTCCCATTACTTGAATCGAAAACCGCTCAAGCAGAAACCGACTGCCCACATCTCCTACCACGAAGGCCTAAAATTAATTCGTCAATTCCTCGACTATAGCTCCAAGCACACCGTCGAAGAGCTCCAGGCTTTTACCGCGCAATGGGTACCGGTACCAACGTGGGTTCGAACGCAGGACGTGGAGGTTCCGCCACAATTCCTCAAGCGATCTGCCAACCTGCTGCGTAAACAATTGGGCAGCGATGGCATGGAACAGGTGGGTGGTGAAAAGTGGTGGCAATGGAGGAAGCCGGACACCCCGCTGCATGCAGAGTGGATTGAAATGAAGAAGGACCACCAAGAGCGAAAACGAGAAGGAAAGCAGTGCGACCGAGTAATCCTGTACATTCATGGAGGCGCATACTACTTTGGCTCGGTCGATGAGCACCGCTACCAAATGCAACGACATGCTCGAAAGCTGAAGGCGCGTGTGCTTGCTCCTCGGTACAGGCTGGCACCGCAATTCCCCTTCCCTTGCGGACTTCACGACTGCATTGCAACATACTTCTATCTGCTCGAGCACTTTGACCCTAGTCAGGTCTTGTTTGCGGGCGATAGCGCAGGAGGTGGTATGGTTTTGAGCATGCTGGTCACACTTCGAGATCAAGGTTGCCCATTACCAGCAGGCACGATCCTCTTGTCGCCTTGGGTAGATTTGACCCATTCTTTTCCGTCGGTTGCTGGCGAGGGACTGGGCGATTATATTCCTCCTCACGGGTTCCATCACAAGCCGTCCATGGCATGGCCACCGCCTCCAACCACAGATGATGCGCCTAAGAAGAAACGACCTGAGCGAACATTCACACAGCCCGTGGAACAGCCATTCGACGTCGTCGAGCTACCAGCTTCCTATGGTACAGGGATGACCTCCAAACAGAGTCGTGATAATCTTCGGGGAGACGCACAGTCACAAGACGGCTTGGAAGGAGGCAAGGAAACTAAAGAGTACAATCAAATTCCAGGAATGGGCCCGCGACTGGAAATTGCAATTGGTGACAAGCTGGTCGTCATTCGCGAACAGTTTCAGATGTATGCGAAGAACGACCTCCTAGCACACCCGCTAGTTTCACCAGTGCAGCAGCCATCGTTGGGTGGCCTGCCGCCCATGTTGATTCAAGTCGGCGGAGCAGAGTTGTTACGCGATGAGCAGATCTATCTGGCGCACAAGGCTGCCAATCCGAGACAATATCCTCCCGGCGAAGCCGTCATGGAGCAATACGATCCAGAGCGCACGATCCTGAACCAGTACCCGGGTACCGATGTTCAATTGCAAGTGTGGGAAGATCTGTGTCACGTACCGCACACACTGTCGTTCACGCGACCAGCCAAGTACATGTATCGATCCGTCGCTCAATTCGGCGCCTGGGCGCTTGCACGGGCACAACACAAATCGATAGAGATTCTGGACGATGATGCAATTTCCATCATTAGTGACAAAGAGGATCCGAATGAGTATGGAAAAGGTAGCCATGAATCCTTCGGGAGTATTGGAGAGGAAGGTGTCACGTCTACGCAGTTCAAATTGACCTCGATAGGTGCAATTGGCAAAGCAGGAGACGACCTTCCGCCCTTCAAAGACCACATGATTCGACAGCGGGTCAACAGGCACGGCATCATCTTTCCTCTGCCCCGCGTAGCCGACATAGCTTGCCTGAATCTCGATCGCAACACGATTGGAGCTATTAAGACCGGGCCAGTGCATAAATGGCTGATGAAGCGCGGGGAGAACGATGTGAAGTTTGCGAATGATTACAAAAAGCTCCAGAAGAAGAAGCTTAAAGAGGCCAAGGACTACGATCAGCCGGAACCCGGCGAAAATCCTGCTGCCGCGGCTTTAATCAATCGCAAGATCAAGGGCAATGTGGCTGGCGACAAGAAGAAAGGGAAGTCTTGGGGTCTTGCTATGTGGTCGGGCTGGGGATCGTCGCACGATGAGAGTACAATCCAGAGGGAAGAGAGGCTACAGGATGCCAAAGAAGCAGACGCCGAGAGGCCTTCGAGTGTGGCTGCCAGCACAAGGACTGCCACTGGCGTCCCTCCGGGGAGCAGTAGCGCACGTGCGACTGCATTGTCTGGGGCAGACGTATCCCGGAGTGCATCATCTGCTAGGAACAATCTGGCCGTACCCTCGAACGACGCGGATGATGCGAAACGGCGTCGACGCTCCAGTGCAAGTGTGCTGGCTTCTGCCTGGGGACCTAAGCGCAATGGCTCTCGCACACGGAGTCCTTATCGCAGTGTCAAGGACGAGGGCCAGGCGAACAACGAGCGGGATGCAGGCTCGCCAGTTCCTCCTGGGTCGCCGAATACAATGCCGGACAGTCCTTCCAGGTTGCGGGATCTCAGTCGCCGTTCGAGCGTGAATTCAACAAAGGTCAACTATGCAAGGCCGATCAGCTCCGCAACGATGCTGTCAAGCAATCTGAACCCAAACGCGAAGAACGGGAAAGTGGAGATCGATGAGGCAGGCGGATTGACGAAAGCTGGTCCGGCCAATGATGATGCGCAGGTAAGTGTTGTGTGTTGTTTCTTGTTGTTATCGCGTGCATAAAACGATCGCCTTGTTCCCCTAGGCAAGATGATTGTGCGAAGGGTGCGGTGTGACGTCCGAGCGCATCGCACATGTTGGACTTAGAGTTTCATCCTTCGCGAGTCGCCGTCGTTGGGTTGAATCGCCGACCCAAGTTTCGAGTGCAGGGGCTGACGAATATCGTTCTGTGCCACAGGTTGAGCCGCCGTCGCCGTCTGTGCCTCCTGCATCGCAAGCGCGCAGCGCGCCCTCGATGTCTGACGCCGGCAAAGCTAAGGACGCAGTACGAGTGTCAGGGTCGGTCAACACCTTTCTGAACGCCGCCAATCCGCGCCCCCACAATGGCGTCGTGGCGTATCCCTTCAAATTGGGCAAGCGGAATGGCGATATCAGGAGCCCATCGCCGAACCCCTCGACCATGACACTGGATAGCAACGCCGACGATAGGGACTTCGAGATGCCAACCGGGTTTGGGGTCGTCACGCCTGTGGAGCTGCCAACCGAAGCGTATGCAGGCCGTGCAGCTTCCCCGGGCGTGGTGGAGACGCCGGCGTTAGTGCACTCGCCTGAAACCGACATCGTGCCGGCGGAACTGGCTGTGCCACAACCCACTCTGGATGCGACAGATACAATATCAACACGGCCGCGTCCCGTCTCTGCCCTTCCTGAGGGTACTCGTTTGTCCAACATCGCCGCGCCTGAAGAAGACCCCGTCAGCCCCCTCGAAACTCTTCCCACGCCTGGCAGCGCTACTTCCAACTCGTCGTTCAAGCAAACCGAATATCGATCTCGAGACTCACGACTGGGTCAATTGGGGGCCGACGGTATGCCTACACACGCTTGGCCAGAGAGCGAACCCGTCGCGGACAATGTAGTTCGACCCACGCCTCCGCCATTCAAGATCCGCAACCCGGTATACGATGCGCGAGCCCCGAATCCATCGCCTGCAGCGCCCGCTCCGTCTGCTCAATCTTCCAGCGTGCCGTTCAAGATGCGCCATACAATCTATGACTCCAAAGTGGCACCTCCAGGAAGCAAACCGCCTGGGCAACCCCAAAGTGAGCAATTTCCAGACGTCTCAGAATTACCTGCCTCGAACGGCTGGCATGTGGAGGAGAAGCAATCGATGCCGTCTGCAGATAGTACTGAAGAAGCGGGTCAAGTGCCTCGCGGTCCGTCGCCATCATCATCGGCATCGAAAGGCCAGCATACGGCAAAATCATCCACGGACTCAACAGAACTAAGTTCACCAGCTTACAAAATTTCGAAACAGGCCAGTACCAGTACCACCATCGATCAGCCAGCGCCCAGTCTGAACAGTCTCAACACGACCAATGGGCAAGCCAGCCTCGCATCGCCTCTGCCGATTCTACCTACACGCCTAACTGCGAATCGAGATTCTTCAACCGATGCGCCTCCCCCTCCCCCTCGCAAGGACACGCCGCCTCAAACTTCTGTTCCGCCAACAGTTCAGCCGCCACCTCTCCCATCGACGATCAGCGGAGACAACACGCAGCAAGCGGGCGACAGCCAGCTCAACAGTAATGGGCACGCTCCATCAGTGACAAAACCGGGATTGCCTATCCAGAAATCGGCCGACAACTTGAAGCTGGCCACACAGCTGCAGTTTCCGCAAAGAATAGATAGCATGCCTCGGAGTACAGATGGCACTGAGAGCAACTCGAGATCTTCTCCAACTGCTGCGATGTCCGATCTGTCCTTGTCAGGCTCCGCCCGTAACCGACCACAGACCGATCGCTCGTATCCAACGTCAACCAAAAAAAGCTTAACACTGGGAACGTCAGCTGCGCAAGCGGCGGTGCAAGCGCCCGCCGAGCTCGGGGACTCCTCTCCTGTTAGTCCTGTGGATCGAAGCACTATTAACGCTGCGCCTCCTCCGACAATCCCGAGAAGCAAGTTCTCCATGGCCAGTCGACGAACGAAGATCAACGATGCCGCGATCAGAGGGACTCACGCTTCGGCCTCCTCTCCTCCAACTATTGGCAACCTCACATTCGAACACGAACCTCTGAGTCCATTGGAAAGCGGAAGAATGGAATTAAGCAGTAGCGCCCGGGGGCTGGAAACGTCTTTGACTGCAGATGAGGAATTGAAAATCAAAGATTCAGTAATGGAAAACAAGATTTGAGAGAGTAATGCATGTATGGCATGGGGCGGGAAACATGGGAATTGCCACGGTATTTCGCATTTCCATCGGCGTTGGCTCGTGAGAAAGCAGAGCCGGATGAGTCTGAAGACTTTTGTCTCTTGTGTTTTGAATAGCTGTAAAATCACCGCAAGACATATTGTCTTGAATTGTACAGAGCACAGAATGTATAATATTGGTTTTACCAATTCTGTGAGGAGGCATTTCGCATCGAGCGAGGTCAGCTTGACGATTTTGCTACGACCTTGTTCTCCAGAGATCTTCGCACAAGCAGCCGACAAACTGATGATGATCAGGAATCAAGGCATTTCGGAGTTGTTTCCTCTTATGTCTATCACAACGAACATTAGTCGTTCTAGTTGATACTGCGAGTCAGAGCCCCTTATTCCTCCTTGGAAGAGTAGGGAGGGGCATCCTCGCCACGTGGAACGTCGTAAAAGCTCGCAATAGCGAAAATTGCTTCTCGTGTCGACTTGACGTGGCTAATGTGCGCCGTTCTGATGTGACGCCACGATCCACATAACTTCGACGGAAGTGTTCTGGCTGACTAGTTTGGTGGCGATTCATGAAGAACTCATTTCATTGTTGTTGTAAGCCACGTGGAATCAAGCTTCTGGAAGAGTTCAATGCCGAGCGGCGGATTTCGTGCTTGAGTGGTGAAGTCGTATCTGGCAAGTCATGTCGTGTTGTGTTCGACTTTTGCTGCTTATAGTCTTGCCTAGGTACGTTGAACAAGATGAGTCACTTAGGTGTCGAAGATGTGCCCTTGCTGTCACACAGTCATCCAAACACTGTTGTAATGTGCTGTTTCGTAAACATGACCCTTGCTATTGTAAGTGGCCAGCCAGTAATAAAGGCATGTGTTCTAGCAGGAGTCGCAAGAACAAGGAATGGCAATGTCATGCCACAGCGGTTCATGCAAGTCATATCCAAGCATTCCTTGATCAACGCCGGAGGTTCTGGTTTCGGCTTTGATTGCTCAAGTCGCATGACGAATGAAGGTCAAAGTCAAGCCTCTTTGTGTGGTTTTCTACCACGTCGAATGTCTGCCTGGGAGATATCTAATTCTGCCCGCAATCGTCAAGAAGAATTTGGCAATTCTTGCGTACATAAGCTGTAGATCTTGGTCCGAAAGATGTCGTGCAGCTCATCCTCAGCCGCTAGCTTGGCGTGATTGTTGGAGCTACATATGTCTACGAAAAGGAAATCAGTCACGTGTTCGTGGTTCTGTCACGAATTCTGGGCGGTTCGTCTCATCCTCTGCCTCACAAGTCATGCTCCCACTAACGATCGACTTAGCTTGGTCTAGGGGTATGATTTTCGCTTCGCATCAACTTCCTCTAGGAGGTCTGGCATTGTGAAAGGTGTGTAGTACTCGATGATATGTGATCAACGACCATCTAACAAGAACTCAGGTCGTGGGTTCAATTGTGAGTTCTCCAGAGCGTGCAGCGTGCAGCCGACCATGGTCTAATATTGTACAGCCCACAGCGTCCATGACAAATTCTTTTTGCCTGAGCTCCCAGTACTATCGTGAGCTTTCAATTTTTGATGACCTTCACGGCCAAAGACGCAGGCTCGAGCGGGAAAGCCAAATGTTCATATCTCATTTTGCTTGTTACGCAGATCTCAGTTGCGTGAGTTTACGAGATCGTGGGCCGTGGGCATTCGTCTGTTGGATCACGTGCGTCGGAGCCTCGGAAGGAAAAGAGTCCAAGTTTTGCCTTCGTGGTGCGACTTCAACTTGATGGCGAACATCGCGAACGTGAAATTGATCTGGCTGCTGGAAGACTTGTCCTGGTACCAGAATTCTGAGTCACAGTAAGGATATTCGCGCCTAACTCTCTTTGCGTCATTCGCAATTGCGTGAAATCGCAATCGTGGCTTCGACATCTCAAGGGCTTTTCTGACACGATACAAATACCGCGGTTGCTTGAACTGACCAGGAGAACGAATCGGAGCAAAGGATCCGGTGCAGAAGACACGCGGTTCTGATGAGGTGAGGTCGGAATAAGGCAGATTTCCAGCAAACAAGAGCAGCGGCGACTTGCATCCGCACAACATGGAAGTCGCAAACGCACCCACTCTTTTGCTGGTCGACCTGCCGCCAGCCGCACTCGCCGGCATCGACCTTCTCTCCTTCACTGTGACGCCTCGCTTTCGCGGCGTCAAAGACCTGCCGACGGGCTACCACTTCACCTTCTCCGGGACGAGCACAGCATTTTCCGAGCGACACGGATTGTGGTTTCATGTGTCAGGCGGGCCTACAGCCGAAGGCGTGCCTCTCTTCGTTGCGAAATGGGACGCTGTGAACGAGACACTCGGGGCCGTGACAGACGAAACAGATCTTCTTCGTTGGAGAGCCAATCTGGGATCGATCTGGAAAGAAGGCCTGACACCACATCGACAGACAAGTACCGAGACGAGCGTAAGCGCTGAAGAGGAAGTCAACGACTGGCCAACGTTAACGTCAGCCATCAACGCGTCTCTCTTGACGAGAATCACAGGTGGCGATTCTGGTCACTGGCATCTTACATCGGCAAGCTCAGCTCGGCGAGATATCGAGGACATCCCTGGGCTTGATGAACACGACAAGAAAGCGCTACAGGCAGACAAAGAGCTGAACTTCTTACCGGTTGACCTCAAGAAGACCTGGCGCGAAGGGGCAACTGGCCGCGAGAGAACTGAAGCAGCACAAGATCGTTCCTGGGCACTTGCACATCTGGTCGATACGTATTGCACTGATGGGGACATAACCCAGATCATCGGTGAACTACAATTCTGCTTTTTGATGATTCTCACAATCAACAATTTCAGCTGTCTGGAGCAATGGAAGCGGCTCTTGTCTTTGATCTTCACATGCAAGACCGCTGTCGCAGAGAGTCAGGACTTCTTCGTCAGCGCCATAGAAGCACTGCGGTTACAACTTCAGCATTGTAAAGATGCGGAAGGTGGTCTGATTGATCTTGCAGACGACGGTGGGTCCTTGCTGAAAGTTCTGCTCGTCCGCTTTCGAACTGGTCTGGAAGGCATGACTGGGACCGGTGTGTCGGATGTCGTGGACGAACTCGATGATCTTGAGGATTACCTGCGCCAGGAGCATGGCTGGACGTTGGGCGGCGACCATCTCCGATCCGGCGTTCTCGAGCTTGAAGATGGCGAGCAGCTACACATGGACAGTACCACTTACGATGAAGATGATGAGACTGGCGAATATGCACCACAAATTGTGGACCTGACGCCGGAGCAAGCAAAGCTCCTCAATATCACACCGGACGACGCCCGAAAGCTGGGCATAGATCTTAGCAAGGCATCTCTTGACGAACCTGCTTGTGAAGTCGTGGATTCGGATGAGGAGTCAGACAGCGATCGTGATCGTCCACTAGCTCTCGGTGCTAGTGACGAAGAGGAGATGCAAGATCTGGATGACATGGACTCTCGATACTGAGGTCGTACTTATTCTCGCTCTTCATCCCGTCAAGAAGTCAGCTGCTTGGAAGTGCATCAATCACAACAAATCACACTCATATACCTCTGCTGTGCGACCCGAGTTGGCGAAATGACCAGACGGTGATGGAGGTGAGACACGGCGACTTGCTGCATGCCGCTGCCGACCATTTGCTTGCACAGAGTACAACTACCAGTCTAGCTGTAGACGGATACTGCGGAAGATGGGAGGTACCTCCTCGCGTATCTGACCAGCATTCGAGAACCACATGGCGAGGTCTCCGAACCCTCCATCAGCTTTCCGCGTGCAGACCGCACAAGAAAGTTTCAAAGCTGTGCAGCTCCGGATTGAAGCGGAATGCCACGGGGTGTAGTCTTGGAGAACAAGGCCTCACAGGAGGAACACAGCTATGCGTGACCATCATGGTTTTTCGCCCGTATGTATCGTGTAGAACAACACGGCGCTGCGGGAGGTACCCAACTGCACGTCTTGTTGCCAGCGTGGCTAGACTGCACACTCGCCTGTCAAACCCTGGTCAAACTCACCCCTGTCAAATCCATGTGGCTCATCGAACGGAGTCAACAGACGTGAGAACAGTGCCTGTGCGCCAGTTCCACCAATTGTGTGGACCCAGCGCTGTCGCATTCTCATGCGTGGACGACTGACCAGTGGCAAGCTTGAGAACGTCTTTCACACAAGTCAACAACTGGGTGCGTTGTCAGTCTGGACGCCTTGCAAAAGAGAGGGCGTGTCGCGCGCCAGCGGATCTCGGACATCCCGAGAACAATTGACCACGCGCTGCCGCTTGCCTGGTCAGTATACTCGCCTATGCGAGTGATTCTTGATTTCAGGTACGGCTGACGGACACATGGCAAGCGGCTGACAAAAATTCCTGCCACGAGCTTGGTACTCATGTCTGCGCCCGGATGTGAGCTTGGTCGGCCGAAGGAATTGATCAGCAACATCTCACCGATGCCTGTCGCGCATCATTTGATCAGTGAACAGGAAATTTCTTGACAACAGACAGAATTTTTGCTAGTGCAGACGAATGTTCTTCTATCAGCATGATAAATTCTTCTTCTATTGCTTTCCAAGCGCATGGCGCCGACCCACAGCGAACAAAAAGCATCGGCGTTACGATGTTTTGTAAGCGGAGTTTAGAAATCCATCGTGTCATCGACCCTGGTCGCAGATCTGTCGCATGCCAAAAGAATGGCAGCCGAGCAGCCCTATGTCTGACCCTGACCTGTGGCTTGTTGGAACGGACGAGGAGCGAGATCGCTTCGTCCGTCCCGCTCGCTCGCACGCTCGACCCCGAATTCGTCGGTCGGTGTCCACGGAGAGCGCGGCAGCAATGCATACCACTTTCGCTCAGCGACAGGTATGAAAGCCTCTCCACATGATCAGATTTGGATTAGTTGGCATCCTGCGAATCTGTGCAAGCTTTGTGTCAATTTTGGGCGGCGTGCCTTAATGTAGGGCACCACGGTCGAGTGAAACGTCCTTCATCAGGCAGAGACGATGGTTAGGGCAAGCCGGCTGTTCACTGTGATGGTTTATTATAAACAAACGCTCGGCGTTGGGTTCTGGGCAACTACCTGATCGGATCTGCCCATGAACGGCCAAGCAACGCAGTTTTGTGAGGCTCGTGCGAGCAGGAGCGTAGCAACAGGCAGCTCTACCACGGACGACAGCATGCGGGAGCCTGAGAGCAGAAGCAATGTCTTGTTGTTGTATCCACGACTGCGACGGCACGGAGAGAATGCACCGCCGGCCCTCGCATCGCGTGGTTGGAGAGCGTCCGAGATTTGTGAAATTTTGATTGGAGGAGCCTAGCCAAGAGGATTCATGGTCAGTGGCTTTTACGGAATTTAGGTCGTTCCGCTTGCGCATTGCGGCCGAAGTGCATTGACACCTCGTTCTGGAGTTTACACGGCGTACCATGCTGTTGCTCCGGACGATCGACTCATCGCCCATGCATGAGCATACCGAAATGGAACACCGCAATGTCTCAGTCGCTGGAACTGGAAGTCGTGGTGTTGGCAGTTATGCTACAGTTGTGACCAAGCCTAGGGCCGACGTTGTGTGCATCAGGCCGGCAGGATGGCTGACCGGTGTGGATGTATCAGCCGTATGCAATGCTCGCACGCAATGCGACCTGGTGTGTGCAAGCCACAGCAATGCGATATGAGCATGTGAGACGAGAGGCTGTGAAACGGCGACGTATACCTATACGCCGGTACGAGATTGCGACAAAGCCTCAAGTTGCTGCCTGAGCGAAGCGGGTTCGCTGCGGCAGCGGACACGCACGCACTGTACAGTAGCTCGGGCACAGTAGGCTCGCTATACTGGGACCTGAAGAGGATGCCTGCGCGCCAAATGCCAATGACCTGGGGCAGCACTCGGCGAATGGCGCAGCCGGGGCCAAGCCAGAGGCGTGAATCATCTGGTATTGCGGATGAGCAATCTGCAACAGCGTTGCCCGCCATACTGATTAGACTGCCAGATGGAGCAATTGATGATTAGAAGCGCAGCAGCGCAGTTATGACTCTGCCCTACGGACGAAATCCTGCAGCAGTCCACGCGTGAGAGCGGGACCCGGGGCAGTGCTTACAGAGCTGCCCGAGTGACGGGCGGTATCGTCTGTAATCAAGGCGGACGGAGCCTGCGGACTGCCGTGATGCGATTGGGCCGTGGCGCTGCAGAGGATTCTTTGTGCTGACGAAAGACCAAGCACAAGGTTTGCAGGGGCCCGGTGCTTGCTTGCCGGCGGTGTTTAGAGAGACGACCGGAGATTCGGTTCCAAGGCACAGCATTCACGAAACATTAATACACTCGTCTGCTCCCAAACGGATTGCTCTTGGTATCACTCTACAACACTACAACACAAAGCACACTATCAGACAACGCTTTGATCTACCAGCTTTCGAAGAACCATCCACGCCATCATAGTACTTCGGCACTCGATAACCTAGCTCTACTCCGAACAACTCTATTGGCTTCGGGGTGACTCAGGCAGAACGATTTCGCCATTCCAGACCAGACTCACAACTACTTTGAGTCACTTGATCAATCTAACAAAATGACTTCCCGACTACGACTTCAATCTTCTTTCGAACCATTCCAGGCCACCGCAGTTGTCCAGACATCACCCACACTGCCACCAGCCAAGAAGCAAAAGATGTCTCTCACACAAACATACTACGTCGCCTCCACTGCGAGGACGAAGCTTGGACGTGAAGCAGGCCGTGCAGACCACGACTTGCGATTGCTCGTCGGACACGCCAACCTTTTGGATTCTCTCATGGTCGAGCTCGCCGACGCTGAGCGCGAACAAGAAGCGTGGTTCAACCAATCTGTCAAGAAGGCTTCCAAGTCCGAAGAGCCACGACACGTGCAATGGATCGACACTATCGCAGAGGATGACGAGGACGACTCTGATCTCGAATCCGACGACGGATCAGACATTTACGACGAGGACGAGGAGATGTTCAACATCCCACTCAGGAAGATCCGATCACCACCAGTTGAGATCTCATCACACGAGGTTGATGAGGATATGGAATCCGATGACGATGAGTACGAGGAGGAGCTCGCTCTCAGCCGAGTGCCGTCAAACCGCCACTCTCCTCCAGAACTCACTCTCGACTCCGACTCGGACTCCGAAGACGACATGCCATCCTCACCTGAGCAATCACTCTTCGAGCTCAGCGAAAAGGAACGACAACAAATAGCGACGACAGCCTTCTACGACTCCAAACCATCAGGAGCTCTATTGGCACAACAACATCAACAACCGATGATCGCGGCGTGCTAAATTGGTTCTTCTGTCACATTTTTGGGTTGTCGTCGAGCGTTTCAGCGAGCGATATGATTTTCAGCATGGAGTTTCAACGGGTAACGGTACCACAAAGAGATACCATGGGCGGGCATTATTTGATGTATGATTATTATTTGCATGGCAGTTCTCCCTGTTAAGGTTGAGAGAACGCCTCAGCGGCGGGATGAGGTTGATGGGGAAAGATCTTTACTCGAAACAAATCGAATCTCAATGTCACACACACACCACACTCTACTGTCTCTCTCATCTTCTCTCGTCTTCCTCATCTCCACATCGTATCAAGCTTGCGAAATCGATAAGGAAAGAAGAAAAAGTTTCTTCGCCCTTGTCGGCGATACCGTACCAATACTTCCGCCCATCATCCGCAAAAGAACCTCAACTCACTTTGCCATCGCATCACATCATTCCACGCTATGTACTTTCCGCCGCCACGCCGCCGCAACGAATGTACAGCAAGTACTTTTCCTTCACAGAGAAAAAGAAGCTCGCTGGCTCCGGCGTTGCTACGGCGGACGAGGCCGGCAACGCGACAAGCACGAGAATCGCGTCGAAACTCAATTGAACACGTGCGTAAGAGCCTTTTTTTGTGCACTTGGCCCCCATGCTTGCACAATTTACTTGGCGCCTGGCTGGGCTGGAATCTCGACACACCCGGTTTCCAGAACAGCGGTGTCTGATGATTATACGATCACATGCGATGATTACGATGATGGCGGAGGAGAATCAAACCGGGGTTCAATTTCGCATGTCTCATCTTCATCTGAATGAGCCGGGTGAATAGTCTTTCCATGTCCCGCCGATGGCTGAACGGCGATGGAACAACGCATCTGTCGCATGAGAGACCAGACCCTTTGAATTTTGTGCAGGCAGGGCATGGATTTTACTCCACAGTCTGTGACCTCATGGTTCTTTGCTCCCTTGGAACTTCGGCGTTTTCTTGTTTTCCGACCGCCGATTGTCAGGTTGTTGGTTGCTGTGGCATGATCCGTACATTCTAGAGATTCGAGACTCTGATCATCTGAGAGTGGGATGGCTGTTCGCTGGCGGTCTAGCTACTCTTCCTGTTTCATCTTACCGATTGCTCGCCAAACGAGGCCTTGTTCGTGGAAAGCGTATCGCGTACGCGCAAGTTTCACCAGAGAGTGGGCTCATGAGGCTTTGCGCCTACGCGGTGCCCACGCGGCCATGGTATATGTTAACGCACAGCTCTTCGACGAAACTGCTTGCGCAGTCGCGCTAGTCGTGATGGAAAGTACCTATGTGGGCAGCTAACAATGCCGTTTCTGCTGCCTACGTTTGGGCCCTCCAAGACATTTCGGCATATCTATGATACCCCAGCCATGCAGTCGATTCACCGCAAAAGCAGGCGGTGCAGCATACGATGATCATGCGAAGGACGATGCTCAACACACCATAACGATCTTGACAGCGTACCTGCAGTGCTGCGTTGTCAAGTGAAGGCAGACCCTGCGGCCACTTCTTGCCGTATCGATGACAGCCAGACTGGTGAAGCCCTCATGGCGAGCACAGGACATCGATCGCACAACGCAACCATACCACGTCAAGATCGATTCCTGATCCGTCGCTGCCAGGTAAAGGTGTTGTCGAATCTCTTGCGCGGCCGCCTGCCTTGGAAGTAACGCTTGGCCGCCAAGGAAACTGCGCACGCATTGTGGGATATATCCATCACCTGTTTTCTATGTCATCATACTGAGCCTCGACCCTTGGCGATGTTGGCGGTATGTCGCGTCGTCCGAACGACATGTCATGCCAGGTTCATGCCAGGAAAATATAGGGATGTCCACTCTGTCAAGTTTCGACCCTCTTCCTCCTACGTCGACGGGCATGAGATGAAACACATAGCTGAGGTGGACATCGCAAACAATCGAGGAAGATCATGATGCTTCAATCAAATGCTGTCGTAAAATGCTAAACGGTATAGTACATCGTAGATGCCATCGATGCTGATCGGTAGAAAAGGAAACAAGAGAATCTCTGAGCATTAGTAGACTCTGCCGGGTACATCGTTTTCCATCATATCGTCTCTTGCACGAAGAGCTCCATCTTGCCCATGTCGACTTTGTCCTTGGCAGCCGCGGCTCGGCATATAGTAATCGCCATTTCTAGATCATCGTCGTCTGCCATGGTGACAAGGTCGCCTTCTTCGTCCTTCATCTTCAGCTTGAACGTGGCTTGGAATCCAAACTTCTTCTGTATTTGACCCGAAAGCTCCGTAAACGTGACAGTCGGGGTGGTCATCACATATCTCATGTCCTCCGCATGTACTTTGATGCGTATCTTTCTCAGCTCCGGCGCCCGCTGAGACTGGGATTTATGTCGCTGATGCATCGACCTTGGCGGGATGATTTCAAATGCCAATGGAGATTCCGCTTGGGAGTATTGGTCATCTTCTTCTACCTCCGCAATGGGTACTGGTTGATTTCGTTGGACACTGGATCTTGTGCGCTGATGTGAGGACGCTTGTTGCTGCATGACTTGCTCGCTGTAAGCTGCAATCGGGTCTTCCTCTATCCGCACTTCCGGGATGTCTCGATGACTTGATCGCTGTTCGTATTCTCGCCGTCTGCTGTCGCTGCTTCGATTCGATGCGCCGGAGTACTCTCGTCGCATAGGAGGACGTTCTGACTCTGCCCGCCTGGGCGCGGAGCGTTGCTTGTCGGGTGACTTCTGCTGCTCGAAGGCTGCCACGCCTAGCTCGAGACGCAGTGCCTTGGCTGCAGGTCGTGCGGCCTGTAGATTTGATCGCTCGGAGCTGGTACTTTCAGTGGACTTCCGTCGATGGTGGCTTCCATGTGCGGAGTCCGGTCGCTCGATCTCTGGTGGCGGTGTAGGTGGGAACACATCTCTGCGGAGCGGAGGCTCGGACTGCTGTCTATGTCCGCGACTTCGAAGATCCGGTCTGACAAGATTGAGTGCAGCATAAGACAGCTTGTCAGTTGGCCTGTCGTCCACACCCGCGGCTGCCAATGCTGCAGCCCGTCGAGGGTCAGAGTTCTGATATTCTTGCGCTGCCACCAGTCTTGCTCTGCCGAGGTAGTCCTTCGCCTTCAAGTTCTTCACCTTCGCCTCGTTTGGTCGGTACACTATGCCCACTGGAATGGAGAACACAGTGTATCCTTCAGCCTGCTCGCGTATTGCCTCATCTATCACATCGTGATCTGGTACTGTCTTCTCCCGAGTCGCGAATATGAGGTCCTGCATTCCAGCTTCTTTCTGTTGTAGATAGATGTAGCATAGCCCGCGGTTGAACAGCACTTCGCATGAGTATAGCTTGAACTTCAAGCCGAGTTGCTCGTAGTCGATGTTGTTGTTGCCGCGGAGGTACAGTAGGGTGTCGTTGAAGTTGGCAAGCGCTTCCTCGAAGTCGCCCATGAGGAAGTTGCTCACTCCTTGCTGGAAGTAGGCAATCGCGAGGTACTGGTCGAGCTGTACCGCGCGCTGGTAACACTCCACGGCTCTTGCATGCTCTCCCAAGGTAGCGTGGATGACGCCACAATTGAAGAGGATCTTAGAGGTGTCCGAGATCTGCTCGAAGCACTTGATGGCATTGTCGAACTCGTTGTTGTCGTACGCTGCCAGCGCAGACACCCATGTCTCTATCTCTTGCTTGAGCGACATGATGCTTCCTGCGCACAGCCACGCCTCGCGGGATCTCTACGGCGTACGGTGCTGTGGTGTATGGTGTACTCCGGTGGAGCTCCGTCCTGAAGCTCAACAGTAGTGGAGCGCTCGTGGGGTCGGTTACACATAAGTTGGTTGCGGTTGTTTAGACATTGCAGATCAACGACACTAATACGCGGAGGCAGAAAGAGAGGCAAACTCACGATCCAGGAGGCTTTACGATATACCAGAGCGCACAGCAGCCACGGAATGGCATGCGCGCGTAATGAATGGCTCCGACATTGCACAGAGCGGTGGCTGTCTTGGATCACAGACGACGAGACCAGCCAAGCGGGAAGTGGGTGGAGTTGGGGCTTACGGCGCTTACGACACGATAAGCATCTGGTAAATTCACTCAAGATCTCTGGAACCACTCTCTCAACGGAAGACTCATTTCTGGCATGCGACGGTCACTGTTGTCATCGTAATGACCTCCATCGAGACATTGTCGCTATGCAGTATCTACGTCTCTGTTCCGCAGGCCTCAACTGCTGCAGCAATGGAGAAGATGTGTTACTACTAAATACTCCCTTCGACTCGATAACTCTTTCGAGGATATCCGGCTACAAATCTCGCTCCTCGCTATCCCATTACAGGAGCATGAAATCCCACCCCACCGCTAGGGTTCATCAGCCGCCAAGTGTGGATTCCCCTGGGCGCTTAACCCTGCCCTCGGGTTGGTCCTGCCACACGTGCAAATGCTTCAACGCCCTCCACTCACACGTCGCAAATGCAACGAATGCATCGAAGCGCACAACGCCGAATCCAAAGCTACCAAGTTTAGCTTCGCACATGGCCCTTCCGGCTTGCATGACAAGGCGTTCCGTGACGGAGGACTGTCCACGTTGCGCAGAGAATGGCTGCTCCTGTTTGGCTTAAAGCATTCGACCTGTCCGCATGGGGTGGTGGTTGATGCTGCAGGAACGGACACCGTCACACCAGGTCTGTCCACATCACCACGTTTGTCGCGTGATGGGGCCATACATTAGCTTGTGATCAGGAACGCCTCGTCGACTATCTAGGAGATGCTTTTGCTGTCTGGACTCGATCGTGAGAAGAGTATCTCGGAACCGAGCCTGTTATCACGATTCCACCAAGGTGCGCTGTTGTCGACGAGGTGCTGCAGAGGTTGTGGACAGTGCTATCTTCCCTCAAATAACCGCACACCTCTGGCCCTCCTCGATAAGGTCAAGCACCGCGCAACGAGATGATGCTGAGAACATTGTTGAATAACCCGACATGCCATTCCAAGACATGTCCGCTCTATCTCACATGCAAGCTTTCGTTATACATCGCTGATTGTGACGCCAGCTCAGTCGATCTCATAATCGTCCAGCATATGAACACCCATTCATGCAATCTCCACCCTCGAATGCACCCATGCGCCAGCGCAATGCCACTCTGCCAAATTTCCAAACCACTCCAAGCCGTCCAAATCATGGGGTATCATTAAAGTCTTATGTGTGTGATGACGGCCCGGGACGTGCCCAGTGTATACAAACTGCTACCAAAAGGAGGAGAGCCGGTGCCAAATAAGTTGCTACGGCTAGTCAAAGGATACGGCACGCATTGGTTTGATACCTGACAGCTGTCAGTCTTCGTCTTCGTCGTGCCATGGAGAGCGCCTGGCGCAGACGGTCAGTGCTAGCTCGATGGACAGCGCAGCTGAGTGCGACGGCACAAAGGCGTAGCTTCTTCGACTATGGACTTACCATCTTTGCGATTCGATCCTTCGAATCCAGGTGGCCGTTATCTTCAACCTTTCCCGGACTGTACGAGTGCCCAACAGCTTGTACTTCTCGTCTTCGCTGATCGGCAGGACGCTCGCGAACCAGTACGGGAACGAAGAAGCATCCTCCGGTGGCTGACCATGGATGTCTAGGACTCGCTGCTGCAGCCAGTTTGCGCTTCGTGCTTGCATCTTTGTGACGAATTCCCGCCCGAGATCGTGCAGTGCTTGTGTCGACATTCGATTGATCTGTGCCGCAGTGTCTTCGTCTGGCATCGCTGGCGCAGACGTCTCTTCCGCTTCAATTCGCTCCTCTTCGGCCAGACTGACGTCGTCGATGCGCTCTACTTCGCCGACCGTGTACCCATCAAGCGTGCCATGCGCTTTGACCCGGAAGCGATAGAGGCCTCGCGTTTCTATGAGGCTAGTGCCATCGGCCAGAACTTGGCAATGCAAGACATGCAACATTGTTCCATATTGGTAGAAATGCACAGACCCAAGCTCGCCTTGAGGCTCGCTATATCGGTTGTACATGAGCATGCCGAATTGACGATTGCTTTCCATTGCGCGACGCAGCATTAATCGGTATCGCGGCTCAAATATCCTGAGAAAGGTCGGCTGATTCGGGAAGCCGAGCGTGCAGACGAAAAGTGGCACTGAGGGTTGCCCTTCGCCGCCACGCTCTTGTAACGCAACATCAGCTGCTCTGGCCACCATTGTGTCATGCCAGCAGCCATCGAGGAACTCGACAAGTGCCTTGTTGCTAGGTTGCCGTTGTAGCGAAGGAGGGATCGCAAGGCTCCGTCGACAGACGGGGCAATGCTGAGAATGATCCAGCACACGGGCCATGCATTTTCGACACAAGGTGTGTCCGCAGTAAGTGGTAACTGGATCAAGCATCACGTTATAACAGACTTGGCAGTCGACTTCCTTTTGAGCTGCTTCCAGAACATCTTGTATAACGTTCGCGTCCATGACTTTGGTAGCGTCCGTTTCAGGAGGGTAGACAAGATCAGTCTTGCAGTCAAGGAGTCCCTGAGCAGCAAGCTTGTATGTGGCGATCAACTTGCCCATGGATATGTCCGTAACAACGTTAGGCTTCTCCGACTCCGGCTGGGAACTCATTACTTCGTCATACCGTGCCGCGTCGTCAATGAGCATCGGCTCACTGTCCACAACGGAGCTGTACCGCGCGACGACCTCCGCAATAGCATCCATGATCTTCGACATGACCACATCGATGCTGCAGTCCGAAGCGGGGTGCTCCGAGCCGCAATTTGCGAACGGACATTGTAAACCGAATCTTCGACCAGGTAGATCGGGGTAGGAGATGTGTTCTCGTTCGTGCGACTCGGGCAAGCACGTCTTGCATAGCGAATTGCCACATGGGAGAGTGACAGGATTTCTGAACGGCCTCGAGCACTGTGGACATTGTATGAGACGCACCAGTTCTCGCGCATCTTCGGATGTTGTTACGGCCGGGCTGTCGACATTGTTCTCCTCTGCGCCGCCATCTTGACTCATCAAGTCTTTCTCAGCGGGCGTGACCAGGCTGCCGGGCTGGTCGTCCGCCAGCGTTTCGTACGTGGAATCCAGGTTGCCGCAGTTGCCGGACTCATGCGCTGAACCTGTGCCTATACCGCTCTTCCATGTATCCCGGTTGTCCAGCTCCCCGAATGTAGCCTCTCCGCGATGTGTGTGTCGCTTAGTGTTCGCGGTCGTGGGTGATGTTGTTGTTCGCGGGTCGGAGGGAGGATATGACGTCTTCGGCAGCCTCTCACAGAGACGTGTAATGGACTTTTGAACCACGGTCTGGGGGGCGACCAGAGTTTGGCGACGCTGTGGTCTGGCGGAAGCGTTGCAGACTAGTGGCGTGCGAATAGCTGGATGTGGTATGTGTGCAGACCGTCAGTGAGAAAACGTAGAGAAGAAAGACGCAAGTGGTCTGGTCATCGACTCTGCTCTACACCATCAACCCTGCTTGGGATGCAACCGTCCGGATGAGCAAGGATCATCGAGCAGAACAGAATCCATCCGCCGTCTACAAATCATCGACTTGTCCTCAGGCAGCAAAGTGTCTGATGACATGCAAGCTGGGTGCAGAGCGATGTCTAGCGTTGTTACGATGAGCGCCAGCCTCTCGATCGCAGCTGCGGATCGGAGACTTGCTGTGGAAATCGACGACTGCACGCGTACCCATCGGCCGTAGGATGGGACGAGCACGTCTGCCGAAAATACTTGCATTTGACACGGCCGCTTTCGCCGTATGTCGCAGCCTCTTCACGCGCTGCAATATTGTTCTGTTCGTGCAAAGTATGAGTAGGCAGAAGATGAGGTCTGGACTGGACTGCCTGTGCGTGCGGCGCTCCCGCGAATGGCTGTTAGAGCGTCTAGTTGGCCTTGGCAGGCTCGAATCTCAGGCACCGCGTGTCGAAGTCAACCACCGCTATCTTCACTCGCCTCGCATTCTTGGCCTAATCTATTGGTACGTACGAAACGCAGGTGGGCCTCCATATAGCCCTTGCCACGGATGTCAAGCCAAACATCCTCCGGACATTTCGTATTCAGTACTGTTCAGGTATTCGATGATGACAAGACTCATCCACCCATTGCCACCTCGTCGCAGGGAAAGGAACGAGGTTCTAGGCCTGCGTGACGGCGCATTAGTGATCAAGAACACTTTGGACCTCCCCTCCGTGACATTTGGCTTGTCGACATGAGGTCTTGTAGCAAGACAGACGACGATCCAGCCTTCATCGGTCGAATACAACCACCCAGCACATGCAGCTCCTTAACTAGTCCGACGCAACTTGAGAAGGTCAAGCAATAGCTCCGCATCCGCGCACGAAGTATGCTTTGCGGCCAAGCCATATTAAAAGGCGTCCTACTAAAATATGTAATCGAGCTGTGGCTCGGAAGTTCGAGTGTCCGGACATCGGATTCGCAAAGATGCACTCATATCGCAGGTTGCTTCTCTGACAAAGGCCCAGCCGAAGTGGGTGCGTCTGCAGTCCAATGTAGCCAGCATATGAGCGATCTCGAAGGTCCGACCTTCAAGTGGTCGTAGGTGTCAGGGCAACGGCGTGGTGATGGTACTGACTGCTAGAACGCCTCAGAAATTTGACTCCATGGCTTCGAACTTCGTGCTCTAGCTGGCCCTGCCCCGCCTGCTAAGCGGCAATTGTTTTCGGGCCCGGCTGTTCGCCTGCGATGCTTCTGTACTAAGTCGGCTGGCTGTCGAAGAACGGATACAAAATGAAGTGGAGACCTCACATAATGTAGATTGGCACATTCGCTAGAAGAAGACACTGTTCCGTACACGAGCCAAAGTGTCCCCTCACCCCACAAACTCACCAACCACAATCCCCAAATCTTGCGTCCCCACAACCCTCCCATACCTCCTCACAGCCTCAACCAAAGCCACGGCACTAACCATGATCTCCTTCCATCCCTCCTCTCTCCCCAGCCTTGAACCCTCAAACACCAACAAATCCCCAACAATCCTGGCCACCACTCTTCCATGTTTCTTCTTATCCTCCACTTTCGCCCCTCCAGAAACTTTATCTTGACTCCAAAAATAAGTTGTCTTCTTTTGCTGTCGGTTTCGAATCGTGTTGTCAGTCACAGGAATCGTGGACTCAAAGTTCCATCTGTCGTGGATGAGACCACTAGAATGGGTAAGAGTCGTAGGTCGGCCGCGGATGGTGAGATCGATAGAGGAGGTTATGATGCCGTGGTGGAAGCGGACGTGCGCTATGGGTTGGGCAGTTGACGTGCGAATTTGTAGGATTGGTCTGCTGGAGAGGAAAGAGGGAATGTGAGGGCTGGATTCGCGGGTGAGAGTGTAGAGGATGGAGCCTGTCTGGGCATCGCAGAGGGCGTCTTGCGTGAGACGGAGTGGTGGGATTGAGCTCGAGCTCTGGAAAGCGTTGCTTTGAGTTTGTGATAGGGAGTGAGGGTTCGAGTGTGGTGGGAGAGGATCGGGTTCGATTGGCGTGATTGGGGCTTGCGGATATTGTGCTTGCTCGTTGCAGTATTTCTGTGGTTCTAGAGGTGCCGAAGCTTGATTCCAGTAATCCTGCGCCTGTGCATCGTGAGGAGCTTTGTTGTACGAAGCTTGTGTCGGTGCATAGATGTTTTCTGAGCCCTGCTTTGCGAATGTCCATGGCTGAGCGACTTGTTCAGCCTTGTTGCTCGTACTCCGCCTTTTGGCTTGCTCAAGTGCGTGTGAGAGTGAGATGGCCATTTGTGCCTTAAGTTATTGCATCCATCCTTGTCGCATAAGGTTTTCAATTGCTCAGGTGATTGGCACCTTGTATCCGGTGCACTCTGGAAGCAAGAAGTGTTAGGTCGCGTGTTACCTTCGACTCGAGCGTGCGATGCAGACCACACTTTATCGTTTTGCTGTGAGATGACATCGAGGTGCATCGCTGTGCAGCCAAGCCGCTCCTGCTGGCGATCCTTTGCTCACACTATGGATGGAGGATCTGCTGTGCCCGGGTTTGTACAACACACAACGGGATGGAACTTGGTGTACATTTCGTGAAACCGCCGCGGTCGTGCAATATCGTACATGTTGCAGCCGTTGCTGGGACTTGCTTATTTCTCGTGCAGGCGAATTCCTTCTTTGCCGCCACGCCATCTGCTGCCCAGCACAGGTAAGTCCCGGTCGATTAATTCTTGCTCTATGATTTTCCATCTTCCAATTTGCTTCTCCTTGTGTACCGGTGTTCTTCGCGACTGGTACACAGTCACATTGGGCAATGTCGCAGCAAGCTCTTGAACCTGAGGCGCCTGTGCCAATTTCTTCGGCTTTTCCTTGATCATGAAAGCCTCATAGAGCTCGTTGAGGGTTTGAGCACTGTTCATCTGGATATCCGGGATTCGTTTGCCAGACAGCTGCATTGTACGCTTGAGGAACTGCAGCATGTTAGCTTCGCACTGCCAGCTACGAAAACTGTGCACTTACCGCAAGCTTCATCCCCGGGTCAAAAAATGTGAAGTCAACCCAGTCAACTTCCGCTTGAGATTTTTTGATTTGCATCAGCTGCACCGCCAGGCTTTCTGGCGTAATGTCTGCCTTCTTCGCTGCCGCAATCTTCTTGCCTTTCTTCGAAATGCGATAGTCCGGCTCAATGCCTGTCAGCACGGCCGCCTCGTCCTCGGGACTTGCAAAGCGAACTTCCAGTCCACCATCAGATCCCTGAGAGAGGCTGGCCCTGCCGGTGCGTTCGATTGAGCTGTTGTTGGGATGCGCATTGCACACTTCCATAGCGCTGCGACCGGCCTTCTGTAGCACAGCAATCTCGACGGCGACGTTGTGCAAGAGACGCTGCCACTCAGGATTTGTAAGCTCCGCTTTCTTTTGGGGCAGGAAGCTATCCTCATGTCAGCGTGTCCCAATAATGCGCGCCCCAATGCACTCACCCTGTGTACTGCTCGCCTCTGTCCAGACGCTTCTTCGCCCATTGCTCGCTACCAACTCGCTCTAGACCGTCCCAGGTCGAAGATGGCAGATAGTCCGGGTGGGTAGCAGGATCGTAGCGTTCCGCAGGCCGATAAGTCACCCTATTGATCTTGACCTGCTCTGGTATTTTTGACGTGCTGGCTTCACTCCCTTCTTCCGCGGCTCTCGCCTTCGCTTTCTCTACCTGTCTTGCCTTCTTCTCTTCGGCCTTTTTGTCGCCAAATAGCAGGTTGCTCATCTTCTTGTACAGGGGGATATCGGCGCGTCGGGGGGTGGTCGTGTGCAGCTGGCGTGCAGCGTGTGCCAGGCATGAGCGGCAAACATATCGTTGGGTCGCTGGGTCAGCGGCGACCCTCAATGCCTGCTCGGCGATTCGTAGATGGTGCATGATGGATGCGTTGTAGATCGAGAGGCATCGATTGAGCTTCGGAGGAGAGATGGTTGCCCGCAGTGCCAAGCCAAGCCTGCTCTCTCACTTCACGATGGCCCTCCTCGTATGGAACAACACCACACATCACTCAGCACGAAAACAATCCACATTCTGCGCGCTGGTGCGCCTAGTCTTAATGATACTGGGGTCTGTTGCAGCTCTTGATGCGCATGCCAACACCACGGAATACACGTCTTACCGATGGTCAACCACCTCCCGCATCACACCTTCTCCAAGCTGTCATAAATTCAACCACGGCAGGTACATGTCGTCTGGCATGGACTGATCTTGCTCTGTAGATTTTGTCGGTCTCAACCATCTCCAACAATATCTTCTCTTCTTTTCCAGCAATCTCTGTCTCATTCTACTACACACCTCCTCATGCGCATGCCTCCGGCGCAATGATCACGGCGAACAATGTGCTCGTCGGCGCTGTATTGTACACCTTTCTGCTGCCATGCTTCATCGTTCCCCTATTCGTTCGATTCGTGAGCCGACGACGCACTCCCCGACGGTGGGCGAAAGGCAAAAAAGGCCGCAGGCTCGACAAGAACGGCATCCTGCTGACCGGGACGAGTGCATCATGGCGCCCACGCACCCCGTGGTGTCACCTGAAGCGACACCCTACCTACGAGAACATTTCGACCACGAAGGAGACTTGCAGCCAACATTGGCCCCTGCCAACACCGTGACCAGTTTCCAAGGATTCGACACAGACTCTGGATCCGAGTATTCAGAACCGAACACAGCATGTGAAGATCAGGGTCTGTCATTGCCTACTAGACAGGCCAGGTCGTCCTCAACTCCTGCGAGCGGTCCTCGTAAAGGCATACTGCAGTCACCACGACCAAGAACGTCGTCGGCCGGGGATGCCAGGACCGACAAGCAGAAGAGAGCACATTTTGACGAGCATTTGTTGGAGCTGGATGCAGCTATTCGTCGAGCCGCGACGGATCCATCTGATCTACATTCAACGAGCCCTAGCGGCCTGCATTCGCAGGGAGGGGCTGCGGAAGCACTGCCCAGAGCGTAGAGTAGCACAGGACTAGAGTTTCCGACCGTCCTCGCAACATCTACCTTCAATGAGGATGCTGATGAGGACGACGATTACGCCCATCAACGATGGATGATCGAGGACTTTTACGACCCAAACAGAGGTCACGTCAAAGAAGCTGCGCAGAATGGCAGCGAGTTCGATGGGGATGATCATGGTGCTGAGGCAAGCCAAGCTTCTGACGACGAGGCCAGTGTGTACTCCGACGTTGAGCGAGTTCCTGACCTCGATGACAGCGTAGAGACTCCTGCATGGAGACAACCTCTCTCGGAGGGCACGGCTTCACTGGAAGTTTGTACGAGCGATGAAGCTCACAGTGCTGAACACGCAAGCGACCAGCACGACGATACATCTACCCAGCCTGATACTGAACCTGATAACAGCCTATCCCGCGACCCTTCTGTTCCACGCTTACAGTTCTTGGGGCTCTGGGAGGAGCAAGACTTGACACCACAAGAGAGAATATACACGATGCCGTCTATCACCGAAGAAAGTCTGCGCACTTACGAGAGCAACGTTGAAACATACGCAGTGCCGAATCCCTGGCAAGGAGAAGAGAGCTTTCCTGCATATCAAGAGCCAGAAGGCCTCTCGGTGACTGGAATGACTGAACTCGGTCTTGAGCGGGTACCCTCTGAGACGCGATCTGCTCCGGCGCCTGTGACCCGACGAGGACGACGTATGACAAAGACTGAGCAACCTCCGCGACACTCGTCCTTGACTGAAGTCCACAGGATGAAAGAGCGAGTAAGGAGGCCGTCGTTCGTATCAACGAAAGCCAGCCCCGCGCGGCCAGCCATGGCGACAGTCAGCGTCAAGACTGCGGAGTCACCTCGTCTTAACCCCATCTACAACCACCCCGGATCTGGGTACCTGCCTCTGCATCAAAACAAAGAGCCGGTCAAAACAGCGCAAACGATCAACTCGGACCTTGGCACGTACAAAATGATGTGGGAAGACGAGCCATCCCCCGGCTCTGGAGGCAGTACTGGAACGATGCTCGGACAGCCTTCCTGCGAGGAACACCTCTTGCCTACAGATCCTCCTGGCGATGACCGTCTCGTGGCACCAACACCCATGTTGGAGAAGGTGAGATCTCGACTTACAGCATGGACTTGGGAAAGGCAACAGTCTCCAGAGAACAATGCTGGCTGGCTGCCGCTTCTCGATACTGCTGGTCAGCGCCGTGCGATGACATCCGATCACAGTGACAGTCGTGAACTCCCACCTGGCCCACCAAACACTGCTCTACACTCTGAAGAGCCTTCCCGGCCCCATTCACCTGGCAAATCTCCCATGGAAGAAGATGATGAGTCAGACCAGCCGATAGAGATCCGCAGCAGGGGTATTATCGCCACCAGTCCAAAGCTTCACACAGCCCATCAGACACGCGCTCCATCCCCAGTGAACGAGGACAGCCTCGCACCTCCTCGAAGGAACAGTCTGCCTGCCTCTCCGACCATACCCCAGCTGTCGAATCTTGCACTGGAAGATTTGCGATTCGAATCACACCGCGATTCAGTGGAAATTACTCGCGGACACATATGGATCGAAGGGCTCGATCATCGCAATCGAGAGAGACCGAACAGCCTACTGCTGGCAGCGAGAGACTCGTTCAAGCTGGCCAAGAACAGGATTGACGCCCCATGGCCGAGAGCCACTGCTTCAGAGACGCAGGCCTTTGCCAAGCCAGCTGGTTCCGCCATCCAGTGGTCGCGATTCGGCGGACTGAGTCCAATACCTGATGGCAGTCCACCCAATGCTAGGTCAGGTAGTTTCGAGCTACCAAGCACCGAGTCCAGCGTGCAGAGTGGTAGTTCGAATGCGCAACACCAAGGATCCGCAGATGTCAGTCCACGCAAAGTCCCAGACCAAAAGAACATCGCAGGAGCTAATCCACAAGTCGCCGGGAGTGTGGAGCTCCAGAAACGTTTGGAGCGACTAGAACAGCGAGTCCAGGTCTTGGAAGACAGAATCGCACTCGATCGACGGAAATGATTGCCATTGATACTTCTTCCAATGTGGTCTGAAGAGCACAATTGGCTTGGTACCTAGTAAATCTCCAGCTCTGTATCCTCAACGACATGAAACCTGAGACGGGGCCGCCTGTGATGGTCAGTTCTTGTCATTCCCATATCTGTGTCATGGCCGTCAGTATAGAGCTCTTCTGTATTCGCTCTCCCGTCTTTGAATCGTGCCCCGCAGAGAGGAGCTGAGCACGTACTCAAGATCTCATTCTGTGTGTGACTGGTTCTGTCTGTCTCCGCGAACGAATATCGCAACATACATTTGAGATGATAGTCTTCCGTGGTAATTCTCCTGTTTTATAGCTTGTGAGAAACCCATCATCACGCCCCAAGCCCTCCAGGACGCCTCGCTCCTCCTCTGTTCTTATCACCAAATGCTGCCGCAGTATATCATGCTTGCCGTCAGAACCAAAGTTCGCCGCATAAAAACGACACCACCTCATGTACTCGCTCAATCCACATCTACGCCCTTAGTCTTCAAATCCTTCCTCGCTTCCTGAATCTGCTGCATTAATTCCTCGTGCGCTTCGGGGACATCGTTGAAGGTGAGAACGCCGTAGCCAAGTTTGCCGAGGAGGTAGGCGCCGAAGGAGATGAGGGCCCAGAAGGGGAGCTTTGTATCAAGCATCAGTAAGACAGACATTCCAGCAGATGGACTGCGTTTCTTTTTGGGTCAGAAAAGGCAAGAGATGGGACATACGTAGGGTATTATTTCTGTCTGAATCGCAGCTGGAAGAGGCAGGAGGCCTGCGAAGAGGATTGTGTACAGCTGAAGAGAAGCGTCAGTGAGTTGGGCGCATTGGATTGGGTGGGATGCAGGGAGGGATTTACGGAGGCGGCGAGGAGAGCGAGGGAGATTTGTTGTTGAGCGCGCGTCATTTCTGCAGAGGGTTTGTTATGTGGAAGGAGTGACGTGAAGAAGAGGTCAAAAGTATTGTTAGACTCGGTCGCGGTTCTGGATGTGATGTTCGCGCTCTGGAGGGTCGCGACTTTGGAGACGTTACGTTGCAGCTTCGACAGGGGTTCAATGTGAAAGCCTCAGGCACACAGTCGCTTTTGCATGTGAAAAAGGCAGGAGAGCATTGACTTTTGTCTTAAAATCTACCTAAGATCTAGAAGCTTTGGTGAAGAAAGGAAGAGTACTGCGATTCCCTCTATTCTTTCAAAAATTTCGCCCATTCCATCAGCCAGCGATTAATGAGCAGCTATGCGTAGACATATGCCTCTTGAGGTCCTTCGGAAACAAGAAACCTCGACTGCACCTCTCACAAGTGTGCTTTCTCTCACCGACATGATTCTTCTCATGTTTTCGTCTATCGCCATCACGATTGAACACTTTGTCGCAACCTGTCATCTGGCAAGGAAAACCACCTGGGATCTTTGGCATGCGCTTACGCTTTTTGGTAGCGCTACCCTCGCTGTGATCGGAGAGCATCAGACTCAATGCTGAGCCTCCTGATGCATAGCCAGCGTCTCTTGAACGAGACGACTCGTTTGATGCCAAGCGTGAAACGAAGCGTTGCACTGGCATGGTGAGACCTGGGGACTGCCACTCGTCTCCTTCATCTGAGTCGGAGTACAGAGCACAGTCTGTACCTTGGCCGACAAAGCTGGTGTTTCTGCTGTCTTGCCGATATAACGTCGACTCTCTCAAAAGTTGAGGAAGCACGTCGAAGTTCGAAAGTAATCCGGCGTCAAGGTCAGTGCCTGGGCTAAAGCGCACGTAGTCGCACTCGATGAAGCCATCATAAGCATTCCAGTTCGGCTTTGAGTGGTCCAGCGACAGGACAACAGTCGCTGCGTCATCTGCTGTTTCGAAACAGGCATAGATAGTGTTCCACGATGATGCTTGCTCTTGGCCACGAGGCTGACCATTGTCGATCGTCATGTGGCTGGCCTGAGGGAGACCTGCATTGTAAAGATGCTGCTGTAAGCGGACAGCGGTGCCAGAGAGACCTTCAATGAGGACAACTCGAGGATCCACCAGACCACGCGACCAGTTGTTTCGTGTTGGATTCCAGCGCTTCTCGCGAAACGTGCTCGTGGCGTTGTTCGTGTTCGCAAGCTCGCATTTGCTGATCAGGATCTGTTTGCTCCTGCCATGTCCCAGGCTCATGTGGCTGAGTCCGAGAAGGTTTGCCATCGAGTGGACTTTCCTCCGCTGTCGCGTTTGCAAGAGCGAGGTGATGATAACCGTTCGCTCTTTGCAGCGGCGGAAGTCGGCCAGTTGTTCGCGCAAGCTGTTGCACCAAGTTTCAAAATTATCGGACGCTGTCCAGGAGTGGTGACTGTCACTATCTTCGAATACTGTCTCCGGACCTTGCGCTGAAGTGTCCGCAAGCAATCTGCCTCTGCTTGGCTTGGTCGCCTTTGGAGACAGTTGAGAGCCTGCAGATGATTGTCGAATAGAAGAGCTTGAATTTTCCCGAGATAAAGCAAGCTGACCATGGCTGGTGCGTCTGGTCGATGAGGTTGCCGACAATGGGTTCCATTGCCAGCCCAGGTCGGGCGGACTGGTAGACAGGAGGGACACTCGAGAGTGCTTCGGTAAGCTTCGCAGGCGCTCAATTGGCATTGCCGTTATTGGGAGTGGAGCGGTGGGCTCGACCGGCAATTCGAAGGGGTCGTTAAAGATGGACAAGTCCCAGATGTCAATGGCGCTCAACTCCGCCGGATTGACGCTGTCCGGCGCGTCTGTGGCCCAGGCGCCAGCGGAAGTCATGTACGGTTCCATTGTGCAATGGGTCTCTTGCTGAAAGCTCAAGAGACGTGATGCGAACAATTGGAGGAGCATGGACGAAGAGAACTTACAGTGAACATAGCGCCGCCAGCACAAGCTGATATTGGCGGCGCATGCAGCTCACGAATGCCAGCTGACCGGCTCGGCTGTCGAGAGCCCATCCTTCTACACGTTTGCCTTCACAGCATGCAAGCGGACCAAGCTCGATACATGTCGTTGTGAATACAGACGCCGATGCGAAGGTTAAGTAGCCGTGCACTCCCAGAAGTAGTGTCTGCAGCTGACATGATGAAGTACAGGAGAGAGAGGACTGGAGTTGGTGGTCAAGGAAGACCGAACCAAAGGCCGAGGAACTCAATTCGCTGACAGAGATTGACGTCACCCCATAAAATGGCTTCGTTCTGCTCGATAGCAGTCACTCATGAACCGCACAAGCATGCGAACAGCCCTCACGACGCTCGCCAGAGCAGCAGAATCGCTGCCAGTAGCCTCAAGAGCCTGCTGTCCACGACCATGGCTACAGACAAGACGCCTCACCCGCACAGCGCGACGCCATGATCTCCTCACAACGCCCAAACCCTCCACCTTCCCAGGCTACGAACCCGATGCTCTCGACGCACCTCTCCATGGCGAAAGACAGCATGTCGACCGTCCCTACGCCGACCCCTCCCCAGAAGACCTCTACCCGATGACAGCCAAAGAATCACCCAAACAACAAGACCCCTCAAACCAAGACGAATCCACCCTCGCCCGAGCAAAACGCGTCTTCGGCGACCGCGAACTCGACGCCCTCGAACGCAAACGCATCGCAGAAAGTAAATCCCGCCTCATAGCCGGGGTCCTTGTCCCACCCAAACCCGAAGAACCCGACAATTGCTGCATGTCCGGCTGCGTCAACTGCGTCTGGGAACGCTTTCGTGAAGAACTCGAAGAATTCGCCACGAAAATGAAAGAAGCGAAAGCAGCACAAAATCTCCAACGCTTACAAGGTCAAGCGACGGGGATGATGGCTGCGGAAGCGAATGCGCCGGCACATGTGGCAGTTAGCATGGATGACGATGGGGGCGGGAGCGAAACATTGTGGAGTGATACTGTTCCGGGGAATGTGGCGGAAGTTGTGGAAGGTGGAGCGGGAGGTGTTGATGAAGACCCTTTGGCGGGTGTACCGATTGGTATCAGAGAGTTCATGAAGACGGAGAAGAGGTTGAAGGAAATGCATAGGGAGAGAGGGGAGAAGATTGAGACTGCTCTAGATACGGAGTTGAGGCCGATGGCTTGGAGTACTTCGTCGAGATCTTCGTCTTCGACAACAGCAGCTGGTGCGACGACGAATGGTTAGATGAAGAGGAGCCAGCGCAGAGAGAAGATCATGCAGCCGGCTGAGTGATGATGGGGATGATGATGTTCATCACATCACCTCACACCCCTCCTTCTTCCCCCCTCCCTTCTGCTCATCCCTCGGATTCCCGCAATTCGGATCTTCCGGCCACTTCTTCACTCGATCCGGAATCAGGACCGCTGTTTCCTCAGAAAACTTGTCCTGTTTCTTCTTCTTCGTCCATTTCCAACGCGCACAGTCTGCGCAATTGGTCTTGATATGGTTCTCATAGCCCGTATCTGATGTCGGCCCGTAGCAGTCTCGGCCCTTACTTTGGATGTTCTCGGAGCATCGAGTAAGCGCGCGGATGCTGTGGGCGCAGGCGTAGAATGAAGTTTCGGTGTGGCACATTACTTCAGAGAAGGAATGGAGGGCATTGCATTTGAGGGGACAAATGGAATGTTTGCGAAGTCGGCGGTGGTTCGAGTATGTGCAATGAGGAGGGGAGTGGAGGTATTTAAGTGGTGGGCGCAATCAGGACGCAAACATGGTAGGGAGCATTTAGACCAAGACAGGCCGGCGCCTTTCTACAGCGAGCGAGACATATTGCATAGCGTTAAGTGTTAAACAGCATTGTACAGTGAGACGAAACCCGCATCCATGTATAGATGTATCGCACATTTCTTTTGCATTTCGTCTTACACACTAAAGGTAAGTAAGACAGAAGCATCTCTTTTGTTTCTTACAAGCTCGACTAAGAAGGTAAAACAGATGCAGAGCTCTGGTGGTATCGTGCAGTCGCTAAATCAATGACAACAAGAAGAAGAAAAAGACGAAAATGCCAAGATTTTCCCGCGTCTCGCCACGCTTTGTTGCTGCTCCCTTCTGCAATTCTCCTGTGTGTCGCTGGTCAGGGAAAGATGTATCGAACAGTCACTCTCTCTGCCTTCCAAAAGCAAAACCCAAGGAACTCCTGTTGAAGTGCATCATTCGTCGTCTTATCGTATTTGTACACACGCTTCGGTTTAGAGGATATTGGATGGATGTCGAGGCTGAGTAGTCGTGTGGGATGGTAATGGTGTTCGTTTCGAGGTAGTATCGACGGCCGTAATCTCACTCTTTGTTTCTGGATGTTTGCATACTGAGCGATCAGAACATGCCGCCGTCAACTGCGGCACCGCGAACTGGTGCACGCGTTCGTTCGGGAGAGCTCGGGTCTGGGGTCATTGCGCGCGAACCAGGCTGGGAATTTCCCATGGGCTGATCAAATGCCTGTAGTCGCAAGACATTGCCTGGTAAGATTTGCGCCTCTCGTTTCGGCGATGTTGGCAGTGACGGATTCGAGTCAGGCCTCGCGCTCTGTGGATATGCAGAGTCGTGTTGGTCCTTCGACCCCAGTCCAAAGAGTTTGCGGGTGCCCTTTCGCCGTGGGTTGATGGGCGGAATGGGAGGGGCCTCCTCAATGCCATTCTTCAATGAAGCACCGGCAGGCAGATCAACGGTATCAACGTTTGAAGTCGACGATATGAGCGTCGGCTCCGAGATATCGTACTTGGTGATAGTCCGTTTACGCACGCCTGCACTTCGAGGTGGGAATGTCACCCCAGCGGTGTAGGCTGAGGGGCTGTCACCTGGACTCGATCCCGATAGTGGCGGTGTCGGGGCTTCAGAAAGGTTAGCGGCAAGCTGGACTGGATGGCCGGGGCCATAGACATTGGGCGGAATGCTAGATGGCGTCAAGCTAGGCGAAGGGCCATTGTTGCTTAGCTGCGTATTGACAGACTGCAGCGGCCGACCAGTCTTGAATTCGAAATAACCCTGTCTTCCAGGACGAGACTCATCGCTGGAGCGTTCTGAAGCACCCAAAGCAGGAGATGCTGCAGGGGTGAATTCTGTTGAGGGTACGCCAGATCGTGGACCCTCCATCATGTTCCTGTCAAAATCATCACGGTAGCGCCGTGAACGGCTTCGCGAGCGACTCGAGGCCGCACCGGAGTTGGAGCGACTCCTAATCTGGTAGGCTGAACGAGCAGATGCAAGCTGACGCTCTCGCGGGAGTTCACTGCTGTTGCCATCCCCAAAACCTTCCGGAGGGTCATGCTTGAATGCAGGATGTTGCGAGGTTGGCGGCATTGGCGGTCTTGTTGAGGAATTGCCTCGCGATCGTGCCATATCCACACTGTGTCCATTTCGGTCACCCTGAGCGAGACTGGACATGCTATGATTGCCAATGCTGCCAAGTGGCTTCGGTGACTTTGACGTCTGCTCTCGTCCATGTGCGAGCGTTTCTCTGCTAGTCTTCGAACGCAACATGCCGAAGGCACGTAAGCCACTATTTCCTGAGCTGGAAACAGACAAGGGCGTAGGAGCTGGGCTGTGGTCTCTGGAGCTGTTAACATCAACAACGCTGCGCAGATTCTCCTTCACAGCCTCCCTTCGTGCGGCGAGCTCTCTTGAGAAAGCATCGCGTCCTTCTTGCGTCGCTGTGCTTCCGTCCCGCGTGTGCTGTCCACGGAGCTCGTGTTGCCAGGAAGGAATGGCATCGTCCGACTGGCGGGTGGCATCGGAAGCCCTCACGTCACTCCGTCTAGCTTGCTCCGGCCCTGCGGAGCGTCGAGTGTCACTGGTGTCCCAGTTATTGGAGGCAGTGCTTTGCGAATCACGTAATGATGGAACTGGGTCGATGGCGCCTCCCACGGCATGGCGACGGGAATCCATCTTGCTGGCAGGCAAAAGCGTTTCTTGCGTGTGCGAGGCTTCATCTTCGTGAGTGCTGCTTTCGTCGAAGGGATAGACTGATGATTGATTACTGCTCTGCCGCAGATGGTGCACCATGTTGTTGATGCCTCCTAACGAACCGGCATCAGGGCCAAGTGTGGGCGAGTCGAGCGCTTTTGAGCTGTTTGCTTCTCCGTTGTCCACATCAGTTCTCAGCGATCGCGCTGGTGTCGCATTCTTCAAAGCTCGTGGCGCGTCCTCCTCCTCCGATTCTTCGGCCATGGAAGTCCGAGACCTGTTACCCCTGAAGGCAGGATGCTCCGAGACAGAATCCAATATGGTGGGTTGCCACCTGCTGGAATAGTTACCGTAACCGTACTCAGGCTGGTTGAAAGACTGCGCTATCCGCGATTCTTCGTCATCCTCGTCGTCGTCACTCGCACTGATGTTGCCAAAGAAAGTGCGGTGGGTGTCAGGAAGTGGAGATTTGTTCACAGGAGCCACCGGAGGGTTCTTAGAAATCTGGCTGACCGCGTTTTGGAACACATTGTAGGCTGTGCTGGGTTCGTGTTGCCGAGGAGCGGACTGAGAAGCAGAGTGCGACCGAGCTCGCATCGATGGTTCGGGCGGAGTAGGCGCCTGGTCTTGCTGCACTCCGCCGTACATATTGATGCGCTGTTGCAAGGCAGATTGAGGCGACGCCTTCGTCTTCGCCGCCGTGCTCGAGGCCGACCTCTGCAGCTGTTTTTGCCGCTCCAGATACTGTTGCTCATCAAAGGCCTGGGCTGGTTTGTTGAAGGCACCCATGGCAGTGGCCTTGCCACGATCCGCGGGTTCTAGCGCCTGCGCTAGTATAGATGATTCATCAGCCTGTTCCTCTACTGGTGACTGCGGTGCGCTTCCAAGATGTGGGCTGGATGCGCCAGAGTTTGCACTCCTGATGCCAGATGTGGTCAGCGGGCTCAGTGGAGAGTTCAGCGCTGGTGACTGCGCACGAAAGGCCAGTACTGGTGATTGCGATCGCTCATGCAAGTTTCCAGCGCTCTTAGTGCCGTGCAAGTAAGGAGGCATTTTCTTGCCGCTCATTGCTCGTTGCCTCTGGATCGAGTTCAGCCGGCTCATGGCGGTGCTCTGCTGCTCCTGGAGGTGCTGGTCCAGGCCCTGTTCATACAATCTCTTAGGCTTGGTGTTGGACCGGTCTGCCGGTGCAGCACTAGCTGAGCCCATTGAGTTCCCATTTGATGGAGCATGGGCAGGAGATGGCGTTGCGCTCACCGGGGTTTGCGAGGCGATCGAGGTAGCCGCGGTTGAGGAACGCGCGATGGAGTGCGCGTCAGAAGATGTCGTCGATCGCTTCCGGTCGTAGGAGGATAGCGAGGGCGAGTGACAAAGATCTTTGGCCGAGTCGTTGAGCAAAGAGTGTCGACTATCGTCATCATCCTGGGAGCCTCTCTCGGGCTTATCTAACCCAAAGTCGAATCCCTGACTTTCATCCGACGGTCGTGGCAGCTCGCTCTCGTTGAACTCGCGCTCTCTCTGGCGATACCTTTGGAAGGCGGACATCCCAACGTCGTCGTCATACATGAGCTTTCCCAAGCTCTTCGTCGAAGTTGTGCCTGATCCAGAGATTTTGTAGATTTTCTGGCGCCCGCCAAATAGTATATTGCCTTCTCCGGGCCTTGATCTACTCATGATGCTTCCACCGCCTGCGTGTTCTGCCTCGCTGGCGTATCCATCCTCAGACATGCACGAATCTCCTCTGCTGCTGTCTGTCTTGGCAAAGGGTGGTCGTATTGAGCCGGACAGCGACGAGACCTCGGCGATGTCACTCAGACCTGCCGGGTTGTAACCAAAGTCCATCATGCGTGAGCGCCTCCTAGGTTGTAGCACGCTATCGTCGCTGGCTTTGCCGAGAAGCGATTTCGGATCGTCTTGCTCTCTAAGCATGCTGAATCGAGTCGACAAGCTCGGCATGAGCAGACTCGTTCGGAAGTCGTCCGAGGAGGGTAGGGCGACGGAGAGATCGACTTGTGGCGGGGGAGCAGGCTCGGGCTTCTTGCTCTTCTTCCATCTGTTCGTTGAAGATTTCTTGAGCACCGGCGACGGCGGTTGCGAGAGGGCCTTGAGCGCATCTTCGTTCGACGTGGGGCCGTCTGCGGCCTTTTTCTTTAAGAATTTGTTCATGGTGATACTAAACAGGTCAGCGTTCATAGCCTGGTGGTGGGATTGAGTCCACCAGGCCGCCTCGTCAACCATGGCGCGGCGGTCCCAATGTGTGCTCGAAGGGGAGGTGATGACATACGAAACGAGTGTGGGCAGCGGGCGGTGGGCCTTTTGGGACGCTGCGGGTGCCGGGGCGAGCTCACAGGCTCACGACGAGGCTCGCGGCTGGGGAAGGCTGCAATATCCTCTCA